ACATTAAATAAAAACAAGTCAACAGCATTTCAAAAAAAAAAACAAAAAACACACACTAGAAAACAATGGCAAAACTTCCAGGAAGGATCCACACAGTCCCCAAAGGCAGAACCCCCCACCCACCCTCCAGACCATTCCAAACCCCGACAGTTCTGCATGACACCACGGCATCATAGGAGTGGACAGAGGAGTCTCGCTGCAGCATTCTGCACCCTCTGGAGTTTCTGGGACAGCTTCAAGGGCAGCCCAGTGTAGAGCGAATTACAGTAGTCAAGCCTGGAGATGACCGTTGCATGGATCACTGTGGCCAGGTCGGGGCGGGAAAGGTAAGGGACCAACTGCTTGATGCGGCGAAGGTGGAAAAATGTCGCCTTGGCTGTTGCTGTAACCTGCGCCTCCATGGAAAGGGAGGCGTTAAGGATTACACCCAAACTCTTAATGGAAGGCAATGGCACTAATTGGGCCCCCGCAAGAGAAGGGAGTTGGTCCCTCATCCCCATGCCATCCCGACCCAGCCATAGGACCTCTGTCTTCGAAGGATTTAGTTTCAATCGGCTCCCACGAAACCATCCAGCCACAACTTCCAAGCATCAGGTCAGTGTGTCCGGGGCCGAGTCGGTGTGGCCATCCATCAGCAGATAGAGCTGAGTGTCATCAGCATATTGGTGACAGCCCAGCCCAAAGCTCCGGATAATCTGGGCAAGGGGACGCATAAAGATGTTAAAAAGCATCGGGGAGAGAATTGCGCCCTGCGGCACTCCACACACCAAGGAATGGCGCGACGACATTTCCCTCCCTAGTGCCACCCTCTGTCCCCGACCAGAGATAAAAGAGCACAGCCATTTACGGGCTATGCCCTGAATCCCCACGTTGGCAAGGCGGTGGTCCAGAAGATCGTGATCGACCATGTCAAAGGCTGCTGACAAATCTAAAAGGATCAGCAGTCCTGACCCGCCTCGATCCAGTTGTCTACGGAGATCATCTGTTAGGGCAACCAGAGCCGTCTCGGTCCCAAAACCAGGAAGGAAACCGGACTGAAATGGATCTAAAGCCGATGTTTCCTCCAGAAACCTACCAAGCTGTTCAGCAACCACTCTCTCAATTACCTTACCCAGATATGGAAGATTTGAAACTGGGCGGTAATTGGATAGATCTAAGGGATCTAATGAAGTTTTCTTTAAGAGTGGACACACTACTGTTTCATTCAGTTCCCCTGGGAATGTCCCCGTGTCAAGGGACAAATTGATAATTTCAACCAGGGGGGTCCGCGCAACATCTGGACACTCCCTAATCAGCCAAGATGGGCACGGATCAAGGAGGCAGGTGGTGGGCCTACCAACTTGGAGGAATCTATCCATATCAGCAGGGAGTATCCAATCGAAATGGTCCAACACTGGACCTGAAGTCAGTCGAGGGGCCTCCAGTTCAGTCACTGTATCTAAATAGGCATGGAGTTCACGGCGGAGCAACAGGACTTTCTCCGCAAAAAAGCTCGCGAATGCCTCACAGCTGTGGGTCGAATTTGTGCTTAAATTTGGTTGTCCTTCTAAGGACGTTATTGACCTAATTATTCTAAAAAGTTGTGCCGGGCAAGAGCTAGCGGATGCAATGGAAGCTGCAAAGTAAGATTTCTTAGCAGCTTTCATAGCCATCTCATAGGCTTTCATAAGCGTCCTATAAGATGTTCTTGAGGCTCCGTCACGAGTCCGTCGCCATACTCACTCTAGCCGTCTGAGATCCCGCTTCATTTTCCGGAGCTCCTCAGTAAACCAAGGGGCCCGGTTTCGACGGGGTCGCAGAGGGTGCTTAGGCGCGATCTCATCAATGGCTGCCAAGAGCCGGTTATTCCAGTCCTCAACAAGGTCATCTAATGAGTCGCCAGGAGGAGCAGGGTCCCACACGGCTTGTCGGAATCTATCAGGATCATTCTGTTTTCGCGGACGAGCCCAAATAGGTTCGCCACCCGAGCAGGGGAGGAGCGGGAAGTCAATCTTGGCTTTCAGAGCGTAGTGATCAGACCATGGCACTTCCACAGGGGGGAGCATGATCACATCTATGCCAGCCCCAAAGATCAGATCCAGTGTGTGGCCTGCTTGATGAGTGGGGCCCAAAACAAATTGGGAGAGCCCTAGTGTTGCCATGGAAGTCACTAGGTCCAGAGCCTGTGAGGAGAGAGCGGCAGCGGCATGGACGTTGAAGTCTCCCAAAACCAGTTTAATAACAATTTAAACTACATAGATAAAAAATAAAAACAATTTAAAATAAAAACATTTTTAAAGGATCCCTGTCTGTTGAGCAGCAGCAGTCCTTTATGGAGCCCTCCAGGCCCCGCCCCAAGCCAGAGGGAGAGAGGCAGGCCAGGGCCCTTCAGGCTCCCAGCGGGTCAGTCCTGGGCAGCAATACATGGTCCCCAATACAGCTTCCCTTCTGCTGCCGCAGATCCTTCTAACTCAGGTGTAGGAAACCTTTATCAATCAGAGGGCAGCATTCCCTCTTGACCTTTGAGGGGCTACATGCTGGTCTGGGGTGGGGCCAGAAGCAAGGCGGGTGGGGCAGTGGGTGTACATCTTACCTTTGAACAGAACTGTACACTGCTGCCACAAAATGTATTTGGTTTCTACAGTATACACCCATCTCCCCATCACAGTTTGGGCAGGTGAAAGATGGGACCTGGCCATGTGGTCTGGAGAGCCGCATAGAGGGGTCTGAGGATGCCAGGGCAGGGTTGCTCCATGATCTAGGAGGCAAACGGAGGCAGTGGAATGCAAGGGCTGCCTCCGTGAGCAGGCGCCCTTCACCACTGCTGGAGAAACGAGGAGAAGCGACTGCAATGGCTTCTGGATTCTGGCGAGAACTCATGAGAGATCTTGCTTGAACCTGGAAGCCACTGTTGCATGACCCTGGTAAGCAAGGCTTTGGTGGCAGAGAGGGGGGCTTCTTCCTTTCTTTGGCAATCACTCGTAGCCGAGTGTCTTCCATGATCACAGTCTTAGCCGTGAATCTGTAAGTGATTGTGGAGACCAATTCTGGATCCACACGTCCTTCCACAGTGGGGACATAGGTTTCTGGGCAGGAGTTGATCACGTTGAGGGTTTGCCAAACGTCCCTTCCTCTTAGCATGTTTTCCCCTTTCATCCTGAGTTCAAGTGTCTTCAAAGTCCACAATGCCTTTGGTAAAGGCTGTTCTCCAATTGGAGCACTCGCAGGCCAGTGTTTATACTACATTTTTTTTAGATTTGCCTTGAGAGAGCCTTTAAACCTCTTTTATTTAAAAGCATTATGCTTTCCATTTTTAAGTTTGGAATAGAATAGTTGCTTGGAATACGATAATCAGGCATCCACACAACATGACAAAGTTGATGTTGAAGAATCATTGCTTCGACACTGGTGATCTTTGCCTTTTCCAGTACACTGGCATTAGTTCGCCTGTCTTCCCAAGTGATGTGTAAAAATTTTCAGAGACACAGTTGATGGTATCTTTTGGGGAGCTGGAGGTGGAGTTTGTCCATGTTTCACAAGCGAGGGGGGCATGCAGTGTGTATGAGGGGCAGCACCTTTCCATATCATCTTGATATGGAAGTGTGCCTGGTTGCCCCTGTGCCAGGGATCAAACATTGAGCGCTTTATGCATATGCAAACAAAGCAGATGCACCCCTACCACTAAGGGGCAGGTATTTTGGCATCTCCCTCATTACAAGTATTTTATACTCACTAGAGGACAGAAGGAAACTGAAGGAAATCAGCCCTGAGTGCTCACTGAAAGGACAGATTGTGAAGCTGAGGCTCCAATACTTTGGCCACCTCACGAGAAGAGAAGACTCCCTGGAAAAGACCCTGATGTTGGGAAAGATGGAGGGCACAAGGACAACAGAGGACGAGATGGTTGGACAGTGTTCTCGTAGCTACCAATGTGAGTTTGACCAAACTGCGGGAGGCAGTGGAAGACAGGAGGGCCTGGCGTGCTCTGGTCCAAGGGGGCACGAAGAGGCGGACACGACTCAACGACTAAACAACAACAACAACAAGAGGACAGAATGAACTTGTATAAAGTCTCATTTTCCTCTTGAAGGGGAAGAATGGATAAATACAGCACCAGGCTGTGTTTCTTTCCCCCAGCACCTTTTGCAGTTCAGGAAGAAAAATATAAAGCTGGAGGAAGGTGCCTCCAAGGGCTACTTCATAGTAGGAAAAAAAGATAGTTTTTTTTCTCTCTCCCCCTCCATCTCTCATTGTTAGGACAGACACAATATAAATACTTATACAGATTGTATTTAATTTATGGAAATTTATTCATTGAAGTTTTAGACTGTGAGCCCAAAGGCATGGGCTGTGTTGCTTATTCACCGATATTTTGAAAACTGATATTTTCACTTTTACTGATATTTTGAGGAGCCTTTCCAGCTGAAGAACAGGATAAAAATGCATTGAAATAATTAATAATAAATAATTTATGTATGCAACAACAGCAGCAAGAATACTCATTGCAAAGTATTGGAAGACACAAGAACTTCCCACGCTGGAGGAATGGCAGATGAAACTGATGGACTATATGGAACTGGTGGAAATGACTGGCAGAATCCGTGACCAGGGAGAAGAGTCGGTGGAGGAAGATTGGAAGAAATTTAAAGACTATCTGCAGAAACATTGCAAAATTAAAGAATGCTAGAGTTATGTTGGATTGAAAAAAAGTGGTTTCCAGCTGTACAGGATTTAAAGTTATAGATAGACTAAGATTAAAGATTAGGATTAAAGAAGTGTAAGGAAATGGAAATTTGGTATTTAAGAGGTAAAATTTTAATGCTATATTATATTAAGATTAAAGATTGGGATTAAAAAAGTGGAAAAGAAATTGCTGGACAAACAATTTGGACTGGAATACAAAAGAGGGAAGTATGAGGAGGTCCAGAAAATAAGTAAATTTAAAAACGAAAATGAAAAGGTGATAATGTTTTTAACTGTTCTGTTTCTTTTTTTTTCTTTTTTTTTCTTTTTGTGTTTTTGACTCTTTTTTGGATTATGTACTGTATGTTTGTGTACTTCGTTTCTATGTTTTTCTGTTTAATCTTTTACTGAAATTTTAATAAAAAACATTTTAAAAAAAGAAAAAGAAATAATTAATGAGGGGAAAAACAACTAGTGTCCATTAACACTATGTGGTACTTATTTATATATTTATGTGATAAACAGATAAATGCTGTGCACAAGGTGTTGTGCAAAGGCCACTAGAAAGGGACAAATCTGGCATGCTGCATGAAATCTGTAATAAGACTCACCATTTTTGCTTTTCTTTCAATAATAGCAACCCCAAACCAGTAGGAACATAGGGTTGACATACCGTATGTCCTCTTTTTCCAGGACATGGCCTCTTTTTCAGGGGTAAAATTTCTGTCCAGGTGGATTTTTTGAATTTGCCAAAATGTGCTGGAGTGCAGGAGTGGGCCACTTTATATGTTGAATATGCTGTACTAGACAACCAAGTGCAAAACATATACATACTGTATGAGTTTTGCATTATGCAGGAAAGGACCAGGTCCTTGTTTCTGTATATTTTGAAGGGACATTGTAGAATGCGCCTGCTCCTGCACTCCCTCCCCCAGGAGCCGGCAAATGCTCTTTTTGCTCTTCAAAACTGGCAACCCCAGGACATCCTTATTATCTATTTCTCTCTCTCAACATCCATAGGATGTATAATATGTATCAATATCTTGTGAACTGCCCTGAGATCTTTGGATGAAGGGTGTTATTCATCATCATCATCATCATAATACCACTTTTAAAAGTATGCAGTTTGAACGTTATTTTGAGCCAATGCAACCCTGTTGTGAGGGGAGGGGCCTTCCTGGATGAGTTTGTGTCATAATATCTTTATCCCTTTGTTTCATTGTTTGTTACTTTGTTTACTTTGCATAGTTTGAAGTTGAAAGGTTTCTTCTGACACCCCTTTTTTAACACACACAGACACACATTTGTTGTTGGCACCCATCTATCTCAAAAGAAAATGGAGTGCACTTTTGTAGGTGAAGTCAAACTGCTGCGTTAGCAGCACCAAAATTACCTCCCAGGGGCGTAAGTCTGGGCAGTGTGTCCTGGGCTGCCCAGACAACAAGGCCGCCTCTTGTCCTCACTGATATGGTCTACAGGAAAGCAGAGCAAGGCATTTGCCACCAGTTGGGCTGCAGGAATTGCCAGAAAGAGGTTACAAGGCGCCCTCCAACTAAGGGACTCCACTCGGGATTTGTGTAGAGTTTACTTCTTAGCCTTTTCTTCTCCTGAAGATATCCTGCAAAGTAGTGGAGGTTTAGGATCAGAATTTTCCTTCTCCTAGATGGGATACCTTACCAGGTTGATAAGCCCCACCTGTCCCTCACTTCCCTCTACAGAACGTACAGAAACCGCCTTCTCAGTCGTTGGATCCTCTACTGGTCGCCTCCGCTCAATAGGCTGGAGCCTGTATTTGCCTGCAGAGGAAGTCCCTAGCTCACTGAAGGTGTGAAACCCATTGGCTACCCTCACCTGCTTAAGACACCAGTGAAAGCTGTTCCTAGGGTGTGGGGCATGCTGACAGCTTCTAGGAGGCACGAGGAAGAGTCCTTTCCACACCCTTTTAAACTCTCATCCAATTCCCCCCGAGACCCCAATGCAATAAAATAGTTCCTCAAAGCTCAGAATGAACTTAGGCTTACAAGAGCAGTTTAAAATAATAAAAAAGGTTTCCTCGGCTATGTTTGAAACAATATGATCAAGCAAACAGTAAGTCCCTTGCATGGGAAATACAGAGAAATATTATCAGGTGACAAAAAGAAGGTGGAACTGTTCAACGCCTAATTTGTCTTCACCCAAAAGGAAAGCAATGCCCAACCTGGTGATAACATAACAAATGGTGCAAGAAGAAGAAGAAGAAGAGTTTGGATTTGATATCCCGCCTTTCACTCCCCTTCAGGAGTCTCAAAGTGGCTAACATTCTTCTTTCCCTTCCTCCCCCACAACAAACACTCTGTGAGGTGAGTGGGGCTGAGAGACTTCAGAGAAGTGTGACCGGCCCAAGGTCACCCAGCAGCTGCATGTGGAGGAGCGGAGACGCAAACCCGGTTCCCCAGATTACAAGACTACCGCTCTTAACCACTACACCACACTGGCTCGCAAGGAGGGAGCTGCATCCCAAAATAGGAAAAGAGGTGGTAAGGGAACACCAGGCTACTTTAAATGAGTTCAAATCTCTAGGGCCTGATGAGCTACACTCAAGGGTAGTAAAGGAGCTTATGGATGTAATCTCAGAGCTTCTGTCTATAAAACAGGTGAGGTCCCTGCAGACCGGAGGTGGGCAAATGTTGTCCCCATCTTCAAAGGGGAGGGGGAGAAGTCCCAGGTGACTACTGACTGGTGAGCTTGATGTTGTTACCAGGAAAGGTTCAAAAACAGATAATTAAACAGTCAGTCTGTGAGCACTTAGAAAAAGATGTTGTGATTACTAAGATCCAACATTGGTTTCTCAAAAACAAGTCATGCCAGATGAATCTCATTCTTTATAGCCTTACAAACTTGGTGGATCAGGGGGATGCTGTGGATGTTGTGTATCTTGATTTCAGTAGGGCTTTTGACAAATGATATTCTTGCGGAGAAGCTGGTATAAAGTGGGCTGGACAAGATAACTGTTAGGTGGATTTGCAGCTGGTTGACTGACCGAACCCAAAGAGTGCTGACCAACGGTTCCTTGTCATCTTGGAAAAAAGTGACAAGTGGGGTGCTGCAGGGTTCTTTCCTGGGCCTGTTTTTTGTTAACATCTTTATAAACAACTTGGATAAACACATTGAGGGGGATGCTCATCCAATCTGCAGGTGCCACAAAACTGGGAGGGGTAGCCAACGCCACAGAAGACAAACTGGGCCAAAACTAACAAAATGAATTTCAATAGGGACAAATGTCAGGTTCTGCACTTAGAGAGAAAGAACCAGCTGTAAAAATATAAGATGGGGGACACCTGGCTTGCCAGTAGTACCTATGTGTCAGCTCCATTCCTTCACTGACAGGGAATGAGAACGCAGGCCGAGAGAGAGAGAGAGAGAGAGAGAGAGAGAGAGAGAGAGCAGGTAAGAGTGGAATGCAGAGGGGAGGGAGCAGCAGCAGCAGGGAGCAGCAAAAACCTGATCTCTGACACAAGGAAAATGAAAGAGAGAGCCAAAGTGAAAGAATGCAACTTGTCAGCTCAGACAGTGATACAGACACAGGAATACATGGAGTGCCCTCCCCAAAACCTCATAGGATCAGTAGATTGGCCAAGAAGCGCAAAAGGGACAGAAAGAGAAGGTGGGGAGTTTTCCTGTTGGGGGAAAAGGGGGCGGGCCTCAGTTCCGGCAACTGTGCTTTCTGAGGATGAAGGAGATTAGCTGAGCTCTGACCAGGACCTTTTGATTTGACTAATAAATCTGAAATAATTAACTGCCAGAGTCGTCTCGCTTGTGTGGGAAAGACCCAAGCCATTACAGTATGGAAAGGATCTAGGTGGTCTTGGCAGACCTCAAGCTTAACACACAACAGTGTAATGCAGCAGCAAAAAATGTGAATGCTATTCTAGGCTGCATCAAGACTACTATCGTGTCCCAATCACAGGAAGTCATAGTCCTGCTCTATTCTGTCTTGGGCAGGCCGCACCTGGAGTCCAGTGTCCAATTTTGGGTGCCACAATTTAAGAAGGATATTGATGAGCTGGAAGGTGTGAAGTGGATGGCAACCAAGATGATCCAGGGTCTGGAAACCAAGCCTTACGCTGAGGAATGGTTGAGGGAGTTTGGGTATGTTTAGCATGGAAAAAAGGAGATTGGAGAAGAGATCGGATGCCATCTTCAAATGGCTGTCACGTGATGGATGGAGCAAACTTGTTTTCTCCTGCTTGGGGGAGGCTTCAAGTTATAAGAAAGGAAATTCCGACTAAACCTCACTTAAGCACTTTCTGACAGGAAGAACTGTTCGACGGTGGAATGGACTCCCTTGGGAGGCTGTGGGGATTTTTAAGCAGAGGTTGGACGGCCATCTGTCCTGGATGCTTTGCATTGCAGGGGCTGGACTAGAATCTAGATGACCCAGCTCTGGGATTCTGTAACATTCCCGCCCCACGGAAAGCCCGACCCCTTCTTCCTCCCCTGCTGCGAAGCCCTCCTCTGCTTCATTTCAGCTTCGTGGGGCTTCCGACCTCCTCCCCGTCTCCCCCCGAAAAAGCGAAACAGCCCGGCCGCCTCCTCCTCCCGCCCCCGGGAGAGACCCCGTGCGATGCTGCGGGGAGGGCGGTGCGCCGGCTGCTCCTCGGGGTCGGCCCAAACCCTGCCCCGTGGGTGGGTCTGACCCTGCCTGGGAGGAAGGGGCCGGCCCAGCAAGAGGGCCAGCCAGCCAGCCAGCCAGAGAGCCAGCCAGCGAGCGAGCCAGCGAGCGAGGAGCGCGGAGACCAGCCGCCCCGGCCTAGTCCTCCAGAGCCACAAGTCGGCCGGGCGGAGAGCGCGGCTTCCCTCAGCGCAGCGGGCGGAGGCGGCGGCGGTGTTTGCGCTGCTCCCCGGCGGGCGGGGGCCTCCGGCGGGGCCGGCCGGCTTCGGCGAGGCGCCCCCGCCGCCCTCGAGGCCGAGCCGCAAGCGCAGGGCGGGCGGGCAAGGCAGGCCGCGGCCGGCGGGCCCCGGAGATGCGGCCAGGATGTCTGTGTCAGGGCTGAAGGCCGAGCTGAAGCTGCTCGAGTCCATCTTCGACAAGGACCACGAGCGCTTCCGCATCGTCTCCTGGAAGCTCGACGAGCTCCACTGCCAGTTCGTGCTGCTCCCCGCCGTCCCGCCGCCGCCGCCGGCCCCGACCGCCCCCGCCGCCAGCCCCGCCAGCGCCGGGGGAGGCAGCCTCCCCACGCCGCCGCCGCCGCCGCTCACCATCCACTGCAACATCACGGTGGGTGCCGCCGCCGCCGCCGCCGCGCCTCGGGGGGCAGGGGGAGCCGCGGGAGGCCTCATAGCCTGCGGGCGGGGACCGAGGGGGTTGCCCAGCTTTCCTTTGCCTTTCTCCCTCCCCCCCGACCCGGGTCTCCCCTTCCTCATCCTCACAACCGCCCTGCGCTGTAGGGTAGGCCGAGGGGGGGCTGGGCTGCCACGGAGCTTCATGCCCGTCTGGAGGGGAGGGAGAGTTCCTCTGGAGCAATTGCTCCGGGGCAGTTAAGGAGGGTCAGGAGCACCTTGGAGGGAAGAGGGGCTCTGGCTGCCTCCCCGCTGCCCCCCAGGAGTGTGAGAAACAGGGTGCTGTGCAAGGGGTGAAGGCAGCCCAGGATTGAGGGCTGGGGCTTCCTTACTTTCTCTGTTCTCTTTTTGCATTTATATCCCAACCTGTTCCTGCCAAGGAGCACAAGGCGGGGTACCTGGTTCTCCCCGGTGCAACAACCCTGTGCCCGGATTAGAGGGCAGAGGCAGGGCTTGGCCCAAGGGTCACCAAGTGAGATTTGAACGCTGGTCTCTCCCACGACACTGCACTGGCTCTCTCACCGGTTTGCCCAAATTTTCAGGAGAGGGGTAATTCTCCAGGATGTGGGGTAAGGAGGACCCAGGGCTGGTGGGTGCTGTGTCCTCAGCCCATCTAGTGAGTAAGCAGGAGCCTTGCTAGAAGGGGCAGGAGGTGGGGAACAGTCCAAGAATTGAGAAATGGGGTTGGGAGGTGGCCATAGCCACAGGTTTGGGACAGACCCTTCAAGGGACCTGGGGGATATTAATTTGAGACAGGCTGGGTTTACTATGCCAGGGAGAAATCCTGGGAGTTGGAGATTGGGGCTGGCCCAGGTTTGGGGCTTGTCATTTTGGGAAATAAGAGTTCTGCTGGGGGGGGGACACCCCACAGTGGTTTTGTTTGGCCTCCTGGAAAAGGGAGCTTTGGGGACTGGGAGTAGGAGGCAGCCCAGGAGTCAGGGTGGGGTAGAGAGCCATGAGCTCAGATTGTCAGGCTGAGTCACTCCAGAGTCTGGAGAAGGCCTCAATTTCTGGGGATTAGAATGAGACTGGTGATGGTCCAAACCTTTTTTGACATAATTTTTTATTGATTTTCATACAATTTAACAAATTCAGTTTTCATGCAATATTACCTTCGCATTTTGATTTCCCATCCTCACTTCCATGATGTTTCTGTTCAAATCCTTTGAGCTACTGCCTTAGATATAATACATATTTCTATAACATATATCCTACATTACATTCCTTTATTGTTCTTATTCCTTTGCTTATATTTCCAGTTCTGCCTGTGATTTCATTTGGCTATAATATTTTATCAGATAGTCTAAAAATTGCCTCCACTCTTCCACAAACATTTTATCTCTTTGGTCTCTTATTTTTGCCATCTCCATAGAGTCTAAATCTCCTCTTTTGTTGGAACTTCTGTCCATTTCTGCATATACAATATTCTGGTTGCAGTGGAAGTATACATAAAAATTTAACCAACTTTTTTGAGACCTCTGCCCCAATTATTCCCAAAAGAAATGCTTCAGGCTTTTGGGGGATGACTGTTTTAAAGATCTTTTTTAATTCATTGTGTATCATCTCCCAAAAGCTTGTTGTTTTTTTACAAGTCCACCACACATAAAAAAATAACCACTGGGACTGTTTTCATTTCCAACATTTACTTGATATAGTCTTATACATTTTAGCCAGTTTGTTAGGTATTAAATACCATCTGTATATCATTTTCAAATAGTTTTCCTTTAATGTGTAGCAAGCAGTAAATTTCATATCTACTTTCCACAACTTTTCCCATACAACCATATCAATATTATGTCCCAAATCTTTTAGCCCAGTGTATCATTGCAGACTTAACCAATTTGTCTTTCGTTTCCCATTCTAATAACATTTTGTACATTTTCAAAATCATTTTTCCTTTACCTTTTAACAGTGTTAATTCAGATTCAGATCTTTGGTCTGCAGTCATACCTCGGCTTGAAGTTGATTCAGGTTAAGCGTTTTCAGGTTGTGCTCCGTGGCGACCCGGAAGTAATGGAACGCATTACTTCTGGGTTTCGCCGCATGTGCAGACTGTTAAAATGACGTCACACACATGCGCAGAAGCGGCGAATCGTGACACGTGCAGACGCGGGTTGCGTTCACTTCAGGATGTGAACGGGGCTCCAGAACGGATCCCGTTCGTATCCAGAGGTACCACTGTATAAAGCTATATGTCCTATCTTTCTTACATAGTTCATTTACTTGATGATATTAGAGCCATCCCATCACTCACTTTTGGACTTCTTGTTGTTTCAACTCACAACAGTCTCCAGAAAACCTTAATATGTAAAACCTCTATATGTACCCCATTTTGCTTCCACATTCAATTTCTTTTGTGCACATGCCTCTATTGGAGATAACCACACTGGTGTTTTCCTTTCGAATAAATTTTTATATCGGGTTCACACACTACTTGCGATTTAAAAATTCTTTGTGAACCTTACCCTTCTCATACCATAAATGTGCATGCCACCCAAACCTTCTAGGTCAAATAACCCATTGGTGTCCAAACTTTTTTCAAAGGGGGCCAGATTTGATGAAGTGAAGGGCCATGAGGGCGAACCAAAGTTGTTGGCCCCTTTTTTAAGGATTGAAGTTGTTGAGGTTTTTTTTAAGGAAAGAAACTGCCACTGGGGCCAGATTAAGTCAACCAGTGGGCCGGATTAGGCCCCCGAAACGGACTTTGGACATACCTGAAATAACCTATTGTTTTTCAGTACCAGCCATTCCTTCTTCCAACTCATACAGGCAGCTTTATAACATAGTTATAAGTCTGGCAGTGAAATTCCTCCTCTTTCTTTAGCATCAGTTAATATTTTAAATTTAATCCTGTTTTCCTCCCCATCCCAGACTTTAGGACCTTGCCATTCTAGAGAAAGGGTTGGGGGAGGCATCCTTTCTTGAGGTAGGGAAGATTGATATAGGGTAGATGAGGAGGGGTGATTTCTTATGTTACTCTAGGGCTTGCTTAGTTATGAGGTGGCAGGCGGGGAGGCAGAGAGTCATTCCTAATGAAGCAGAGAAGAAAAGATACCCAAGGTTCTTTTCTCTTCCTGTTTCAGTCAGATGAGCTGGTGGCTCATCCGTAGCTATTGGGGGGGGGGGACTAGCCAGGTATTATGTCCCAGAGGGGCGCCATTGAGGCTCCCAGCCTGTGTGTGTGTGTATTCTAGGTGTTCCAAACTGGGTCTTTGAAGCATGGGGTGGGTGGGTGGGTGTGCGCGTGCGCGCCTAAGATCAATAGTCCTTTGGTGGAGCATACATGGGGGCTACTCCCAGAAGATCAGGTGGCGACAAGAGAGGCTCTGTTGAGGCTGTGTTCTTAAATATGAAGGGAACTACGTTACCATCCAGATCTCACATGGCTACACTTGGTTTTTTGTGTGTAAATTCTGAAACTTCATAGTGTAAAAACTTACTACTCAGAACTTCATTTTCTCCTTCAAAGTTGAACAGTTATCCCTTCGTTAATTTGTTTTTTAGAACCTTTCTTTGCTCTTCTTCGACTACGCAGTAGGCATATTGCCTCTCTTTCCCTCTGTTTTTCCCTTTGTTTTCTCTCTGGAAATATGATTTGCATTACTGAAGTTTTGGGAAGGGCAGTCTGAAAGGAAATGTACTTCCCTCCTCTTCAGCCATTCAACTTCTTTAAGTATAGGAATACTTGCGACAGACAGCTTTGACAAAAGAAGCCAGAAGATTTTGTTTCTTTAAATTGAAACAAAAGTGTTGCAGGGCGGGTGTATCTGTGTGTGAGAGAGAGCAGAATGTGGGCAAAGTGCTCCTCCCTGATTAGTTGGAAGTTAGATTGAGTAATTTCTCTCCACCCATGATAGGTGGAAGCCCAGAGAGAACAAGGAGTGTGCCCATATTGTTGAATGTGTGACCTGCTTTTAAAACAAGGCATGAGCTGAGTAACTTGCCTTTCCACCAGCTGAGGAGGTACTAGCTTGAAAGCAAGTCAGGAATTCTCTGTTTGGAGTAAAAAGGTAAAAGGTAAGGGATCCCTGGACGATTAAGTCCAGTCAAAGGTGACTGTGGGGTGCGGCGCTCATCTCGCTTTCAGGCTGAGGGAGCCAGTGTTTGTCCACAGGCAACTTTCCGGGTCATGACTAAACTGCTTCTGGTGCAACGGGACACTGTGAGGGAAGCCAGAGCACATAGAAACGCCATTTATCTTCCTGCCACAGCAGTGTAGTGATACCTCAGTTTTCGAATGTCTTGGAAGTCGAACGTTTTGGTTTTTGAACATCTTGGAAGTCGAACGTTTCGGTTTTCGAACACCAAAAACCCAGACGTAACTCGGTCCCAGGATGGCTGAAGAAAGCAGGACTTGAGATCACTTAAGGAAAAAAACCCAATTGAAGAGAGGTGGGCAAGGTAGAAGGCTAGAGTTGCCCCCTGGCCAGACTTCTCTGCCATTAAACCCACACTCTGCTACTGGTTCTGTCTCTCCTCTGAGAAACTACATGTGTTGAATTTCTGCTTCCTATTCAGCATTTAAAGGTGTAGGAGCCCTACTAGAAAGAAATGGGTAGCAACCCAATGTAGGACCATGAAGGGCTGTGAGCTGGGAACATTTTCCTTAATGTTTATAGATTTAGAGCCCACCTTTTTAAAAGACAACTTTCTCATAAGGAAAGCACACAGATATATCACTCAGACTGTTATGTCGTATAACTATATATACACACACATACATACATAAAAATATAAAGCAGAGCACTAAAATTAAAAGTTCTAATGAACATGCAGGCAATGAAACACATTAAAATAAAATCAGCCGCAACAGAACCTTAGAATTATAATGCAACCACAATAAAACAGCATCACAGATTGCAGGTCCAATTAAAATAGTCACAAAAAGGCCACAGTAAACAAATAAGTTTTCAAGGTCCATTTGAAGCAATGGAGCCTGTCTGATCACGCTTGGGGAAAAAGTTATTTAGATACAGCATGCAAATTTACTACTTTTGTAATATGACATAAATTTAAAACGTGATTCCCCCCCACCCTGTTGAATCTCCCTCTTTTCTCAGTTTCAGTTTGTTTGGTCTATATACTAAGCATCAAAGGTGAGTTAAGAGCAGAGGTGCACAAGTTTGAAACCATCAAAAGATTTATTAGCCAAAAACTAACACTAGAGTTACAGGATTTGATAAACTCTTGTGGGAGTGGTAGGTACCTGTTGATGGGAGCCACGAGTGCAGCCTACTGAGTCCTGAATTGCCACACACCATCGTAGTTCCCACCCCTTTGGAAGTTTTCTTCTCCCACAAGGCAAATGTCATATGGTTCCTATTGTGTACATATTGTTGTACGCTGCTTTGATAGTTTATATGAAGGCAGTATATAAATGTTATTATAAATAAATTTAAATTAATGTTGGCTAACAGCTTGCCACCCCTACTGGTAAAACAGCCCTGTGACACTCAGCTGTGAAGTGGCATAACTCTTTTTGCAGGCTTGCACGCTGGTGCCATACCTTCCTGCAAAGCTGTAAACATTCTAGGAATTCAATGCCACCGGTAAACTGGCAAAGGGTTTTGAGCCAGCAGTCCTATGCACACTTCAAAGTAAGCCTCAGTGAAATTGGTGGAGCTTGTTTCTGATTAAACACAGATAGGATCAGGTTACATGTTGGTTGAAATGGCTGTGTATGGCACTGGGCTTCCTTGATGAGTCTTGCTTATTTTGTGGAAGAAGAGGAGACAGTAAGTTCATGCCAACAACTGTTCATTTCTCTGTCCTAAATATGCCCAGGGTGGGAAGGAGCAGTTGTGGTGATGCTGATGGCTTACTTTCATTGTGTAGGAGAAACGGAAAAGGTCCCTGCTTGCTTGCAGTGTGTTAGGACTGCAGTTTTATAGAACTAATGCTCAACTTGGCTCAGTGCTGTTTTAATGTGACATGTGATGAAAGTGAGCTCTTTCAGATAGGAAAAACTCAGGATTGTTCTATACAAACATAGAAATTCTAGCCATGTCAAGCTGCTCTGCAGACTAAATATCAACCATCGCTGTTGTAGGAATGCAGAAACTCTGCTTCTCTTTGTGTAGGAGAGGAATCCCTATTGGATCTTAACTGGTTGAGATCCTTTGTTCCAGCCTTCCCCAGCCTGGTGCCCTCCAGCTGTGTTGGACTTCAGCTTCCATCAGCCTCAGCCAAGGGAGCAATGGAAATCTCCAGCATATTTGGGAATTTGCTAGTTACACTTCTCTTAAGTACTCAAACTGAAGATGTTCTAGCTCCCTGCTTGGCCTTGTCATCTTTCTTATACAAAAAGCAAAAGGTGAACTTTTAATATACTGAAATATTAATCTTTAATGGAGGCATATCCCAATATTTACTCCCACAAATCCATATTGTGAACAATCCTTGAATTGTAGTCTACCAGTGGACCACAATGTGTGTCTGATTTGCCCCTAAACATAATTGTAGAACTGGGGTGGGACAGTGTATGATGTCAAATAATAGGCAGAGGACTTGGGGACAAATATTAATTGCTGGTGAAAACTGAAATGGCAGAGATGAGAGTAGTGGTAGCTCCCCGCCCCCTTGTTTTCCTGTTGATCCAGGAATGAGAGAGCTGACAAGTCAGCACGTCACTTAAAAAAAGGCTGCAGGGAACAATGCTGTGATACAGCTTATTATTATTATTATTATTTTAAATCATGCCTTTACTCCAAGAAACTCAGGTCGGTTCCCCCCGTTTTATCCTTGCAACAACCCTTGGAGTGTAGGTTAGTGACTGGCGCTAGGTCATCTAGTTAGCTTCGTGACTGGATGGGCATTTGAACCTGAGTCTCCCTGGTTGTGTTCCAAGACTTGTCCACTGGCTCATGCCAGTTCTTCCAACCTGATCCAGAAAACAGTGCAAGAAACACATCTGAAACATATTGATGAGGTAGCCATTATTGTTTACTACCACAAATATAAGTTCAGCTTCCTGATTTAAGCAGCCATAACCATTTATTTGACTTGGATTGTGGTTCTAAACCCATTGAACCAAAGTTGGGTTTATTTCTGACTCGAGGGCCAAGTAAGTGTGCTGACACCATAAACAGGTTTATTATGCTGAAAAGCTTTCACTGTCTGGCAGCCACACTTAACAGCCCGAAGCCCTGTGAGTCCCATGAGGGTCTCAAGAGCGAAAGGAGTGCAGTAGTCTTGAGGTGCCTGTTGTCCCTCCCCTGCTCCCCCAAGGGGCCTGCGCACTAGAACTTGAGTGCCATGTCAGGCACCTGCCTACTTTGGGAAAAGCTGACTTAAGCTGTTCTTGGGACTTCCTTAGCAATGTCGGCGTGCCTTTGGTACAGAGGTGTCGTACTGTTTACAGCAAACAAGATGTACTTTAGCTCATGCTGCTTCAAGAGGGAATTGTCTGTTCTGCCTGGAACTACCGTCCCTGCTACACAGAATTGTGTTTGTATGTGGTCCTTACGCAATAAACAGATGAAGGCGTTGACACACTGGATAATTGAAAATGGCTGTGCCAGCTTGTCATAGGCAGTTAGACTCATTTTATGCCATGGAGTGTAATTCTAATGTTGTGTTCTTCTTTTCCATGGCCAGAAAGGCATTTTGGGGCATAGGACTACTGGCAGCAGCTGGCCACCTGAGTGTTTACTGCCCCAGGGTGACTTGCATCATGATCACATAGCCAAAAGTTGGGGAATTAATCTTCTTCCTAAGAGGAGACTCCTGGAGGTAGTTTGTGTGAACCCAAAGGCTTGATGGTTTGTAGGCAGCATCAGTAGTACTATGGAGCTCGGAGTTGCAGTAATTTCCCTTCAGAGGTGTAAAGCAATCTGTAAAAGCTGCCTTGATTGTTTCTGCCCCTACCCCAAAAGAGATATTGGCATATTTACCTATACCTATATTTACCTATACTTGTAGGAGGGGGAGATATTTTCTGCATTCTAAACCTCCTCAGTGGACTGGAGTAGGTATTATCAACTTGTTTCTTTGGCTGAAGCCTCCGGGCCTCCATAGAACTGCACAGTGAAGAAATGCAGGTATTAAATGCAGAGCTCTCACTCCAAAGGAAGGAGTGGGCAATTGCTAGCTGATAATAAATATCCATTCATCCTGCCTCTCTTTCACAAGGGAGGGAAGCTAAAGGAGACTTACAGTGTTCACAGTCATTTCCCATCCAAGCACAGACCAGACTCCATATACCGTACCTTCTGACCATAGTTCTAAATTGTCAGACACCCTAAATAGCTCCTGCTTCCTTCAACATGTTTTAATAAATAGCAAGCATCCTGAATCATGGCAGGAATCTTGCAAAATAAAAACTGGTGCCAAGCAACATGACCCATCTGCTTCTAACAGTGGAACTTGGTACAACCTATGGCAAAAACTGCATGAATCTGTTCCCTTTTTGAAAACTGCAGACCGTCTTGACTTTCGCTAAGACCTGTGCTTCCTTTAGAGGGTCAGCATTCAAGTAGCAGAAATCCAGTATTAAGGGAAACCAGGAACTCTTTGATCTAAAGGTGTGTAGAACTGTTGGTCATTAGGGATGTTTGTTTTAGAATATGCCAGTTTTGCAGAATAAACATGAGCTTTTGTTATGTCTTCAACAGGGTTTAGTTCTGATAAACAGCAGTTCATTTGTGACTGGGCTGTACAGGAAAAGTCTCTGTATAGATATTTCCCTGCACATAGGAAAGCATCTAAAACTCTTCTTTCTGATCTATTTATTCTTCTGTATGGAGGAGCATTTGATCATTTGGGTCCCCTATCTGCAATCTGATATAATGTATCGCAGAAACAGATTTAGCACATCCATCTGCTGTTTGTGACAAACTTGACAGATGTTTATCATACATATAGTAGCAAGGGAGTGGGGGAAGCAAGTTCACTAACAAAGCCAGGAGAGACCTTCTTGTGCTTGGTCATAATTCATTTTCAGATAGGATTTTTTGAGGATACATAATTAAAATAAAAATTTTGAGGGCCAGAAAGCAACATTTCTGTGCACAAGAAGCTGCCCAGTAGCAGACCTATCTAGCTTGTCTGCTGCTGCTCCCCAGAGTGTTAGACAGAGGCTGCCTTTGAAGATTTTGCAGATTACAAGCACTGAAAACAGTCCTGCTGACCTGGGATTCTTTGCTCCAGTTGCCACATCTCTCTAGAGGCAATTGCTTTGTGTCCCAAGTGAGCAGCTATTGGTAGATCTTCCACTTCTAGCCGTTAAGATACTGTATGTTAGACATTTACTAAGGGCCAAATTAGACATAAGATGTGTGAATGTGTTTGATGCATATTCTTTAGCTGCCAGGGAGTAGGGCCTATAGAATCATAGAGTTGGAAGAGACCACAAGGGCCGTCGAGTCCAACCCCCTGCCAAGCAGGCCTAGGCAGCATTGGAGCCAGAGCGAGTGGGGTGGATGAGTTTAATTCTCCCTCCCTGACAAAAAGTGGCAGCTCTGAAGGTGCTGTTTGTGTGCAGTTTCAAGGGAGCAACCTTTTGTTGTTGGGACAGTGGAAATGTTGAACTTTTCTTCCTTCTCCCCTGTGCTCCCAGTCTGTATTCATCACATTCATGTCAGTCAGGCGTTGTGTCTGGGGTTCTCACTTTGGGGGGTGCCAGTGTCCACAGACCAGCAAACAAGCCTCCAGAGTTGCATTATAAATGAGGGTGAGCTGGCTTGTCTCTTGAATGTGGTACAAAGCCAAGCTGCTTTGGGGTTTTTTAAAAGCAAACAAATCTTATTTTAGGTTTGCATTGATTCTTTTCTTTTAGCATTAGGCCTGACATCTCATTTAAGAAGAGTGTGTGTATGTCTGAGATGACATACTTTTCTGATTGGAATTAGGGTTGTTTTTGAGTTCCTTCGAGATAGGTTAGTCCCATATCTTTTTAGCCACGCTTAACCTGTTCAGTTTTTATATAATTACTTACTGGAGTAATTAGTGGCTCAAGTATGGATTCTCCTCCAACAAATTCTGTTTCTCCAGTGAAGGTTTATGTATGGAGAGTATTAATTAGCATTGGGGAGGGTGAGGAAAGAACAAGAGGGAGCTAATTATGCCTGAAAGCTTCATCTGAAATGGAAAGAAGTGTTATATTAATTATTCCTATAAGAAATTTGCTGCCGTGAAAGTAGCCACATTCTGTGTTACCTTAGAAAAACCCTGTTAGGCTGAGGGGACCGTGTTTGGCCCAAGGCCCTTTGGGGAGCTTCATGGCTATCCAGTGATTTTAATCTGTTTCCAGCATCCAAACCTTTCACCAGCCCTGCCCTGCTCTGCTCTGCTCTGGGATTCCTCATGCATTTATTAGTGCCATTTCTGAGCATAGGCTTGTAAATAACCACTCTGCTTGGGATGGGATGAGACCTTGGAGGAGGAGCTCCAGTTGGAATGCGTAGTCTCATTTCAAGTTGGAGTCAGCCCCCTTCAAGCTGGATCTGGGATTCATCTCTATCTCTGCTGCTGCTCCGCTTTCTTTTACAGACCCTCCCCTCCCCTGCTGGAGGGAAAAGGCTTCACCTTGGGGAAGTAGGCAAGAAGCAGTAGAGGGCTCACTTTGACACAGTTCTGAGTATTGTACCAGCCAGACGACAAGGAGTGAAGCAGGCACAATTTTCACTTTTGCTCATTCTCACTAAACCATAGTTTGACTTAGCTTTATGTGCAAACTGAGCTGGAGGCAAGGCCTGTGTGGTACAGTGGTTAACAATATCAAACTAGGTTGAAATCCTCACTCTGTTCTGAAGCTCACTGGGTTACCTCAGGCCAGCTTACTTCACAAAATTGTTGTGAGGCTAAAATTAGGAAGGGGAATGTGTTCACAGTTCTTATCTCTTTGGCGGGGATAACGATGCATGGAGCACCCATTTTCGGCTAGGACAATGGGGCTCCTGGTGTTCACTGGTATGCTCAAAAAGCCAATGGAGGAGTTGCACATCTCAAATTGGCCAGATGCAAACTGCTTCCTGCTGACTAGCAGGAACACTTACCTTCTGATTTTGGCGACAAATTACTACGATATGTAGGCAGGCAATTTTCCACACACACCCTTTGGCTAGTGGCTCATGTGAGCATAATTTGCACAACTGTCTTAGTGACCCTTTCCTAGAAGAAAGCGGTTGTACCCTCAGAAAAAGAAGGAAAAGTTGAGATGGCGGTTGAAGAAGTTGGTGTTTTTTCTTTTCAGGCAATTAGTTAAATCTTCATAGCCAAGTGTGCTCCCTGCTTTGGAAAACAGTTGCCCACTCTACATAATTGACTTTCTGTGTCTGTCTGGAGTTGAGATGGGGAGCTGCAGAGGTCTGCTTTATTGGTTTTTAAAAAAGCATTCTTTCTCTCACCTTGATAATGGGACATACTTTATATTTTAACAAGTGCAGTTCTCCAGAAGCTTTGAAATATGAATGTGTAGTTCAGGCATAATACTTACTTACTTACTTACTTACTTACTTACTTATTTAAAGCAGGAGTCTTATCCCTCTTCATCGCCAATATGGTTCGTGGACTCAGATGACCCCAACTTGACTTCAGTATTGGAGCGTTTAGATGATATTAAAAAGAGCAATACTCTGGTAAGTGATCACCTGTCCTCCTTTGCTTAATCTGGCATTTGGTTATGAACTAGGTATTAGGTTAGAATCCCACAGCCATGCCATTGTTTGGTGGTGCCTTTTTTGTTTTAAGCAAAAATATTGCTTGTGGTTTCACAAGTGGCACTCCTTCACCAGCTGGCCATCTAAAAATATTTGATCTAGAACAGTGTCTCTTTCAGTTTGCAGAAACCATTTATTCACAGCAAAGGCTCATGCAGGGTAACTACCACAAATGTTTTAGCAATTGCAAAAAGCAGAAGCCAGAAAACAAGTGTGCTTTGCGTGGAGAGGGGGGCATGTTATAAATAACAAAATTGTCCATTTGTATGGGAGAAAGCAGGTGGGATTTTTCATGCTTTCCTGTCAAAAATAATTTCTAGATATTGTGACAGTACTTCTTAACACATAGTGCCAAAACTGAAACTAGCGCTATCCTCTTTTCTTATCATAGCTGGCTGTATTATGACTTGCAAGCAGGAGAAGAAGAGCTTCAGATTGTGATTCTTTCATGCTGCTTTCTCTGACCCAGTTCCCTCCAGTTGTTGTGGGAGTGCAGCTCTCATTGGCCCCAGCTAGCATGACCAATGGTTAGGGATAATATGAATTACACCCTAAAACATGGAGGGCATCAGGTTGGGAAAGGCTTCTTCAAGAAATCATAGTGGTTTCTTGTATTTAGTTTTAAAGCCACCCTGCCTTTACACGTGACCAAAGCAGAGGGCTGAAGTCCTACTGGGCTTTCCAACGTATGTATTTCTACCACCAATTCTTGAAATCAAATTGGGGGTGTTAACCAAGGGGCAATTCATAATATGCACTACTGGGAAATAATATTTCTTCCTAGCCTAAATTCTTGGCTTGTGGGACTGCCGTCTTCTGGATGGGTGGTGTACACATGCAAAGCCCAAGCCACCTTCTTGGCAGCCATGATTTGATGCTACAGTCCCAAAAATCTTAATCATGGGAATTCTGGAGCAGCAGTAGGATGGTAGAGCATCTATAAACAGGTGTTGCTGCTGCTTCCCTTACTTGGCTGCTTTTAGGAAGGAGACAGTTGTCCTGTTCAGGTTGTCTTCTGATGCTTTGGATTAGTGTTCCAGTTGATATCATTTACACGTGCCTGTTGGTGAGGATGAGAGAGAGAGAGAGAGAGAGAGAGAGAGTAAGAGTCTAAACAGAGCTGGCAGTGTGTTGGAGTTGATCACAAGTTATAATAAAAAGAAGTATAGCAATAATAGCATTCCAGAAATAAGGTTACAACTGGAAAATCTATTAAATGATATTTAGTATTTATTGGCAAACTCCTTCATGATTTAATTTTGTTCCAACACATCAAGAAGGCTCTCCAGCTGCTCATGAGCATAGATTCTGTTTTTCTGGAGTCTCTTGTAATGAGCAATGTTTACCATTCTCAGGGTTTGCCAGCACTGTGAAGCCACTTAAGCTGAAAACATTTGAGACACATCCTGCTTCATAGTATCCTGAATTGTCTATAGATCCACAGCAACGTAGTAGTACCAAATGTTACTCTCGCTCTTACTCTGCACTACCGGAGTTTAAACACTTTTGGTTAAACATTTTCCAGTCTGTAACTGCTTCATACTGCATCTTAAATCTGAACTGTGGACTATTGATAAGTGTAACATGTTTTAGACCAATGCACACAGAATTGTGTAGGACATTAATGCTGATGTGTAGATGTGACATCAGAGTTCATGTGTGCATTGCCAGGCAGGTGGGATAGGCTGTTCTAAAAATGAGATGTTGGGGCATCTGCTTAAGTTTCTTCATGCATATTTTGAATAAGAATAGATTACAAAAATCAAAGGGTCTGGACTAGACTCATTCTGTTAGGCTTTGCAGCTTCAGATGAGTTGGAAAGAGTCCTGATGCAGCAGCAAGCTCATCTGGAAAGTTGTGTCTTCAGAAACAGTTCCAAGAAAGAGAACGATAACATTTTGGCATTGCTATCCCAGATTCGGCTTGTTGGACCTGTACTAGTTCTGCCTCTTTCAAGGCTGCCTGGGAGGTAGCTGGTTCTAACTAGCAGCAAGCGACACTGTTCATTCCTGTCCATGAGTGCATTATGCTTTCTGCATCCAACAATTCTATGCTTGTTTCCTAGCCTGTGGCTTCATCTGCTGCTTAATAGCATCCCACAATAGAGCCACATTTCCTGGTTATCTAAGGTTGCTGGGCAGGGAAGGATGTGACCAACTTTCTACGACATGAGTTTGTAGCTCAAACTGGGGCCTTAGCTAGTTCTGCTTCTGCAAGCCAAGCATGTTACCTTCCCAAGCAAGTGTTGGTAGAGGCCCTGCCTTGGCCTAGAGATCCAGAAGCTTTAATTCTCCCTCCGCCGTCTGCCGTGCTCTGCAGACAGTTGTACCATGGAAGTCGAATGGAATACGTTCTGGAAGTCCATTTGACTTCCAAAACGTTTGAAAACCAAATCACGGCTTCGCCAATCGGAAGCCCCTTCAAACGTTCAGGTTCGAAAAGGACATTCGCAAACCGGAACAATCATTTCTGGGTTTGCGGCGTTCAGGAGCCAAAACGTCCAAGTTTCAGTGAGTTCGACAACCAAGGTACAACTGTACTCAAATTTAATTAATTTGCCTGCTAGAATCCTATGCTATGGTTAAAATCTACTGAGGGGGACTGTTTGGGTTGCAGAAGCCAGTGCCTTCTGTTGGTTGCTTAAGCATTTAACAGTAGCTGGTCATTATTTCTCCACAGTAAAAATGAGGAGTTGAAACCTGCTCACTCTTATTTAAAAAGGAGCTTCAGGTGCTTGGGAAAACAGTGGCACTGCACGACAAAGCCAGACTTGACATGGGGTCTTATGGATGCCACTAAATCTGCCTTGTTGTTTAATGGGCTAATCCTAAAGAAGTCTGAAAAACCTTGAAAGTAAATCATACTTGATACAGTGGGATAGAACTATCTAGTAAGCATGCTTAGGGTTGCAGCTTTAACATTCATAAAGAATTACACAGTAAGTGCTGTACATTTTGCCCAAACAAAAATCTGCAAATCGGTCTAATAGATCTTTCATTGACACTTCCACGCTGTATGTGCCATTCCTAAACCTGTCTTTGAATGGAGGGGTATTTAAAGGGAAACAGCATTTTGCAGGCTAAAAATAGTATCCTATGGGCTCTGAGCAGGGTGTCAAGAAGCAAAACACTGATGTATTGCCCGAGATCCATAGGTGGTCACAGGTGGTCATGTTATTCCCAGCTGTTAATCTGTGCTACCATAGGTGCAAAACTCAGGTTACATGTAGCTTATTGGGAGACAAAATTCTGTCTGTTTTGGGCTGCTGCCAGCAAATGGATCCTCTCCCCTTGCCCTTACTTAACACTTGATAAAAACTAGGATTTGTGTGTATGTGGTAAAAGTAAAAGCACTTAAGGCCCAGATGAATAGGTGCTTTGAGTGTGTGTGTGTGTGTGTGTGTGTGTGTGTGTGTGTGTGTGAAAGTGGTAATTTTCATAGGGCTGGAAGGAAGTGCAATTGCCAGGCCAAGGCAGAAGGCTCTGCAGAGCAGGACACCTGATCCGGGCAGCAAAGGGCTGGAGTAAGCAAGGTGTTCCATTTCCAGGGTCTTGCAGGACAGGTGGGTCCGGATGGCACAAGCCACAGAGAAAATTTATTCCTGGTACCAAATATTCTGTCAGACACCGAATTTCTATAAATGTATTTCTGTAAACAAACTAGATGTTTGTTAGTTTTTGAAGCATATGCCTAATGAGTCTGTCTGTTCCGGTGCAGTTAAGACTAGGGCTGGGTGATGTCTGGTTTTCAACATCATGATATATCAGCAGCTGAATACTGAAATATGCTGATATATCACGATGTCCGCAAAGCCATTGCCTTGAGTCCTACCCTCCAAAGCAGGAGAAAACAAGCATGCTCCCTCTTCCCTATGACAGTCCTTGAGATATTTGAAGATAGCTAACATATCTCCTCTCTGTCTCCTGTGCGTATGGAACTCTGATACATCATGGAGAAGGGTTCGAGCGAATCCTTGTCTCTGATGTGCACACTTCAATGCCCAGGGTATGTGCTTTCAATTGAGCAGTTCCTCCAGGTGGTGCTGGCAGGTCAAGAGGACCGTCCTGCGTGCCCTCCCAGAATAGCTGGAGAGATACAAGATGGAGGCTGTTGCTTTATTAATCTGAGTACCAGAAAATCTAAGACTTAACAACTTATAGCCTTTGTATATTATAGGGTTTATTATAGTCATTTGTTTAAGAGGTGGGTATCCTCTTTGTTGGGCACAGGATTCAGGGCACAGCACGGCAAACTTTCATTCAAATAAAACATGAGAACAAACCATTCACAAGCCATTTTACTTGTTTTGTAGCTTCTCCAACAATTGAAACGATTGATATGCGACCTCTGCAGACTATATAATCTTCCTCAGCATCCTGATGTTGAAATGTTAGATCAACCATTGCCGACCGGCCAGGTAAATCCTAATGTTCCTCTGACTCACAGGTGCTAATGGGTCTGCTTGATGTTTGGGCTGTGGGCACAGATTGTTAAGCATGCTGCTGACCAGACATAGGAGTGCAACATGGGTTATTTTTTGTGGTGTGTAAAGGTGACTAATTCACAAATCATTTCTATGCAGAGCAAGTGGTACTCATTGTCTTGTTAAGGAAAACAACATTCCTCATTGTTTGAGATGAGTATTGTGTTTATCTTTGTGATGGAACAAAGCAGGGTAGGCTTATAAAGAACTTTTAGGTTCTGCTGCTTAGTCAGTTCCAATGAGGGCGAAGCTTTCCTGTCTTCTTGTTCCTCCCTTACATGTAAGATGCTTACTCTCCTCCAGCTTTAAGAAGCTCACTGTGGCCTTCGTAGCGCTGCCTCATTGAGAATTTAATCTCTCGCCACTAGACACCTCTCTGTTTCTAATGTTTTTTCCAAAACTGATAGTTCTTTATCAAAGTGCAGCCAGTGTGTGCATATGTTTGCATCTTTGTGTGTGCTTCTTTATAGCTCATAAGCTCAGTTCCTATTTTCAGTAATGGTGTTTAGCATTTGTAACATGCTTTTGAGTGTTCAAAGCATATCATGTGCATTATCTTGTAAACCCTACGAGACGAAACCTCCCTGAAAAGTGAGTGTTGTTACTGGGAATGGGATGCTCAAGCTAGCATGTGTTGTGGCCATCTAGTGAGATTATAGCAGAGGTCGAATTTAAACTGACTCAGCCTCTTGGCCGCTAGCATACTTTTTCTTTTCTTTCTTTTTTAAACTGAAAGTGATAGTAACAAAGAATCTGATTTTGTTATGTTCCAGAATGGAACAACGGAAGAGGTTACATCAGAAGAAGAGGAGGAGGAAGATATGGGTGAAGTATGTCTGTGTGCGCATCTGTGCACGCACGTCTGTGCATGCACGTGCATGCTTTCCTTGTAGTAGTAGTAGAAGAAGAAGAAGAGGAGAGTTTGGATTTGATATCCCGCCTTTCACTCCCCTTCAGGAGTCTCAAAGCGGCTAACATTCTCCTTTCCCTTCCTCCCCCACAACAAACACTCTGTGAGGTGAGTGGGGCTGAGAGACTTCAGAGAAGTGTGACTAGCCCAAGGTCACCCAGCAGCTGCATGTGGAGGAGCGGAGACGCGAACCTGGTTCCCCAGATTACGAGACTACCGCTCTTAACCACTACACCACACTGGCTCTAGTAGTAGTAGTAATAATAAATAAATTTATTATTTATATCCTGCCCATCTGGCTGGGTTTCCCCAGCCACTCTGGGCTGCTCCCAATCAAATATTAAAAACACAATACAGCATTAAACATTAAAAACGTCCCTAAACAGGGCTGCCTTCAGATGTCTTTTAAAAGTAGGATAGTTGCTTATTTCCTTGACAACTGATGGGAAGGTGTTCCACAGAGCAGGCGCCACTACTGAGAAGGCCCTCTGCCTGGTTCCCTGTAACCTCACTTCTCGCAGGGAGGGAACCGCCAGAAGGCCCTTGGAGCTGGACCTCAGTGTCTTTGTTATTCTTATTCTGGCTTCTATCATTCTTGGATCTGTCTAGGGAAGGAGGAGTGGAAACCATGGGGAATCAATTGAAGATCTGCCCTCCTAAAGTTCAATAACCCTTCTGTGTGCAATCCTTATCCCACCCAAACAGCATTGTGCATATCTGTCTGACTGCCAGGGACCCTGCAGTAGAGCTTCCCGTCGCTCCTATGCACTCTCCTCCCTGTGTGCATATTCCTGTTTGCAGCCTGAGATAACTGGGTTCCCTTTCACCTGATCCAATAGTGCACATTTAGAGCAGGGTGAGAGAAACAGCCATGAAGTCTCAATTGCTTTTGTAAGCATTTTGCCAATGAGATACACCCGCATTTTTGCCCTTGCTTGTGTTCTCCCCCATCCCTGCCCTGTGTGAGAAACCCTGACTGATGCAAAGCACTAAGGCACATGGATTTTGCTTTTGTTGGCCTTGTTCTTCTTAAGTAGTATAGTAATTTTGTCTTGTAGGATATTGATCTGGATCATTATGATATGAAGGAGGAAGAACCTGTTGATGGAAAGAAGACAGAGGATGATGGCATTGAGAAAGAGAACCTGGCAATCCTAGAAAAAATCCGAAAGAGTCAAAGGCAAGACCACCTAAATGTAAGAGGCGATTAAACAAATAAGAGCATGCTGTGGAATGCATACAGCATTTCATTTTCTGCACCGTTTCTTGCAGGAATGTATGTACTTTTAGCACACTTCCATAAATTTCATAGCTATATTGGGAGTTATAATGTTACAGTCTCTCCATTCTTTCTGTGTATGTACTTACTCTACTTATACATATAGAAAGAATTTAAATCACTTTACCAAAAATGTACTGTTTTTTCTACCTTCCAACTTGTTAAATATTTAAAATTAGTGTCCTAAATGATTGTGCCAGTTTTTCAATATTGATCATTGGTAGCCTTCTTTTAAACAGCCTTTTAATGGCCCTGGTACTGTTCTTTTAAGAGTTTTATCAAATCAAGCTACCCTTAACTTATTTTTAGGGTGCAGTCTCTGGGTCTGTCCAGGCTTCAGATCGACTTATGAAAGAACTCAGGGATATATATAGGTCGCAGAGTTACAAGTCAGGTAAGTATCTGCATCTTTTATGAGCAAAATCATAACGTTCTATTCTGATCTGGGCTATGATATGCAACATTAAGGCTGCAATCCTATATAATGTATGGCGGGGGGGGGGCATTGTGGTGCCTTCTAGATGTTTTTGCCATGCTGACTGGGGCTGTTGGGAGTTGGAGTCCAAAACATCTGGAGGGTGTCAGGGTGGCTACACTTGATGTAGAGTAGACTTGCTTGTGCTGAACTATCTGGGACATAGCTATGAGTAGACATGCATAGATTTCCGTTGTAAATGTGCCCAAATCTGAAACTGAGTAAGTGGCTTGTTTTGCCTTCTTTCCTAGTGTCTGTGCTATCAAATTCTGAGCTATTCTTCTGTTGCACTCAGTTCTTTTAAGAATTTTTTTTAATGAAATTATAAACGTTGTGCACTTTATCAAAGTGTCTCAGGTGAAATACTAAACAACCATCAAACAGTTTGAAATCTGTGTTAAGTAAAGAAAGCACAAATACCCTCAAATTTCACAGTCCTGTCCACCAGTCACAGGACTCACTCTCTGAATCAAAAATCAATTGCAAATTCCCACACAGAAAGAAAGTGTGGGAAACCCCAGCTTTTATCTGAAGAGTGTAATATCTAGCCTGTCTCTGTATTTGCTTACAAATTGCCTGGCCTTGAAAATGCTTTTCCTGAGAAAACCATTCTCCTTGTCTCTTGTTAATCAAATCACAGTTGACCGTTTACTCTCCCAAGCTTACCAGAAAGTCATAGAATCATAGAGTTGGAAGAGACCACAAGGGCCATCGAGTCCAACCCCCTGCCAAGCAGGAAACACCATCAGAGCACTCCTGACATATGGTTGTCAAGCCTCTGCTTAAAGACCTCCAAAGAAGGAGACTCCACCACACTCCTTGGCAGCAAATTCCACTGTCGAACAGCTCTTACTGTCAGGAAGTTCTTCCTAATGTTTAGGTGGAATCTTCTTTCTTGTAGTTTGGATCCATTGCTCCGTGTCCGCTTCTCTGGAGCAGCAGAAAACAACCTTTCTCCCTCCTCTATGTGACATCCTTTTATATATTTGAACATGGCTATCATATCACCCCTTAACCTCCTCTTCTCTAGGCTAAACATGCCCAGCTCCCTTAGCCGTTCCTCATAAGGCATCGTTTCCAGGCCTTTGACCATTTTGGTTGCCCTCCACTGGACACGTTCCAGTTTGTCAGTGTCCTTCTTGAACTGTGGTGCCCAGAACTGGACACAGTACTCCAGGTGAGGTCTGACCAGAGCAGAATACAGTGGCACTATTACTTCCCTTGATCTAGATGCTATACTCCTATTGATGCAGCCCAGAATTGCATTGGCTTTTTAGCTGCCGCGTCACACTGTTGGCTCATGTCAAGTTTGCGGTCAACCAAGACTCCTAGATCCTTTTCACATGTACTGCTCTCAAGCCAGGCGTCACCCATCTTGTATTTGTGCCTCTCATTTTTTTTGCCCAAGTGCAATACTTTACATTCCTCCCTGTTAAAATTCATCTTGTTTGTTTTGGCCCAGTTCTCTAATCTGTCAAGGTCGTTTTGAAGTGTGACCCTGTCCTCTGGGGTGTTAGCCACCCCTCCCAGTTTGGTGTCATCTGCCAATTTGATCAGGATGCCCTTGAGTCCATCATCCAAGTCGTTGATAAAGATGTTGAATAAGACCGGGCCCAAGACAGAACCCTGTGGCACCCCACTAGTCACTCTTCTCCAGGATGAAGAGGAACCATTGATGAGCACCCTTTGGGTTCGGTCAGTCAGCCAGTTACAAATCCACTGAGTGGTAGCATAGTCAAGACCGCATTTTACCAGCTTCTTTACAAGAATATCATGGGGCACCTTGTCAAATGCCTTGCTGAAATCAAGGTAGGCTACATCCACTGCGTTCCCTTCATCTACCAGGCTTGTAATTCTGTCAAAAACGAGATCAGGTTAGTCTGACATGACTTATTTTTCAGAAATCCATGCTGACTATTGGTGATCACAGCATTCCTTTCTAGGTGCTCACAGACTGTTTGCTTAATGATCTTCTCCAGAATCTTCCCTGGTATTGATGTCAGACTGACTGGGCGGTAATTATTTGGGTCCTCTCTTTACCCCTTTTTGAAAATAGGGACAACATTTGCCCTCCTCCAGTCTGCCGGGACTTCGCCTGTTCTCCAGGAATTCTCAAACATGACTGCCAGTGGTTCTGAGATCACATCTTCCAGTTCTTTTAATACTCTTGGTGGATGCAGTTCATCTGGCCCTGGAGACTTGAATACATCTAAACTAGCCAAGTAGTCTTGCACTATCTCCTTAGTTATTCTGGGCTGTGTTTCCTCTGCTGAATCATTTGCTCCAAATTCTTCAGGTCGGGCATTGTTTTCTTTATCGGAGAAGACTGAGGCAAAGAAGGCATTGAGGAGTTCAGCCCTTTCTGTGTCCCCTGTTTGCATTTCACCATCTTCTCCTCTGAGTGACCCCACTGTTTCTTTGTTCTTCCTTTTGCTACGAACATACCCATAAAAGCCTTTTTTGTTGCTTTTAACCTCTCTAGCAAGCCTGAGTTCATTCTGTGCTTTAGCTTTTCTGACTTTGTGTCTACACGTGCTGGCTATTTGTTTGAATTCCTCTTTGGTGGTTTGAATTCCTCTTTCAAAGAGGGCTGGAGGATCTCAAGTGCTTCATTGGTGTGGCATCTCAAAACCGGAAACATGTCTAGCCCTTCAGCCTGGCACAAGGGGCAACTGAAGTATAAAAGGGCTATGTGATTGGAGGAACAGACATTCCATGGGAAACTCAGGATGGCGTGGATACATGTGCAAAGCTCCCAAGGCAGCAAAGGTTTTGGATCACTGGATGGTTCTCAGTAGATTGAGAAGGGTTTTGGTTTTTTTACTCCCAGCTGTTTGACAACAGCCAGAACACATGGTTGCTCCCTCAACCCTTCATTCTGTTGAAATGAAGGCAGCTTGGGAGAAACCCAGGAGTGGGTATTTCTGTGGCAGGACTGAGTTCATTATCCCAGTTTATTATGGGACACAGGAGGCAAATGCTGCAGTTCCTTGCGCAATATTTTTGCACCTGACTTTGCCCACTTGCTGTTTCTGCATGTGATTCTAGTTGATGATCCTCTTGGGATTATTAAAAAACAAACTGGTCGATCCCACAAGTCTGGTTCAGGTTGAAAGGTACTCTCTCTAGTTTTCGACTTAAATGTGTCTAGCTCTGGAATAAAGACTATCCAGATGCATTGCATCTGCTTTTAATAAGGCTTGCATGGTACTTGTGCTTCCTGGGGTGTTCCTGGTTTCATTTCATGTCTGGGGACTTACCTATCCGTGCTAGAAAGAACGCATCCTTAAGACACGGCATTCTTAATCAGTGCCAGGGTGTTTGCTATCTATAGATATAAGCCCTTGCCACACAGTTAGCTAGTAATCCTGAGGTCGTGTTGTGTTGTATTTGCTCTTACGAAAGGCCCCCATATGAACCGGTGCACCTTGGAATAGAAGTGGCTTGAGAGTGGAGATTCTATCAGCTGTGCATTTTGACAGTATCCAGCTGCTTCATCTTCAGACTGCAGTCTGAGCTGAGCACCAACACTGGAGATAACAGTGAAATATTCACAAAATGGAAGGATTCTTGTTTTTAGGGGCCTGGCCAGCCTAATTAAAAATACAGGAGTGCTTCTGGCGTCCCACCTCCACTAAAGTTCCCAGTTCATTTTCCCACCTTGACCACAAATCCGCTCTTCCCTCTATAGCTGAGATGGGGAACCTGTGTCCCTCCAGATATAGTTTGGGGCTGATGGGAATTGGGAGCCCAACATCAGCTGGAGGGCCACAGAATTCCCATCCCTGCTCTAGAGCGCCTAGGTGAGTGTGAAAAGGTAGATGCAAACATTCTTGCAAGTTCAAAAGATGGCAGCCCAGGAAGACAACCCACAAACAAGGGAGTCATTTGCATAGTGGACCAATATATGTATGGACTGGTGGTTCGGCTTCCTATGCCTGCCCTTTGAATTAATTTGTTGTTTACTTGTTTAAAATTTGGATCATTAATAAAAATCATTTGGGGGGAAAATGCCATGCCTGTTCAAGGAGGCCTGCTGCAGTCATTTGTTTGGGTGGGTGTGGGATGAACCAGTGCAATCTTACATAGACAAAATCCTTCATTTCTTTAAATAATCTTTCAACCACTCGATGCCTCTGCAACTCTGTTTCCTTTAATCCTTAACCAGTTGTTATGGGAAACTTAGTTTTACAGAAACTCCCTTCCCAAACTCTTCTCCTCGCCCCAAGTGTAATATTGTGTTCTGCTAAGGCCAACAGAATCTGAGATCAGAAAAGGCAGCTTACAACTGTAAGGCAGGATGGCACTGGCAAGAACTGCAAGTGCTGCTCCTGAATCAGTGCCGCCTTCTATGCATTTGTAACCCGTTCTTCACTAAAGGAACCTAGCAGCCCTTGCTCTGGTTATCTCCCTCTTGGACTCCTGCAATGTGCTCTACGTGGGGCTACCTTTGAAGGTGACCCGGAAACTTCCAGCTAATCCAGAATGTGGCAGCTAGACTGGTGATGGAGCGGCTACCAAGACCACATAACACCGGTCTTGAAAGACCTACTTTGGCTTCCAGTACGTTTCTGAGAACAATTCAAAGTGTTGGTGCTGACCTTGAAAGCCGTAAACGCTCGGCCCAGTATCCCTGAAGGAGTGTCTCCAGCCCGGACACTGAGGTCCAGCGCCGAGGGCCTTCTGGTGGTTCCCTCACCGTGAGAAGTGAGGTTACAGGGAACCAGGCAGAGGGCCTTCTCAGTAGTGGTGCCAGCCCTTTGGAACACCCTCCCATCAGATGTCTTCTAAAAGTCAGATAGTTACTTCCTTGACATCTGAAGGCAGCCCTGTTCAGGGAGGTTTTTAATGTTTGATGTTTTATTGTGCTTTTAATTCTGTTGGGAGCCGTCCAGAGTGGCTGGGGAAACCCAGCCAGATGGGCGGGGTATTATTTATTTATTTATTTATTTATACCCCCGCCCATCTGGCTGGGTTTCCCCAGCCACTCTGAACAGCTCCCTGATATTATTATTATTGCTTGAGCAGGCAGAGAGAGGCCTGCCTACTTTTCGCAACATAATCGCAACTGCTAAGACCCCACTTTTTATTATTTGTAAGTCATTTTAAACTAACTAGGAGATTTCCCTCTAGAGATAGCATCTCTCCAGGACTTTCTTCTTTAGTTGGGGCTGGCAACATAGCCTGTTTGGCACTGGAAAGACTGCATAAACTGGCTAAATTTTGTAGCTTCTTCTATTAATACAAATGCAGGAAAGAAACTGAATGGGATTTTCCTGGCCTTTTTATTTGCTTTATCTTCTCTTCCACATATTTGTGTGTGGCATTTTGAAAGCCACAGAATTCCCTTGTTTTAAAAATACATTCTTGGGGATTTTCTATATGCTTATTTGCCTGATTCAGCAGCAGGTGCTGCCCCGGGAACCTCAGCGGATGTGTCTGCTTGCAGATCAGCTGGGACAGGGGTCAGCAACCCACGGCTCCAGAGCCGCATGTGGCTCTTTTACACCTTTGCCGCGGCTCCGGGGTGGATACTAGCGAGGGTAGGAGGCGCATTGTGCGCCCCGACACTCCCCACTGTGGCGGGCGCTGTACTGGCTGTGACGTCGCATGGGGGCGGTGCGTGCGTTACTCACGCACCGTCCCGACGTCACCTTCCCGCCCGCTGTCAGATCGGAGGGCAGCGGCGCGCATGCTTTAAATGTCGCAATGGTTTTGTGGCTCCCAGGTTTTTTTTCTTCGGAAACGGGTCCAAGTGGCTCTTTTTGTCTTAAAGGTTGCAGACCCCTGAGCTGGGAGAAGGCGCAGTCATTCAATATGTGTGCAGTTGCTGCTGTTAGAGTGTTGCTGTTATTATTTTTACTGAAGGTGCAAGTAGAATGAATCAATAAGCTCTTTCCCTGAGACATTCTCTACAAGCTGTTCTTTCCTGCAGCAGGAGGTTTCCCTGGTGTGCATTTCTGCTGCCAAATAGAGGAGAGTTTGTGGAGGAAAGGTGGGGAAAGAGTCATGGAAACCCTAACTTGTCGTGAAAAAGGCTGCAAGAGGTTGTCCAGGCACATATAATTTATGGTACTGTAAATAGTGTCAAAATAGATGCTGTAGGTTTTCTGAAGCTAGGCACATGTGGAGCCAGACAGTCTTGTAATGGAGGGTATTAGGAGCGCCATGTAGGAGCAAGATATAATTTTGCCCTCAGATACAAAGGTAGGATTGCTCTTATTAGTGAAGTTCTGCTTTCATCCAAACAGCTCTGTGCTGCTGAGGAAAAGAGAGGACCTTGCTCATTCAGAACTCAGCATCTCTTTGCATTCAACCTTTGTGGAGTTCCAGATCGCTATCTTCGGTTTGGGTGTGGGTGTGTTTTCTAGTAACAACGGAAGCAAGCAACGCTTTTCATTTCCATTTTTTGCAGGGATTTATTCAGTGGAACTTGTAAATGACAGCCTATATGACTGGCATGTAAAACTTCTAAGGTAAGTTCACTTTTCCCCACCCCAACACTGTCCTAAATCAGTGGTTTTGCTATTGATGGATAGCTGGGTTGGTGGATGAAGGTGCATGATGATAATAATTTGATGTCCGCACCTAGGAAAGGTGCTATGTTGCAGATTAGCATATTTGCTTAAGGTTAGGGTTGTCACTCTAGACTTTTTTGTAGCTCTAATTGGCTAGGTCACTTGATTAGCCAGTGCATCTCTTTTAAAAAACAGACTTTTAAGTGCTTATAAAACTGCAGAGGGCTGATGCTCTTGCAGGAGAGGCATTCCTTCCTGTGTAACGTAAATCAGTCCCCATTGTGACACAGTGTGCAGTGGTACCTTCTCAAATTTAATTAGCTCCGTAAGTCTATTCCAAAACTTTTTACAATCTAACAAGATAATTGATGCATAAAATGAAAGCAATAATCAATGTTCTGTACTATAAAATAAATAAGACAGTATTGTAGATGATAAAAATTAAAATTATTTTTTTCTTGCCTGCACTGATGATAGTCATTGTTTGGAGGGGGGGCTTTTATCCATTTCCACAGTCACACAATCAATCAATCAATCAATCAATCATAAAATGAAAAACAAGCCACAGTCGCAAAAACAAAAGCACCAAATATCACCCCAGAACACTGCAATCAGAAACAGAAGGCTTTAATTTTGGTAGGGGTGGGCCTTAAATTAGCTGCTCAATGATGCAAACGGAATGAAAAAAGCCTTTATTACGATGGGGGGCGGGGCTTAAATTTGCTGTGCAAGGGTAAAACGGGATGAAAAAAGCCTTAATTACTATGCGAAGGACTCAAATTAGCTGCGCAACAGTGAAAACAGAAGCTCAGGAGCATGTTCGGCTTCTGGGGCAAAGTTCAAAAACGTGAACACCTACTTCCGGGTTTGCAGCATTTGAGTTCTGAGTTGTTCGGGAACTAAGCTGTTTGAAAACTGAGGTACCACTGTATATTGTCTAAACCTTGTTTTTATTCATACAAGAGGTGCTAAACAAGACACAGCAGCCCTGAATGGTGCATCTCATCTATTCTTCTCCTCACCCAAAAAGCCCTTCCTCCTCCCCAAGGCTACAAACTGTTCCTTATACATTTCAATAAATACACAAGGAGCATTTCAAACTGCTTGCTATTTATCTAACAGGTTTATAAACTGTTCTCAAGAAAGAATTCTTCCAAAAACAGTTTTAAAAATATGCACCAAAACATAAAGAAAATAAAAATTTTAAACTGTTTAATTAACATCCATCTTTAAGAATGCAAAGCCTAGAGACTTGGTGGGCATTTTTTTTATTAAGTCATACATTCTTTGAGATTCCTGTGAAACAGAGAGTCTTAGGATATGGAATCTGTTCCTCAAGACTCCTAAGTCTGCAGCTGATGTGCAGGAATATTCCCTATTCTCTGGTGACTCCAGCACTGCCCTCCAAAGAAACACTTGCCTGCAGCCAGGATGTTCATTAGGACCCTTAACTGCAGGTGAGCCACACCCTGTAAACAGCTGGCCTTTCGTTCTGAAGGAAATGCTTCACTCAGCATGGCATGGCCTAGTTGTTTGCGAAAGGTAGTGACAACCACTCAGAACTGAGCGACTCAATCCTTCTGCTTTTCCTCATTCTCCTTTGGTAGGGTTGATCCTGACAGCCCTTTGCATAGTGATCTTCAAGTCTTAAAAGAAAAAGAAGGTGTAGAATATATTTTGCTCAACTTCTCTTTTAAGGTAAGAGGAAAATAGTATCCAGTGTGTGAAAAAAATTTCATTGGTATGTAAATCCAAAGCAAATAGTTAACGAGAATTATGTTCTTTAATTTTATTGAGTCTCCTTTGAGTAGAACTTGGTTGGATACAATCCCATATTGCAAATAAAAATAATTAAAATATAGGACTTCAGAATGATGTATTTGCAACAGGGCATCAAATTTAGAAAGTTTTTGACTTTTGGATTTACTTTTCTTGTTCTTAGGATAACTTTCCCTTTGATCCTCCATTTGTGAGAGTGGTCTCTCCTGTGCTCACTGGCGGGTAGGTGTTGGTTTTTTTAACACATACACACAAACAAACAAACAAACACAGTGTTTCGTAAGAATGTGCGCGCGTGCGCACACACACACACACACAAAGTGTTTATTAAGAATAAATCACAAAGCTGTTACATTAACATTTGGGGAGTTATGTTTTAGCACATGGTTCTGTGGCCACCTGATGTTGCACTGGAAGTCTTATGCAGTGCAGACATCTGTCATAGACAGCAGTGACCTAGGAGGTTTCCTAACTTGGCTCTACCAGGATAAGTGTTCTTGTTAGAATCATAGCATTGGAAGGGACCATGAGGGTCATCTAGTCTAACCCCACAACTGTGCACATTCTTGGGCAGGAAGACAAGCATGGTACAGCTGTTGCAGGTCACTGCAGCAGCTCCCTTGCCATCCATGTCTCTTGGTCCTATGTACCCCATGAGACAGCACCCCAACCTCCCCCTCAAAACACCCCTGTTTACAAGTCCTGGTCATGAGCTCCCAAAGACTGCAATCAGCTAACTAGAACTGTTGTTTTAATGGAATACTGTATTTCCACCCTACAAATGCATTCAAGGCAGCTTACAAATATCCTGAAATAGCAATTGTACAGCAATATCAAATCTAGATAATTTAAAACAGCAATACCAAAAAAAGAACACCAGGAGCACCAGAAAAACTAAAGCCAGGCTGCCTATGAGCAGTTATTCAATCAGGTGGCACTGAGGGCAACAATAAAAGCCATTTGGGAGGGAGTTTTACAGCTGGGAGTGCAACCCTAGGAAAGCCACTTACCTCTCTTCCAAGGGTGGGGTAAAACATACAGGACCTCCAGTGACTGACTCTCCTGCCAGGCTGGTTCATGTAGGAAAAAGCAACCCATAAGGTACCCAGTTGGGACCAGGTTACTTTAAGTCACCTCACTTGCCTGCAATGAGGAGAAGAAGATGAGGCTGACTTACATTAATCTCTCTTTTAAAATGTGTTGCTTATACACCAGCCCTCTCCTGTCCAGAGTTTTAATTAATGTTCCCTTGCTGTGCTTGTGCCTTTTGAGAGGCTGGAGCGGGTGTTGAGCACATTCTCCTTTTTTTGCAGCAGCCATAGGCAGGGTGCATTGGCTCATACTGCTTGTGTAACAAGAGTTGTGCTAGATCAGACCAAAGGCCTGTCTTGTCAAGCCTCTTTTTCCCCAGTGGCCATGCAGTTGCTTCTGAAAAGCTTGCAAACCAAGACATGAGGGCAGTGGCTTTCTCATGCTGTTGGTATTCTGAGGCATCTAGGCATCATGATTTGTATTCAGATTACCTTAGTCCCCTTCTAAAGGCATATTAGCTAGTAGCCATCACCACATTGTGCAGCAGCCAGTTCAAGAGCTGTAACTGTGGTTTGCGGTTTTGTCTATCCTAACACTCCCCGCGGTTAGCTTCTTTGGATGCTCCACCTTCTAGTGTTAGGTGAGAAAGTGGTGAACTTCTCTCTGTCCTGGGAGACCCCACACTCAAATCCCCTGTAGCCTTGAAGCTCGTTGGGTGACACTCATGCTGCAAACCCACAGGTGAAATTGGCAGGATAAAATGGGTGGGGGCAGGGACAGGGAGAGACCATGTTTGTGACACTGGTCTTTTTGTGGGGAGGTCAGCGTAAAGTAACAGACCGACCACTTGGCCGTCAGCGAAGCTGACAAGAATTCACCCCTATAAGGATTGTGCCACTTCATAAACCGAGGGCGGAGGGGAATTGAGTTGCAAGCTCATGCACTTCTACTGTGTCAAGCCCTGTGCCTTTGGAAAGCTAGCATGTCCATTAATCTCCTTTGCAGAAGGAATTTGCATGGGGCGGCTGAGGGCATGCAAACATGAGATCTCCATACTTGCTTTCTCAAATGGCACAGTGCCAGGAGCAGTGTTGGCCTTGATATTTCTTCATCTTTAATGGTGGGCTAGCTAAGGCCATGGTACAGCCTGTACCAGTTCTGTAGTCTTTTTGTCACTGGATCTCCGTTGCAAGTACTCAGTGTCATAGAGCCTTGGGACTTTCCTTGTCCAGCAAGCTATGCATCTTTGCATGATTCCCCATCCCCATTTCAACATCATGGAGCTCTAGGAATCAAAAGGAGCTGCCTTTGGGTCTTCTGCACCTTCCCACAGACTTGTTGGGAATAGTAGAGGGAGGGCAGAGTTCCAGCTGAACTCTGTTGGCTGAGAAACTGTGTGAGGCCGACCTCTCCAAAGCCACCAGCTGATAGGGGGATGTGTGGGTGTGAGAAGAGCAGCAGTGGTTCCCACGGCTGTGTGAGAAGAGTTGCTATCAAAGCAAAGCTCCGTGTTTGTTTGACATTTAAAGGTTTTGGAGAATGGTGGCACCAGACTTTAGTGATGATGCCCCTTTGCCCAAGGAAGGAATCCAGCAATTGGCTGGAAGAATAAAACTTTAAGCCCCCAGTCTCTCGATTGCTACTTTCATACACAAGCTTGGCAGAAATGGTTTGTTTTGCATTGCTGTCCATATCAGTTCTGATGCGCGTGCCAAGAGTTGACAGCTTTATCGCTCAGGTGCACAAATTCAGTTCCCACGCGTTGTGACCTGTCCCCGCTCCCGCCTTGTCTTGCCTCCTACTGGAAACCTTGGATACTGTTCTGACTGCAGCATGACTGTCAGTTGCCTGTAAGGACCACCTGGAGTTGGTTTTTGTCTTGCTTCCTTCCAACTTTGGTTCATACCTCCCAGCCGGCTGACTCTGAGAGAAGGTTTGCCCCCTTCCCCCACATTCACACATGACACTGTGAACATAATGAGGCCAGTCGTCACTGCAGTTGCTAAAGCAGAGGCATAATGATGGATGTTTTGGTGACCAGTTTCTCTGGTCACAGAGATGCCAAAGGCACAGCCGTGTCACTTGAAAAAATTCAAGCATGATTTAAACTCTGACTTGGTTCAGATGTAACAGGACAACATGGCTTCCTGTTATGTGAATGAGCTGCAGTGACCCTCAGTCTCACAATCCCACTGCCTCCTTTTTCTGTTGGGCTTCTAGGAGGAGATCAGAAGCTTCTGCTTCCCCCTTTAAGTCTGAAACCATGGTTTTGAGCCTGGACTGTCCCCCATATCCAGAGTTTAAACAAACCAGCTTTGCAAAATCTGATATACAGTGGGACCTTGGGTTAAGAACTTAATTCGTTCTGGAGGTCTGTTCTTAACCTGAAACTGTTCTTAACCTGAGGTACCACTTTAGCTAATGAGGCCTCCCGCTGCTGCCACACTGCGATTTCTGTTCTCATCCTGAAGCAAAGTTCTTAAGACGAGGTACTATTTCTGGGTTAGTGGAGTCTGTAACCTGAAGCACCTGTAACCTGAAGCGCCTGTAACCCGAGGTACCACTGTAAAGAGAAATGGAGGTTTGCTTAAAAGTGGAACAGCTGCTTCTGATACTTCAGCCACAAAAGAGGGGTCTTGGCAACCTGTACTTACCTTTCCTGTGAGTGGACTCCTCTTCAACAATATCCAGTTTTAAGCAAGCCTCCATTTCTCTTTACAGTGGTACCTCGGGTTACAGATGCTTCAGGTTACAGACTCCGCTAACCCAGAAATATTACCTTGGGTTAAGAACTTTGCTTCCAGATTGCCAATGAAAGAAGAAATGTTTGTATTCATTTTATGTTTCAGCTTATGTCCTTATTTATGTTAATATTTTCTTACATTATCTGTTGTCAGTACTTAATTGAAAGCCTCAATAAACACACACACACATTTTAAGGGGGACTAAGCTCTAAATTTGTTCGCATGATGGGAAGCCATGGTTTCCTCTTGCATCTGAACTGGGCCATCATTTAGTAAAGTGGCTTTCCTTTGTGGGCTGTTTGCATACATTTTGTAACTGGTGGTAGTGGCCAGCTGGGGGAAGTGTTGATCTGATAGCACTTCCACTCTTGACTCTCTAACATGTATAACTTCAGAATAAATCATGTGAGAGATTAACCAAAGACGACTGTGCTAATTTTCTACTCCAGTTGGAGGGAAGTGAACAAAGGTTAAAAGTGGTGATTGTTTTTAAATGTTTCCCTTGTTGTATTTTCTAAGCCACTGACAAAGAGAACAGCAAAGTGTAACAGTAATAAAATGCACTAAAATGAGGACTGGATTGATGTCAGAACAGTGATATCAAAACAGTGAGTGCGCAGTGATTATGCACAGTTGGCTAACTCTTTCAGTTACATCAGGGCTGATTATAGAGCTGATGCCAAAGGGGTTTAACAGCTGATGCCAAAGGGGTTTAAAGCCATGGATTGAATAGCTTGGATGCCAGGGCCTGGCCCAAGGCATTTTGGCACCTGAGGCAAACCACAAAATGGCACCCTCCTCCCTGCCAGGGAAGAAGGGGAGAGGGAAGCTCTATACTTGCCTCACCTGGTCTCACGGGTAGTCTGTTTCTGTTTGATGCTTTGAGTTCACATAGCTTCTCATTTGTACATTCACGAGCTTTTATTGTTTTGTGTCCAGAATAATTCCAATAGACCAAGCCAATAAGGACAGCTTGACTTTGGCTCACCAATATTTAACCTTTTTAATACTCCTTGTCTGAGCGTGCTGTCTAAATGGCTGGCTCCCATCTGAATGACATAAGCAGGCAAAACAGTGCTGGGAAGATCCAGATTGTACAACTCAGAATAACCCTTCTGTTGAATATGATTCTAGTACACAAATGCTTGTCTCATAATTAATATGTTAGTCTTTCCAAGGTCTTACTGAAAATCATACTCTAAACTTGCTTTTCTGTCCTGCAGGTATGTTCTCGGTGGAGGTGCATTATGCATGGAGCTGCTTACTAAACAGGTACATGCAGAATCAAAAGTCTTGCTCCAGATTTGTCTGCTCCTATGGAAGTCCTCTGCAGCTGGTTGAACAGACCCCCATTTCCAAATTCTTATAACATCCAGCTGACTCAGAATGGTATCTTACAGGGCGACTAAAGCAGTTTCTGTGCCAAACTGGGCCTATACCTTGATTGAAATGAATCTAGAAAATCAATTACCTCCAAGAATGCCTGAATTGGGTCCACGACCACTCGCTCAAGAATGGGAGATTAGCACTGGCCAGTAGTTACTTAGATTTTCTGAATCAAGGGGTGGTTTCTTGAAGAGTGGTTTTACCACTGCCTCCCTCAAGCAGGCAGAGACCACCCTCTCTTACAAGGAGGCATTAATCACCAGCCAGCTGTCCCCTCCCTGCTAGTTTTTCTCAGCCAAGAGGGACAAGAGTCCACAATGCCCTGACCGATCCAAGCATTTTGTCCACCCTCGATGCCTTCTTTGCTGCCTTCACTGCTACTTAGGTAAGCTCAATGATGCAGCCAGATCTTTCCTCCAGTTGTTTGAGCTGTCTCCCAACTTGTGTAATCACCCTAAGCTCTGGAGGTTACCAGGGAGTCAAATGGGCTCCACGAAGTGGGAGAGAGCAGTCAAGCTGATCATGTCAATGGCCTGAGCCATTCATATATTCCCGAGATTGCCCAGGGCTTCAACAGGAGCGCCAGTCATATCAGCTGCAAAATCCCCCCAAGCCACCTGGAAACCCATTGCATCCATCAGCCTCCGAGGACAGACCATCCTCATAGGTCCCCACCTCCGCAGAAGGGAAAGAATGCTGAAAGCCTCAACAGGAAGCGACTGGACCATGACAAGGGTCAATACCCCCCCTTTCAGAGCACCCTGTTCCTGCCCAGTGGAAAAAACAACGTTCAGAGTGTGGCCTCCCACCTGCTTTGGCCTGGTGACACGTTGAGACAGTCCCCTGGTTATCATGGCAGCCATGAAGTCCTGAGCCACCGCAGAGCCAGTCACCTTGGCATGGGTCCCTCAGAACCAACCATCTCAGAGTCCTCAACATCAGCTCTGTCAGCTCAGGCAGGGAAACTGCTGAGCAGGAAGGGGGGCAGTAAACCAGCAGAATCCCAATTCTGTCCCTATTGCCCAACGCCCGGAACACACAATCTAGATTCTGCCCCCCCCCCCCGGCAACTGGACAGTGAGATAATTTCTTTATACCACAGCAGTTCCCCCTCCCTGACCCTCAAGTCTGGCCTGATGGGGACAACTGGGTGAGACCACCCTGCTCACCCACCCATGGGCTTCCTTATCCACAACCGGATAATGCTTTGAGCTGCATTCATTCATGCTGGCATTCAGCAACAGCAGCTGCAGACCAGGCAGGCTGATGTGACAAGCACAGTTCCTCAGGTTGGAGGAGGGGCTGGCGCACGACACAGTCACCAACTGCCTGCCATTGTGCCCCTTACCCGGCCTGCCTTACCTCCTGCACCGTACCTCTCCCTACCCTGAACCATTGTGATTGGTTCTCCCCCGCTCCCCTTTTTCCAGGCACATCCCAATAACAGTCCTGAATTTAAACACAATTTAAAATTGGTTAAAAACAAATAAAAATAATTAAAACAAAAACAGTTTAAAATACAAACTAATCAAAACAAAGTAGCTGAAAACAATTAGAAAGATAGACCAGAACACTGGACTGTGTGTCACAGTAAATCTTTCTTTCCAGCTAGAAGTAATGAGATCTGAATATGTTTTTAATTTATTAAACAAACTTTGTAATTGTTATGAATTTTCATGGCATTTGGAGACATGTGCTTACGATTTTATTTTTTGCCTTGCCAGGAAACTTTGACTTTTACTCTTCCTTGGTCCCCTGTAACGTACTCCTATTTCATATTTTCTCCTCTTGTGGCAAATAATTGCCATTTTCAAAAGTTAGAACATCAACCCAAATTAACCTGGTTTAGTGTAGAGAGGTCTGTTTGGGATTGAATGTTTTCTGCAAGACAAGCGGACAAAATGCAATCCTATTCTGGAATTTTCTTTTCTTTTTTTTTCCAGGGTTGGAGTAGTGCCTATTCAACAGAATCTGTCATCATGCAGATCAATGCCACATTAGTCAAAGGAAAAGCCAGAGTACAATTTGGAGCAAATAAGGTAAATACACGCCAGTATTCTTTTTCTGCTGTTCATGTATTGTGGTAGAACAGCTAGTGTAAGAGCAGTCCTGGTGCCAAATGTGTTGCTTTCCTTTCCTTTGGAAAGGCCAAGAGGGGGGTTGTGTCATCTGGGCCCAGAGAGGTCACTTTCGTGCCTCCAACGCAGCAAGAACAACATGGGAGGCTGTGCCTATGAATTAAGCTCAGCCTGACTGGCACTTTTTTTCAAAGCTGGAAAAGCGCTAACTAGGCTTGGGGAGGGAGGTGGGGAGCCTCAAGGACCCGGCCAGAGTCCTCCTGCCTCCTTCTCAATGCCACTGCTGCCCCAGGAGCTGCTTCTTGCTCCCTGCCGTGCCTGGGGCAACCAAAAAAGGCTACCCTGGTATGAATGTGTGTGACCCACAGTAAATGATCAAAACAGGCACTCAGTTGGCAATATTTTCTTGGCTAGTTGACTGCAACCCCATACCTGTGAAATAATGTAATGTGTGCTGAAGAATGGTTGTTGGGCTTTGGCGGTTTTTAGATGGGGCTTATTGCAGAAGAGGCAACCCCTGTTCAGGGAACTTAACCATTCCAAGCAACGTTTATGTCCCCCAGGATCCCACCAGTTGGGAAGTCGGGGAAGAAAAACACTTTAAACAGACTGTGGGGAGAGCCTGTCACCAGCAGCGTAAAAACTAACCAGCATGCATCCAGGCTGAGTCAGAACTCCTCTGTCATGGTTGGGATATGTACTTCTTCCATTCATCTCTTTCTTTCAGAACCAATATAACCTAGCAAGAGCACAGCAATCCTATAAATCTCTAGTACAGTTACATGAGAAAAATGGTATGTATGGTATGTATGCATGCTATGGTAAAACACATAGTTGTGTAAGTATAACGTCAGAGGAGAGAAGCCACTCTGCTCCCCATATGCATGTTTTTCGCAGGCATCCAGAGCTGCGCATAGTCTGGTTCTGTAAACAGTGTAATAGTGTGTTGGGAAGTTGGTCATAACTTAACTCCTACTTCCCTGATACATAAATATAATTGCAACCCCCACCAAGGTTTAATCTGAAAATTAGATCAGCTAATTGATCTCAGTAGACTGGTAGGGCAGCAATTTAAGGTCACACTTTTTGGGGAGGTCTAGTGAATTAAAGAAGTGGGGGAAAGAAGTTAAAATTTACCTTTCTAATAATGAATTGTAGTTTTGATTTGGTTTCATTGTAGATCCTATCAGGCCTGGTGCTAGTGGTTGACAGTTGTCCCAGGGCCCCTCACGCTGGCCCAACCCAGCTGTGCCACCCTACCACTCTCCTTGCCAGGCTCCCGGACAGCCATTTCAGTATTGAGCAGGCCGTGGTACCACTTCTCTGTTCCCATCTGTGACAGCCAGCTGCCATTTAGCTTCTCCAAAGTGCAATGCAAAGTGCAATGCCCAGCAGACCCACACTGGGGGGAGCTGGAGGCCCATCAGTGGCACCGTACTGAGAGCCCCCTTAAGACTGGTCCTGGTCCTGGTATTAGATACTGGTAATATAAAGGTAGGGGACACAGGTGGCACTGTGGTCTAAACCACTGAGCCTAGGGCTTACTGATCAGAAGGTCGGCGGTTCAAATCCCCATGACGGGGTGAGCTCCCGTTGCTCGGTCTCTGCTCCTGCCCACCTAGCAGTTCGAAAGCACGTCAAAGTGCAAGTAGGTAAAGAGGTACCACTCTGGTGGGAAGGTAAACAGCATTTCCATGCACTGCTCTGGTTTCGCCAGAAGCGGCTTAGTCATGCTGGTCACATGACCCGGAAAAACTGTGGACAAATGCTGCCTCCCTCAGCCTATAGAGCGAGATGAGCGCCACAACCCCAGTCGTTTGCGACTGGACCTAACAGTCAGGGGTACCTTTACCTTTTAATATTAAGGTGGGTTGATAATTCTTTGCTTGCATGTTTGATCATTAGGACAGTCCGTCAAGTAAGTTGTTTCCAAATGTTGCTGGTTTTTGCATAATATCTTCCAGTTGCAGAACTGGATTCCTAAGCACCGAGTTATTTATATGTAGACTGAAACACATTAAACAACTCATGTTGTCTTATGTGGATGCTCAGAACACCTGTCTGCACTGGTGCTTCAACCAAGTATCATGGTATATTATATAGTTAGTAAGCACGTGTGCAATTACAAAATGGGTGTTGCCACCACTGCTGCACATTTGTTAATGCCAAATCTTTTTTTATATATACTTCCTGCAGGCTGGTTCACACCTCCTAAAGAAGATGGTTAACATTGTGGACTTTTCATACACTTGGACCAATGTCAGTAAAAGATTTTCCTTCCAACACAGATTCAACTATGAATGCCCCCATAACAGCCATACTGAAGATTCTAGCTCATAGATAACTAGTGGATAATCTGTTGACTGACACATCCAGGATAAGCTACAGCTGTACAATTCTGCTCTTCTGTCAAGTATCTTCAACTGAACAGTTTTAAAACTTTATTGTCCCCATGAATTAAGCATACCAATCCCCACTCCATTTAGAGTGTGAATCCTTCAAACTGGGCTCTTGGGGTTTACTAAAATACCAGTCATTAAGATCTCCCCCCTTTTGTATGCACTTATTTGTTTTTCCAAACTGCAGACAACTGCAATATATTTTATTTAAAGCCAACCAAGTTGAATAAAGTTAGTTTAATAATATGTTACAACGTTTTTAGGTCTCATTAAATCAGACTCCTTCCTCCTCCCCTTGGTCTAAAACTGAGAGCATTCATAGTATTGCCAAATTTGATGATGATAGGAGAACCGTAATGTTAAATCGTTAAAACTTTCCTTCTTCTTTCATGGCTGTATTGAGGATATGAGCTGTTTCTGGGCAGAGATGCCCTTGAGGTGCCCTGCTGCTTCAGCAGAGCCAGGCTGTGCCAAGAGAACTTTGTGACTAGTCATATCCACTGGGGCATCGGTTTTTTGCTGGGCTACTTTGCTACTTGTTGGCTCTTGTTGGCTCCTTTGAAAGGAGGAGCCATAGATATAAAGCTTGAAGTTATTTAAAATACTATAAACCTTCTTAGGCATTCGATTCTATTAACGGGTTGTTGCAATCATTTGTAGAGTAATGAACTTTAAAAAGCAATTGGCAGAAATCAAGAAGACACTCCTTTGAAAATGTTTTTTTAAACAAAAGCAACAGTAACAAGTCCCAGGGATCACTTGATTCAGAGTTTTTTTAAGAAGGTTGCTATAGTTGTGACCATGGTTTCGTAGAAAAACTAATGGGGAACTGCTCTTCCATTTAGGAAATGAATCTGGATCTGTAGCTGCTGTGGGTCGGGAACTGCTATAACATTGCCTTACCTTTTTTAAAAAAATCAGGTGTGATTTTTATTTTTTGGTAGCTGAAAATGACTAGACCTTTTTGTTCACAGGAAATAAGGGTATAAGCACTTTTTTGGAGGGAGGGGGGTCTCCAGAAATGTCTCTGCCCCTCAGCCCTCCTTCTTGACCTTGGAGAAAAAAATCCTAAATTTGTGCTTTTTTGTGCCCAGGCATTTGGTCACATATGCTGTTTTTGTTTGGATTTTTTTAGCTTGGAGGATTGGATTAGAAGGATTTGGCCTGGTCAAAGACTGTTTCATGCAGTCTTTTAGGGAGTGGATGACTTCCAGCTTCCCTGCTTGTTTGATTGTACATATTATTCCAGTGAAATCCTGTTAGCAGCCATAAGGCAGAGGCCGAATTCTGTAAGCATTTCTGCAGCTCCTTTTCAAACCTGAGGCTAAAACTTTGAATACATTATTGAATTCTTTAGTATTCTAATGGACAAGCAGAATGACAGGTGCACACTTGGCTTGCTTTTTATTGTTTCTGAGTTTCATTTTTCATTGCAGAATTATTTAGCAGTGTACGGTAATCTGTAAACTTGCATCAAGTTTATGAATAAAGAACCATTTTAAGAATTCTGTTTGTCACTTTATTTCTGGAAGGAGTCTGCTTTCAGTGACTGAGTGTGGTATCTTGCAGCTGATGTTTTGTAAACATGAGAAATGGCACACAGTACTAAAAAGGTGATCTACTATGCTGTACACTAATACAATAGTTTAAAAAGCATAAAACCAATCTTTGGTAGTGGTGTTTAAGCCCATAGTGTGGTATTCAACACATGAGTAGACCCACTGAAGTAAATAGATATGGCTAACATAGGCTCAATAGTTTCAGTGGGCCTGCTTAAAAGCTGCATGTTCACATTTGCAAATGAAGAAGCTAAGTTATTGTCTTTTTTGTCACTGAATTAGAAACTAGAAAAAAACCAAAAGCATGAATCACAACTTGGCGAAAGTGAGAGAGCACTGTGATAATTTTAAATGACCTACTTCTCACTCAAAAGCTCTCATGAAGAGTTGGTTTTGTCTTTCAGTCTCACACATAACATTCTGTGATACAGATTCATATAGACATGACATTAGTGACTGAAGTAATTTTGAAGCTTTGTTGGCCGCTTTAAAGAAAATATTTGAAGTTGTTTGTCTGCAGTCTGAGACAATGAATGCAAAAGTAGAAACCAGAGAGCCATGCAGGGTTTGGGGGGGTCTTCAATTTACTCAGGGTGGAGTCCCCTCAGTGCCCCACAAAACCTAAATTGCTTCGGCAGGGGAAAGTTCCCTCCAGCCCCCAAGGGGGGAAATCCTTGACAGCAGGAAACAGTGTACAGATTTATTATATGGGGCATTTTAGTTTAAAGAAAAGTTAAGTAAAGGGACATCCTAGAGGTGTGTGAAATTATGTATGGCATGGAGAAAGTGTATGGAGCATCTTGTGATACTGAACCTGGGGCCCCAATGCAGCATAGTATCTGACGATTCAGGACAAACACACAGTGCTATGCAATTTGTCCCTTCAAGAGGTAGTGATTCCCACCAGCTTTGATACATACACACCCCTCCACTGTCAAAGACAGTATGCCTTGAAATACTGGTTTCTGGGATTCATGGGGAGGTGAGTAGTGAGCCAGAATACTGGGCCAGTAGAGAGCAAAATGTTGGCCTTTTCTAGGTATTTTGAAGACTGCAATCTTGTCCCTTCTTAGTCTTCAAGCTAAATATATCCAGTTCCTTCAGATACCCCTTATAGGAATTTTCTAGTCAACACACGGCTGCAACTACATCCCAGGGTGGTTCTCATGATAAAATTGGGGAGGGGGGGAGGACCTTGACCTTCTTGGAAGAAAAGTGGGATACAAGTGTAATGCATGAAGTCTCACTTGTGCACAATTTCCTCTACTTTGAAATTGAAATACTTTGTCACTTGTACAACTTGTATACAGTGAGATTACACGAGCACAGGCAAAGCATGAGGATAAAAAGTGCCTGTCAATAAATTCCCAGCAACTGGCTTACTTCCAATGATCCCTGTTATACCATTAAGCCATCATGACTTGTAGTTGTTGGTGGTTGTATCCTCCACAAATTGTATAATCCCCTTTTAAAGCCATCTAATTTGGTAACCATAATGACATTTTGCAATTACAGTGGTACCTCTGGTAACGAACTTAATTCGTTACGAAGGTCTGTTCTTAACCTGAAACCGTTCTTAACCTGAAGCACCACTTTAGCTAATGGGGCCTCCCGCTGCCACCGATGTGCGATTTCTGTTCTCATCCTGGGGCAAATTCTCAACCCGAGGTACTACTTCCGGGTTTGCGGGGTTTGTAACCAGAAGTGTTTGTAACCTGAGGTACCACTGTACAAACTTCGTAGCTCAACTATGGGCTGTGTGAAGGCCTTCTGTTTGCCTTATCCAAAATCTGTTGCCTGCTACCTGAATGACCCTGGATTCCAGTGTCGTGTGAGGGGGGCTTTTTTCTGAACTAAAATACACCCTCCATACTTTGTAACCTTTTCTTATAACTTTACCTTCATGGTCTTGGTACTCCTTTCCTAGGCCTACCATTTGGAGATCTACAACAAGAACTGTGCTCAGTATTCTAAGTGGGGCTAAAAATACTAGTTTCAAAGAATATGGGCAGCTGTATTAGTCTGATACAGCAAAACAGACAGAATTTTGGACACCTTAAAAGCCAGGCATGTTTTATAAATCTCCATGCGGAGGTTTTCATGCATCTCATGAAATGAACTCTAGGAAAAGTTAGGCCATAAGAAAATGGGTTAATCTTGGAAGTGATGGCAAGAGGCCAGGAGAGCTATTGTGGCTCCCGGAAAGTACTGGCGAGAGTGTGGTAGCTGTGAAGAGTTTCGTGCTGGGATCACAACCTGGAATTTTAGAAAGACCTCGTGATACTGGGAGTTTTATTTTAATAGAATTTGCTAAGAAAGGGAGTTTGCATGGCGCCATCCTGCCCTTCCCTGCTTATTTCCCCCCCAGTTGGGTCCGGCAATGGTCTTTCCTTCCCCTCACGGCTTCGGGAGAGAGAGAAAAGGCTCAACCAGGCGCAGAACTTCCCTTCTCTCGGGTCCAGAGGGAGGCGGGGAGGCCGCTTTCCTCCGCCTCACTCCTTTCTTGCACCGCGAAGCAGGCCAGGCCAAAGAGGCGCCGGTCCCGCCCCCTCCTCGCACGGAAGTCTCTCCGGCGCCCGAGGCGGAGCAAGAGCGCCGAGGAGCCCCTGGGCCGCCGGAAGCGGCGCTCACCATTCCCTTCGGCTCCGTCTCTATGGTGCCGAGGCTGTCGCAGTTCTGATGACGCGCCGAGGTCGCTTCCGGCTCCCGCTCCGCTTCCGCTGGTTGCTCGGCTACCGGCGCGGCCTGGCGTTGCTATGGAGCCCGATCCGAAAGGGGGCTACGTGCTGAGCAACCTCGCCGAGGTGGTGGAGAGGATCCTGGGCTTCCTGCCGACGAAGGCGCTGCTGCGCGCGGCCTGGTGAGGGCGGGGCTCCGAGGGGCCGGCGGGGGACAGGCTCGCCCTCCCGGGGATGCAGGGGGTGGACTAGATGGCCCGGGGCCCCTTCCCCCTGCGGCCCAGCGCCCTCTTCTCGCAGGGGCCCCGGGGAAGCCCTCGCCCCCTCCTGGGGCTCCCGGAAGCAGCCCCGCCCTTGGCAGCCTTCCCACCCGTGAATTCACCTAATCCTCTTCTCAGTCAGTTGTTGGTGCTGAGCCCCCCTGGGTTTGCTTTGCTGCAGCGCAGGCGTGTAACCTGGCGAAGGGGTGGGAAAGCCTCCCCTGGGAGCTTTTCTCTTATTGGAAATATACGATTTGTCTCCAACTAAGTTTTATTTGTAGCAGATTCTTGGATCAAACTTTGAAATGAAAGTCCATGGGCCTACTCCGAGTATGACCAGCATTGGATACAACTCTCTTTTTATTTTATGTAATTGTTGTGTTTGCCATCTAGAGAACTTCTGTTGCAGGGAAGTAAGATAAATTAATTCATTCGTTTTCTAGCTGTGCTAGTATGCAGTAGCGAAATTGTAATTGTTCTTCTTTCCTTTTATTGCCAATTTTAAAAGACATTATATTATATCATACCATATTATAGTGAAAGCAGAACTTTTCGTGGTAGTGCAAGGCATTTTACAGTCTGGCCCAATGGAGGTGAAAGAGCAGATGTTAGCTAGCTGTGTTTGCAAAGCATTTTGAGCATAAAGTCACTTGCATCTGCTGAGACCTTGACTCCACGATTACAACAGATGACTCTCGAGAGGTCTCCAAAGTACTGTCTAGTCCTGTTATGCTGAATTAGTTTCAGTTAGTAAGCCTCAAGGATGTGGACAAGGTGCTTGGATCGGTCAGGGCATTGTGGACTCTTGGCTGATAAAAACTAGCAGGGAGGATGCAGCTGGCTGGACCAGGGAAGTGGTTTGTGCCTCCTTGCAAGAGGGGCTGGTTCCTGCCTACTTGGGGGAGGCAGTGCTGAAACCACTCCTCAAGAAACCGTCTCTGGACTCAGAAAATCTAAGTCACTATCGGCCAGTTGCTGATCTCTCCTTGAGCAGGTGGTTGTGGACCTGATCCAGCCGATCTTGGAGGAAATTGATTTTCTAGATCTGTTTCAATCAGGGTTTAGGCCCAGTTTTGGCACAGAAATTGCTTTGGTTATCCTGAATGATGACCTCTGTCAGAAGAGGGGAAATGTATCCTTAACCTCTCCTTGGCCTCTCAGAGGCTTTCAGTACCATCCACCATGGTATCCTTCTGCAGCAGCTGTCCAAGTTAGGCGTGAGTGGCTCTGATTTGCTCTCGTTCTGGTCATACTTGGATGGTCATTTCCCCAGGGTTTGATTTTATCCCCCATGCTGTTCAACATCTGCATGAAATGGCTGAGCAGAGTCATCCGGAGTTTGGAATACGTTGTCTGCAATATGCTGATGACACACAGCTCTGCTTCTCCTTTACACCTGGAGGTGTGGCAGTGGTTGTCCTGGACATTTTTTTTAAATAATAATAATATTTATTAAGTTTTCCATTTTAACAATCCAATAAAAACCACATTAATAACATTCCAAATTATAAAATAATCAAATGATCCAAATTTTATGGCAAATTATATGTCTTTGGTTGGCTTCCTATGCTCTGAGGTTCGGGGGTGATGATGATCTCACATTTATGCTGCTTCTCTTAATTAGTCCAGGTAGTTCCAATAAAACAATCGGATGTTAATCCTTCATTTATTTTTAACAGCCTCTGAGTTCGTCTGGCAAGCGAGTTAAGCCAATATCGTATGTTTCTCTGTGGGTGTTTGTTTGTTTTTTATTTCTCTCTTTATATTCTTTGTACTCCAACAGTCTGTCCGTGGCATTTCACTTTCGCTTTCTCGCACCTGTGATTTTCCACTGCGACACGTCCCAAGATGAAGGAAATCTGGCTTTCTGCCAATTGTACCAGGCATATGTCCAAACTTCGTTTTATCTCATTCCAAGACAAATAAGTCTGTACTTTAGCTAGAAACCAATTTCCATCTTCTATTCTTAACAATCTGTTGAAGGTAATTGCAAATTCATAAATCATTTCCACACAGTTAATAGTTAGACCAAAATTATAACAATAAGAAAATACTCTCCAGTCCCGTTTGTGTACATAAGCAATCCGGCAGTCAGCCCTTCCAGGAAGATTTGCCAAGTAAGATAGCAAATACGAAGTATATCAAAAAGAAATAATGGAGGCTCCCCCCCCTTCCGTTCTGACATACCAATCCCGTAGTGATGGTAATCCTTCCACTCAAATCCTTTGGCACCCCAGTGGCTGAATCAGTTAGCAGTGTAATTTACCTCCCCTCGCTCAGAGCATGCCCGTTAATTAAGTCCAAATTTCATCTTTAAAAACAGGTGTTTGTTGCTCATGGCGGCAGCTTTGGAGTGTTGCCAAAAGTACGCATGGTGCTTTCCACCCAGTGCCCCCTCATTCCTTCCAGATTGGGAGCAAGTGTTGGGAAATCTGCGGGTGAAGCTGCCCTCCCAAGCCCGGGGGGGGGGGTTGGAAGGATGATTACTCTCATCTCATCCTCAAAATCTTCTGTGTGAGACGGCTCCGATGGAATGGGCAGCCGGTCATCATAGCAGCCAAGCAGGAAGTGGTTGTCCTGGACTATTGTCTGGGATGTATGAGAGCTGACAAACTGAAGCTCAATCCAGATAAGACTGAGGCACTATTAGTTCCCTAGACTGGAAGGGTGAGCGCTTCCCTGCATGTGTTGGCGATATACTTCCTCTGAAGGATGTGGGGATACTTCTGAATCCATTGTTGTTGCTTGAGACTCAGGTAGCCTCGGTAGCTTTGGCTGATGGCCCAGCTGCACTCCTATCTGCACAGGGATAGCCTATTGCAGGCATGGCCAAACTTGGCCCTCCAGCTGTTTTGGGACTACAACTCCCATCATCCCTAGCTAACAGGACCGGTGGTCAGGGATGATGGGAATTGTAGTCCCAAAACAGCTAGAGAACCAAGTTTGGCCATGCCTGACCTATTGTCTGTTGTCTATGCTCCAGTGGCCTGTAGGTTAGTTTACTGAACCTTTGGGGCTGCCTCTGAAGATGATGCAGAATGCAGTGGCCAGGCTGCTCACTGGGGCAAGATGGTTGAAGCATATTACACCAATTCTGGCTTGACTGCAGTGGCTGCCAATTAGTCTCCAGGCCCAATTCAAAGTGCTGGTTTTGATCTACAGTATAAAGCCTTAAATGGCTCGAGACTGCAATACCTCGGGGACTGCCTCTCCCCTTATGAACCAACCCAGACCCTGCAATCATCATCTGAGACCCTCCTTTGTGTGCCTCCACAAGAGGTCCGGAGGTTGGCAGCATGAAAACGGGCCTTTTCCATGGTGACTCCCCATTTGTGCAATGCTCTCCCCAGGGAGGTTCACCTGACACCTTCGTTCCATATCTTTAGGCACCAGGCAAAAACATTCCTCTACATCCAGGCCTTTGGCTAAAGAATCTATGGCCTTTAAAACTGGGTGGGTGGTTATTTCATTGTTGTAATATGTATATTTGTGTTTTTATATTGTGAACTTCCTGTGATCCTCAGACAAAGGGTTGTATAGAACTTTAATCATAATATAAGTTTATTTGCAGTGTAAGTTACTGTCTGCTTTCACTTTGGGAAAGGGAAACAATTGGCTGAGCTTGGCATAACTTAGGTATGTTACCATTACTTGTCCCTTGCTTTTATACTTCACTCATCAGGGTAAGTGTTTGATGGGGAATGGAATTAAAAATGGAGTTGTTTCTGTCTCATATATCTCTTGAGTTCTTGGAAGATGTTCTGTATAGCACCTGGTCCCTCCTGGGGAAGAGAAGTGGACAAATGTTGCCCTTGTCCTGGAAACTTTGCTTGCCAATGCCTGTCCCTGTTCAGTGCAGCTGGTGCGGGGAGTGGAATCGCAAGACTCCTCTGAATGCTGCCTTTCCAATGGAGCCGATGGCTGACATAAGAGATGCTTTGGCCCTTCTCTTGTTTTCTAGGCAGTGACAGGTGAAGCTTGATCAAATTCCAAGACAGATGCTGAACTTCTCTCTTAGAAATGCAGGTGTGACTAGGAGGAAAAGGAATGTCAGATTGCCAGTGGAGTTGGTAACTGGGGGTACGTAATATTTTAGCAGTTTTCCATGTGAACTGCATGAGGCCATAGACTCCTGTAAAGGAACCTGTTAAAAAAATTCTGAGATTGAGACAGCTGGGCTTTCAAAGTGGTTCATTTTTAGAAAATGCAAGAAGTGTTTGCTACCACTGAAGGTGCATGATAGACATTTCCAGATAAGGAGTCAGCTGCTCTTGCAGGGCATGTACAGAGCTGGTAGTTGCTGAAACAGTGAGCTGCAGTGGGGAAGCTCAACCACCAACATAAGGAGTCCTTATTAGCTCCCTCGCCCCCACCTGCCTTCTGGGGGGAAATGCTGCCCTCACTTATTGGGCTATTGCAAGGGTGACATATTCCTTGAATCCTCCAAATTGCTATCTTCCTGTCTGTAGTGATGCTGATTCTGGGTTGTTGTTTTAGTGTGTGCCGGTTATGGAGAGAGTGTTCCCGCCGAATCCTTAGAACCCAGCAGAGTGTTGTCTGGGTCTCCACAGTGGAACCAAGGCCTTCAAGCAGTCATGCTCTGGTTCAGGTGTTGGCAGAGGAGCTTGAGGTAAGTGAATGGAACATCTTTGAACAGTTATATACTTGGATCTTTATATATATACTATATATCTTGGATCCTTGGTTGAGATTCCTGCATTTGCAGGGGGTTGGACTAGATGACCCTTGAGGTCCCTTCCAACTCTACGATTCTATGATTCACAATTGGTAATCTCACAAGTACTGTTCCTCTGCTCCTCTTTATGTACCTCCTAAAATCCAGTTGGTGCTTCCCTGTTGATTCTGTAGCATTGCTATGTATTTTGCTTTAGGTGTGACAGTGCTTATCATACTTGTAACCTATTGCAACTTGCTACTTGGTTGATTGTCAGATTTGGAGAAGCTGAGTTCTTAAATGCTTGTCCTGTCCTATAGTATCAGCTGGTCTTTAGGTTTAAGGAGGTGTTTGATACTGACATGGGGTTCTCAGCTCAAATTCTGTGCACATATACCTTTGAGTAAGCCAGTTGAACACACTGGAACTTGCTTCTGAGCAACCATGCATTTATCTGTATGTGATATAGTGTTTTCCTGAACGTATCTATTCAGAAGTAAGTCCAGCTAAGCTCAGTGGGAGTTGCAATAGGCAAGTGTCCTTAGGATTACAGTCCTAAACTATAAGGGTTTACAGTGGAACCTTGGTTCTTGAATGCCTATGTACTAGAACATTTCGGCTCCAGAACGCCGAAAACCTGGAAGTAAGTGTTCTGGTTTTTGAACGTTTTTTGGAAGCCGACCGTCCGGCTGTTGGCTTGTTTCCGGGGAGCTGCGCCAGTCGGAAGCGGAGCCTTGGTTTCCGAATGTTTTGGAAGTCGAATGGACTTCTGGAACAAATTACGTGCGAGAACCAAGGTACCACTGTATAGTCTTTTATGTATGCAATATTTTAATAGAAAAAAATACGTTGACCTAGATTACCATATAGAGTGGTAGAACATAAAACAGAGAGAACTCAAAACTGCTTCGTATGCAGACTGTATCCAGAACTGCTTCTTGACATTAGATAGTCACTCTAACAATAATGTTTTAGATGCGTGTTGAAAACTTTGGCCCTGAAGAATCATATTTTGTAAACGATGTGTGTGAATGATGGTGTAAATACATATAGTAACAGACACACTTTCAGACTCTTCTGGGCCAGCCCAGGACATTTTGCTGCCTGCGGCAGAGCAGGTAATGGTGCAGTGCCCCACCCCCCTCATTTTCAATACATGCAGTACTCAAAGTATGTCACGTTATTTGGCACCTGAGGCATAAAATCTCTCAAGCACTTCTCTTTCCCCTCTCCTTTCAGCAGTAAAAAAGCACAATAATAAATTAAATACTAACTATTTCACGGTACTCCAAATCAGCTGCTTGAGGGCTGGCCCTGGAGCTCTCAAAAAGTAAAATGATTCTTTATGCTCGAAACCAAGCATGTTTTGTATTGGGATGTCTATAACTTTAAAAAGAAACAAGATATATGTTAGGGGGTTTAAATAGTCCCCCCCCCCCATTTCCTGCTATGCTTGTTCTTCCTTTGAAAGAGAAGTTCCTGTTCATTCACCTCTCCAGTTTCTGTTTTCTTATACTCAACTTTTACTTTACAGAAGGTTCAGGTGCTGCCCCAGACAGTATTGTATATAGCAGATGCAGAGTCTTTCAGTGAACACGAAGAGTGTCCAAGCCACAGGCAGAAGAAAGGTGAGCATCTATGTTGGGTTTCCTTCTGCCTTGAAGAAGCTTTGCTCCGCATCCTTTCTGATTTTATACATTTATACATGGAAGCACTTGTGTGAGGGATCTGATTTTATCCAGTGGATGAAGTCCGGAGGAATTTAAATAGTAAATAGCATTGAATAGCCTTGGCAGCCAGCCAGAAGGTTTAGTCTCCACCAATGCTGTGGGAAGAGGTAAAGTCTGAGCTCCAAGACCCAGGATCATTGTTGCAACAAGTCCTGGCCCTGATCAGTGGAGATGGGGTACAGTTTGACACTGATAGAGATCAAGCTGCGGAGAGGCTTGCAAAACAAGACACGTTGGTGCTTTTCAAGCCTTTTGCTGGCCCAGCAGAAAGTGAGGCTCCTTGTGCTCTTTTCCTGGCTCAGGAGCAGAGCAGAGAAGCCTCCAAGGTCACAGGAAGGCTTTGAAAGTAGCAAGTTATTTCCCTGCTTTCTTCAGACATTTGTAGAGACATGGTTATACTGGATGGCATGATACCTCCCTGTTTTGGCCACTTATAATTCTGGCCCTATCAGAAGCCTGAACCAACACCTTAATGTTCACACTCCTAGAAAAAATGTGGACAGATTGCCAAGTGGTTAAACATACCTGGGGAGTACCCATGCATGCTAAAGCAGCTAATTAAAAATATCATGGAGACCTGGCAGTTTTTTCCAGCTGTACTGCTGATTCAGTGTGAACTTGTGCAAATTGTTTTTTCTTGTAGCACGAAGAAGAAATAGCAAAGAAACAGCCACTGCCTTAGAAAAACTATTGCCCAGACGATGCCAAGTCCTTGGTCTAGTGACACCTGGAGTTGTAGGTAAGAAACAGCAGTACATTCAGCTGTCTGCACCTTGCCCAATGTTAGCACACTTGCAAACCACTCCTTCCACTGGCCCAAAATACAATGGTATTCTGTAAAAGTAAATGAGGGAGGGGCAAATTCCGACCCTTCACAAAGTAAGAAACAGTTCACACTAGTTGATGGGCCCCATGAGTGCATGCCCCCCCCAGCTGCATTTATACCAAGCCAGACCATTGGTCCACAGGTTGCCACAGACGGCAACCATTTTGCCCACATTCAGGTGACGTGTGACCACCGATCTGCAGGTCTTTTTGGACCTGGAAGAGGGTGGAATGGAGTAAGGCGGGCTTATGTGTGCTCTGTTGCCGTGCGTGGGGGCCAGGTACACTACCCCCGCACAAATTGGGGGTTGCCTGTACTGTCTACATTGACTGGCCTTCTCTCCAGTTTCAGGCATGAATGTTTCGCAGCCTGGCTGAGATATGTCAGGGAACAAGCCTCTTTATACTCAAAGCATCTGCTCTTGCCCAGAGGTGTGACACACCCCCCCCACTTCCCTTCTGCTCATAGGTTTGCCTGGGAAATGAGCCTAGGAACTCTCATACCCCAAATCATTCCTAGCTGTCTGAAATCCTGTTTAACCAGAGAGTAAGCCTGGGACCTTCAGCCTACTAGGAATGTGCTCTTAACAACTGCACTGTGGGCCTCTTGCCTATGGATTTTAAAGTCACATGTGTGGGTTTTTTTAAAACTTCCTGCAGGATGTGTCAGAGATTAGTAAGAGCCTTCTTGGTTTAGCTGACAGTGCTTTGGGGTCATATTGCTTTCAAAATGGGACCATTTAAAAAAAAAATTCTTGTGAAACTACATGACTAGGAGATGGGGAAGCAGCAGCAGACAGATGTCAAGATTCACCTGCTTTTGAACTCTCCTCCTTAGTTACTCCAATGGGGTCTCGCAGCAATCGGCCTCTGGAAGTTGAAGATGGTGAAGCTGGCTTTGCAATATTGTTCCCCAAGATTGATGGGGTGAAGATTCAAACCTTCCACTTTTGTAAAGACTTGAAGACCAGGGTCTTTGATGAAAGCCAATTTGCTGAAGCAGGTACCTAATGACTAAAACACTGTAGTAGTAAAATATTAAAGCTTAGCAGCCAAATTTGCAATTTAAGCTATTGACTGAGTATGGATTCAGGAGAGAACTATGAGGGGGATAAATGTTTAAGCAGATGTTTAAGCAAACTATGAGGGGGATAAATGTTTAAGCAGATAAATCTTTAAGCAGAGGCTTGACAACCATATGTCAGGAGTGCTCTGATGGTGTTTCCTGCTTGGCAGGGAGTTGGACTCGATGGCCCTTGTGGTCTCTTCCAACTCTATGATTCTATGATTCTATGTTTTTAAGTGTGCATTGAAAGAGAATATTAGATATACACCTAAGTGCTTATAGTGTGAATGCAACAAAAAGTGTTTGGATGTGTGTGTGCCATGCAAGTATCTTTGGAGAGCTAGAATTGGGGCCATTGTATGCATTATGCAGCCACAGAGACAAGCACCATGAGCAAAAGGTGAATGAACTGACTTTATATTAGACAAAGGAAAGGAAGATTGTGACTACAATGCATACACATCATTTTCAAATATTTAAAAGCCTCTTTGAAATGAGTGAAGGGGCAGGTACTTTCTGTACTGCCAACTGATAGAAGAAGAGGCATAATAGTTTTATGCTTAAGGGAGTGGGATTCTGGCAAAACACCAGGGAGAACACTTTTTAAATATGAAGGTCACCGCCTTCCTCCTTCAGTGTTTCTAAAGGAAACAGGCACTTGTCAAGGGTGTTTTAGATATAAAGTATCCAGGATTGGGGAAATAGGCTTGGATTGAATTATGCAGTGGATGCTTTCTCAGCGGTCTCATTCTAGGTTATTTTGGTGACCTTCCCTGCGTCCTGTGCAAGCCTTAGAAGTGTCTGATTACCCTTATATAAATGTTTTGTAACCAGTTCTCGAGAAGAAGCAAATTTGCATTGTTTCCCAAGCCTCTTTTCCCCATGGTATTTTTCTCATGGGAGTTTTTGAAATATTCTGTGTTGTCCTGATTATCCTGGAAAAGGATATTCTTTAACCCCTCAGGAATAATAGCATGGAGATGTTTTGTTAAAAATGTTCTCCACAGTCCTCATCTTCCCCACCAGCCACAGTAAAAAAAGGGGGGGAAAAGAAGAAGAATCTTTGCTCCAGTGGACATGCAGTTTAACCTAAAGCATCTAATAGATCTGTTGTCCAGGTTGGAGCATCTCCCTTGTGAAGAGTAACAAGTCCAACTTGTTTTTATAGGCCTTTTTAACTTTGGGGAACGTAACTTAGATATGCTGGGTGTGTTGTTTACCTGACCTCAAAGGAAGTTGGTTACTTCCTGCACTATGGGGTTGGTGTATTCTGACACGTAAAATGCTAGCTACTGGTTAAAATCACCATGTGCAGAGCAAAACAAAACACAACATACAATTAGGGGCTGCACGAAACCTTCAGGATTGTATGCTTAAGAGGAGGTCATAAACAGCTAGAGGGCCTGAATGATAACAACAAATCTTTATAGAGCCTCTGCCTTTATGATATGCATTCTGCTCTTTGAGCCTTTAGGGAGAAGTAGCCCAGAAAACAAAAGTGATGCAGTTCATCCAGTCCAGATGCAAGACTGTCTTGCCTGTTGTTGTTCCTGCCAAAAGACAACATTACAGAGGTTGATCCTTTCCCCCGTCTCTTTCTGTAACCAGGCCTGAAGAATAATCCCGATCTCAGAGTGGTTCTTTTGTTTGGGTACAACACATGGAAGTCAGGAGGAACCCGATTTCTACACCAAATAGTCAATCGCTTGAATGAAAAAAGCATCATCTTGGCTGGCGGACACGTGGAGAGCTTTACATCTCTAACTTCTGAGAAGTGGGTATCTTTGGAAGAATGGGGATCTCTCTGCCCTCAGGTGTCCACTAGAACCCTGTATTGCCTAATGATCTCTTGTGTACCAGATAGTTAGTTTAGTGTCCACCCATTTCTGAAAATCTCAGCTTCTGTTTATTTAAAAACAAGTTTCTGACTCTCAAGGTCTGCTGAAATCTCTTGAGGCTAGAGGTGGTGATGATTGCTTAATAAAAGCCATGATGAATCAGAACAAAGGTCCAACGTCCTGTGTATCGCATAGTGGTCAGTCAGATGATATGAGAGACCTTCTGGCAGACATGAAAGCAGTATCTCTCTTCTGTTATCTCCTCAGCAACTAGCATTCAGTGGCATATAGCCACCAAACCTAGCAGTTCCATTATCCCATGTGCTTTGTTTGATCTGTTCTCATTCTCCTGTCAATGTCATTGGGTTAGAAGAGGGAATAAAACTGCTATCTAATTTTTCCACAACATGCCCTCCCTTAGAACTTTGTGATCTCCCTAACAGCCACATCTGTCTCAAATAATAATTGGTTTGGTATGTAACAGGGCACAATGGATTCATTGTTTTTCATTGTCTTGGAAAATAGATTATCTGGGTATTGGATCGTGGTTATTGGAGTCGGATCACTACCTTTTGAAGGCATAGAAAACATAACTGGTTCTAACGTTTCAAGGAACTCCTTAGATTCCTGAATCCTCTGTTGAATTAATAGCTGTACTTAACATAGAACTGAAGCAGCTGAGCCTGGGAGAAACGTGGCTAGATTACAGATTTCTCTTTATTTTTGCTAAAACACTGATTGCGGCATTTATTTATAAAAGCTATGTCATGGCCGTTGCAAATGAAACCTTTTTTTTGAGGCTGGTAACTGTATCTGCTTTGATATTTGAAGCTTGGAAGGCACAGCTCCAAACACAGCAGATCGCTTTAGCTGCTAGCCCATGCACGATTGTGCTTGGGAGTGTGCGGGAGATCAGCTGTGTGTTGGATTCGTTCTTTTCTGTTTGGTGAAAATTATTCAGGAGAGGGTGCTAAACAACATGTGGTTGTTTGGCTGCTATTCAGAAGTGCATCCTGGACCTAGCTTTCCTGATTGGTTACTAATCAGTCCAGCCTTCCCTGAAGAATGTTGCTGAGCTGAACAGGGGCCACCAGTGCAGGTGCTGTGAGCTTCCTAGATGAGCTTGCTGTGGTTTTTTGGCTTGCATTTGAAATCTTGGCAATCTTAATTTGTGCATGGCATATCAAGCCATGTACATCCTCTCCCTTTCCCAATGAATCCATGGCAAATGCATGGGCTTCTGAAAGTCTGATAGTGTAGGGATGAATATAAACAGTGATGTGCTACTTCTGTACACAGATGTAGCAGCTTACATTCCAGTGGTGTTCTAGCAGTTGTCAGAATGAAGTGTCCCTCTCAAATCAGTCTGTATTATTATATGGTGTTTACTCAGTGTACAGTACAACTGGAACAGGCATGATGTCAGGTGAATTATGGTCAAATCACATCTTCGTAGCAAATTAACCAAAGGGAGGCAGAACTTTCACCACTTACCTCTCTCTTACAGTCCATTTGAAGTCTAGTCTGAGGATACAGTACTTTTTAATTCAAGAAATAAGCACCACTCATTGATCTGGGGGAATCTTGCAGGATAGCTGATGCCTTAATGTTAACTTGCAGTTGTATAATGAAGTAATTTACTCGTATTATTTATTTGGGTTGGCAGCCAGTAGGTTCGCAGTATTCCTGGCATGCCTCCCACCCAAAATGACATTCTATAAATCAGCACAGAACAAAATCTTCAATAGTGTACAGCAGGTGTGGTGATGATCATGATGATCATGATGATAATCTGGCTGGGTTTCCCCAGCCACTCAGAGCTGCTCCCAACAGAATATTAAAAACATAAAATGTCAAACATTAAAAACTTCCTTAAACAGGGCTGCCTTCAGATATCTTCTGAAAGTCAGATACTATAGTTGTTTATTTCCTTGACATCTGATGGGAGGGCGTTCCACAGGGCAAGCGCCACTACCAAGAAGGCCCTCTGCCTGGTTCCCTGTAACCTCACTTCTTCCAGGGAGGGAACCACCAGAAAGCCCTCGGAGCTGGACCTCAGTGTCCGGGCAGAACGATGGGGATGGAGACGTTTCTTCTGGTATACTGGGCCGAAGTTCTGAACCTCTTCAGAACTTTCTTTCAGAATTATTTTAAACAGTTATATACGCAGGAGACTCAGAAAGACCTAGACATTGACCGATTTCTGGAAAATAATGGATTACAAAAAATATCTCAAGATAGTAAATCAATATTAAACTCTACAATATCTGACCAAGAAGTGGAAGGAGCCATTCAGAATATGAAATTGGGCAAATCTCCAGGGCCGGATGGATTAACTGCAAAGTACTACAAAACTTTGAAAGAATGGTTATTGCAACCGTTGAAAGAACTTTGTAATGAAATACTACGGGGAGGAAAAGCACCCGAGTCGTGGAAAGAAGCATACATTACACTTATACCAAAAACCGAAGGGGAGAAGACACAGTTGAAGAACTACCGTCCCATATCCCTACTAAATGTGGATTACAAAATTTTTGCTGAAATTATGGCTAAAAGATTAAAAAATGTATTGGTAAAAGAGATTCATAAAGACCAGGTGGGTTTCCTACCTGGGAGACATTTGTCAGACAATACTAGGAACATCATTAATATTTTGGAAAAACTGCAAGTTAATATTAATACTAAAGCTGTTCTAATATTTGTAGATGCAGAGAAAGCGTTTGATAACATTTCTTGGAGCTTTATGAAGAAAAATCTGCAGGGGATGGGGGTAGGCCAAAGTTTCGAAAATGGTATAAGTGCAATCTATTCGGAACAAAAAGCTAAGCTTATTGTGAATAACGTAGTTACAGAAGAATTTAAGATAGAGAAAGGAACAAGACAGGGTTGCCCAATCTCCCCATTGCTTTTTATATTGGTCCTCGAGGTTTTGCTCAATATGATTAGAAAAGACCAATTGGTTAAAGGTATACAACTCGGAGCTAAACAGTACAAATTGAAAGCTTTCGCTGATGATTTAGTTTTGACAGTACAGGAGCCAGAAGCTAGTACAAAAAGAGGGTTACAATTAATACAAGAATTTGGTCAAGTAGCAGGTTTTAAATTAAACAAGATGAAAACTAAGGTATTAGAGAAAAATCTTACAGAGATAGAGAAGGAGAGGTTTCAGAAAGAGACAGGATTAACAATTGTTAATAAAGTGAAATATCTAGGGGTGAATATGACTGCCAAAAATGTGAATCTGTTTAAAGATAATTATGAAAAATGTTGGTCAGAGGTGAAGAAAGATTTAGAAATATGGTCAAAATTGAAGTTATCATTGTTGGGCCGAATTGCAGCGATAAAGATGAATGTATTGCCTAGAATGTTGTTTTTGTTTCAAACACTACAAATTGTGGATAAAATGGACTGCTTCAAGAGGTGGCAAAGAGATATTTCCAAATTTATCTGGCAGGGCAAAAAGCCCAGAATAAAATTTAAGATACTAACAGATGCAAAGGAAAGAGGGGATTTGCCCTGCCAGATCTTAAACTTTACTATGAATCAGCCGCTTTTTGTTGGCTGAAAGATTGGCTACTTCTTGAAAATGTGGACATTTTAGATTTAGAAGGTTTCGATAATGTGTTTGGGTGGCATGCATATTTATGGTACGACAAAGTCAAAGCGCATAAGGCCTTCAAGAATCATATTGTCAGGAAAGCATTATTCAATGTTTGGGTGAGATATAAGGATTTGTTGGAAAGTAAAACACCAAGGTGGCTGTCACCAATGGAGGCTAAGGTTTTGAAAAAAACAAATATGGAGACAAACTGGCCAAAATATTGCGAAATCTTAGAACAAGTCGGAGATAAACTAAAATTGCAGAGCTTTGACAAATTAAAAACTAAAGTCCGAGATTGGCTGCATTATTATCAAATAAGGGAGGTTTTTAACTTAGATAAAAAGATAGGTTTCCAGGAGGAAAAATCTAAACTGGAAACGGAATTGTTAGAACCTAAAACCAAAAATCTGTCAAGAATGTATAATCTGCTGTTGAAATGGAATACACAGGATGAAATGGTTAAATCTGCTATGATTAAATGGGCGCAAGATGTGGGGCATAATATTATGTTTGCTGACTGGGAACGGTTATGGACCACAGGTATGAAATTTCCGGCCTGTAACGCCTTAAGAGAAAATATAATGAAAATGATATACAGGTGGTACTTAACCCCAGTCAAGCTAGCAAAAATTTATCATCTGCCTGATAATAAATGTTGGAAATGTAAAGAAAATGAAGGTACTTTCTTTCACCTTTGGTGGACGTGCCCAAAGATCAAGGCCTTCTGGGAAATGATATATAATGAACTAAAAAAGGTATTGAAATATACTTTCTTGAAGAAACCAGAGGCTTTCCTCTTGGGCATGGTCGGCCAACTGGTGCGAAGGGAAGATAGGAATTTCTTTATGTATGCGACAGCAGCAGCAAGAATACTCATTGGGAAATACTGGAAGACACAAGAATTGCCTACCCAAGAAGAATGGCAGAGAAAAGTGATAGACTACATTGAACTGGCTGAAATGACCGGCAGAATTCGAGATCAAGAAGAAGGGTCGATGGAAGAAGATTGGAAAAAATTTAAAACATATCTTCAGAAATACTGTAATATAAAAGAATGTTAGAAAAGGTTGGAGAAGAATGTTAGATCGTATTGGCAGACAGAGTATAATGGAATAAGTAAATATGAAGTGTAAAATAAAAGATAGAGGAGAATTAAATATTTTTGAATGTTAAAATAAGTAAATGAAAAGAAGGTTAGAAGGGTTTGCTGGAGATAAGATTCAAATTAGAATACAAAGCAGAGAAGTGAGAGGAAGCCACGGAAATAAGTAAATGGGAAAACGGTTCTAATGGTTTAATTTGATTTTTTGTTATTTTTGTATTGTGATTTTTTTTTGTCTTTTATATTTTTTTTTCCTCTTTGTATCGTGTGTTGTTCTTTTTCTGTAGGATGTATGTGATTTGTTTTTCTTTTTTTTGCTTTTTTCTCTCTATGTAATCTTAAAATTGGAATAAATATTCTTTAAAAAAAAAAAATGAACCTCTTCAGAACTTTATAAGTTTATACAGCGTGGGCTAGATAACCATTGTGCTGCTTTTCTAAAGCATTTTGCAAGTTCTTTAGTTTGGTAAGGGGAATTTTCATCTTTTGGACAGCAGCCATTGGTTGAACTGCACTCTGTCCATTTAAAGGTTAATAATGTAGCTTTTCAGCAAAGGGTGTTGTAATGAGTATGAGTTACTCGTGCGTAAACTGGTGCCTCTCTAGGCTGATTTGCCTTGTTAAACCTTTCTGACTGCACAGCCCCTTCTGATCATGACTGTCTCAGTCACTAGCAGAATCCGTCAGTGGGCGTTTCTTGAATCTCTTCCAACATAAGAGTTGTTTGACACCCAATCGCCTCCGCCTCTCACTGCGCGGGAGCCTTCTGCGCAGGGTGGGCGTGGGTAGAGGGGACCTGTCCCCTCCTCACTGAGTTCCAGTGAAGAGTCCGTGAGCCCTCTCTCCGATTTTCCCATCTGCTCACTTTTGTTCCTGGTGTTGCGCTTAAATGCTTCCCCCTCCACTGAGTCGCCTCTCCCCCTGCTGCTGGGTCCTTCTCCAGCATCATCCAGGAGCCTCCCCTTCGCCTCTCGCTCTGATGTCAGTTCCCTGACATCCACCTCCCCCCCAGAATCCCCTCCACCCCTGGGCCGACCTGTGGGACCAACTCGTCCCCTTCGTCGGCCGAGGAGGCGGGAAACCCCGGAAGGAACTGTCACCATCTTCCGTGGGTTCGAAACCCGCTTCCCAATCGCTCTTCCACCTACCAACGGGGTGGTCTTCCCCGTCTGATGCTTCTTCCTCCGAAACCTCTCCTCCCTCCTCGGAGTCAGAAAATCCCTCAAAAACCTCTTCCTCATCTGTGGTTCCAAATTGCTCCTCCCAGAATCTCTCCAGGGGTTTGGGTTTGTCCGGGAACCGGTGGTGGAATACCTCCACCAGATACCTGTCCTCGACGGCTTCCGTGGGGACCCACGTGGTTCGGACCTGGGTTCCCCTTCCCACGCTACCAAATACTCCACCCGGCGCCCTTGCCACCTTGAGTCCAGTATTTCCGTGGCCCTGTGGTGGTGTTCCCTTTCTTCTACCTGCGGGTGTGTGGTGACTTCTCCCTCTTGCCCCTGGAATTCCCGCCCTTCCCTATGCGGTGAAAGCAGGGACCTATGGAAAACCGGGTGTATTTTCATGCTATCAGGCAACCTGAGCTTAAATGCCACGGGATTAACTTGCTGTGTTACCTCAAAAGGTCCCAGCCGTCTGGGCTGCAACTTCTTGCACCCCCCTTTGAAAGGTAGCCCTTGGGTGGACAACCACACCCGGTCCCCCACCCGTATGGTCTCCCCTCCCTGCGGTGCTTGTCTGCCTGCCTCTTGTAAGTTTCCTTGGCCCGCTCCAAGTTCATCTTAAGTTGCTGGTGTAGGGCCTCCATTTCTTCCACAAACTGCTCTGCGGCGGGTACGCTCCAGCTTTCCTCCCCACTCCCGGGAAGGCCCTGGGATGACACCCATGGTTGGCCATGAATGGGCTCATTCCCGTGGACACGTGTTCCGCGTTGTTGTACGCGAATTCAGCCAGCGCTAGTTTTTCTACCCAATCGTTCTGCCTCTCGCTGACATAGCAGCGTAGGTATTGCTGGAGTATACTGTTCGCTCTTTCTGCTTGCCCGTTGGTCTCTGGGTGTCTCGCCGTCGAGAAACCCACCTCCACCTGCAGTAAGCTCATGAGTTTCCTCCAGAACCGGGAAGTAAATTGTTTTCCGCGGTCGGAGATAACCCTCAAGGGGGCGCCATGCAGCCGGAATATGTGCTCCACAAACAACCGGGCTGTTTCCTCTGCCGTTACAGCATGTGAGCAAGCTATAAAGTGGCACATTTTTGTCAGTAGGTCGACCACTACCATGACTGCTGTCTTTCCCGGGACTTGGGCAAATCTGTCATAAAATCAATGGATACCACCTCCCAGGGTTTCCCGGCGTGGGTAAGGGTTCCAGCAATCCTGTGGGGCAGCCCGCTCCCCTTTGCCCTTTGGCAGCGGTCGCACCCCGTACATATTCCCGTACATCCTCCCTCACCCTGGGCCACCAGAACTGCCTGGTCACAAGCATCATGGTTTTGTGCTGTCCAAAGTGCCCTGCTGTGGGGTTGTCGTGGAGTTGTTTGAGTACCTTTTCCCTCAGGGTCTCCCCCGGTACGTACAGCGCTCCCCTATAGTACAGTACCCCTTCCTTCTCCTCAAACCCTTCTTGGGTCCCTCTTCCGTCTCGTAGTTCCCGGATTTTAGTTTGCGCGAACACGTCGTTTCTGGTCAGCCCGGCTAGTTCTCGTTTCCCCACCAAAGTTCCCCACACACCCATCGGTCCTCGGGGATCACGTGTCGTTTCTCCGGCGGCCCTCTCCTTCCAGGTACTCCGGTTTACGCGAGAGAGCGTCTGCTCTTACGTTTTCTTCTCCGGGCACGTAGCGGATTTCAAAGAAAAACTTGGAGAACTCCTGTGCCCATCGAATCTGTCTCTGGTTGAGTACTCGTGCGGTTCTCCAGTACTCCAAGTTCTTGTGATCTGTGCAAACCTGGATCTGTTGTTGCGCCCCTATCAGTAGATGACGCCAACGACGAAAGGCCGCGTAGATTGCCAGCAGTTCGCGGTCATACACTGTATAGTTTTGCTCCGACTTGCTCAGTTTTCTGGAGAAAAGGCACACGGTTTCCATTCCTGCTTTCCCTTCCCTGACTGCAAAAGGACCGCCCCCACGGCTCTGTCGGACGCGTCGGTCTCTAGCCTCAGGGGTTTCTCCAGATCCACGTGCAGGAGCTGCTCTTCCGATGCGAACGCCTTCTTCAGTTTTTCAAAGCATTGCTGGGCCTCTTCTGTCCACACAAACTTCTTTTTGCTACTGAGACAATCCGTGATTGGCGCTGTCAAGTGGGCGAAGTTCTTGATGAACTTCCTGTAGAAGTTGCTGAACCCTAGGAACCTCTGTACGTCCTTCCGTGTCTTGGGAGCCTTCCACTCCAGCACTGCCTGCACCTTGCTTGGGTCCATCGCTAAGCCTTTGTCAGACAACTTGTACCCCAGAAACTCGACTTCTCTGGCGTGAAACTGACATTTTTCCAGCTTGACCCACAACTGGTGCTTCTGCAGTCATTGTAACACTTCCCTGACGTCTCTAACATGTTGTTCCTCATTGTCCGAATAAATTAAGACGTCGTCCAAGAAGGCTACGCAGTTCTTGTACAGCAGAGACCCCAACACGTGGTGCATGAAAGCTTGAAAACAGGCGGAGCCTGACTGTAATCCAAAAGGCATAACTAAGTACTCAAAGGCACCTAGGGGTGTGAACATTGTGGTCTTCCATTCGTCCCCCTCCCTCATCCTGATCAAATTGTATGCGCCCCTGAGGTCCAGCTTGGTAAAAATTTTGCCTTTCCTCACTCGCGTTAAAATGTCGTCAATCCTGGGCATTGGGAAGGTCACGGGTTCTGACACCAAATTGACAGCTCTATAGTCCACTACGAGCCTGGGTTTATTTGTGTCCTTTTTGTCCACAAAGAACACCGGACTGCCCCCTACTGCCTTTGATTCTCTTATGAAGCCTCTTTTCAGGTTCTTGTCGATAAATTCTCGCAACTCCTTCATCTCCCTGTCTGACATGGCGTACAGCTTACCCACTGGCAGCTGAGCCCCCGGAAGCAAGTTGATCTGGCAGTCAAAGGGCCTATGGGGTGGCAGTCTATCTGCCTCCTTTTCGCTGAAGACCTCCCGCAGATCTGCGTATTGTGGCGGCACCTCCCCTTTCCGCTCCACCGCCATCCCAGCCACCCTGGCCACGGTCATTCTTGGGGCTTCCCCTAGACAGTGTTCCAGGCAGTAAGCTGATCCAAAGGTGACTGTCCTCTGATGCCACGCCACCACTGGATCATGTTGTGCTAGCCAGCTCATCCCTAATATTATTGGGGGTCCTGCTAGCGAGGCGACGTGAAAGGCGATGGTTTCCGAGTGCCTGGACACCCTCATTCTCATTGGCGGGGTTTGGTGTGTCACTTCCCCTCCTAGAAGCTCCCTGCCATCAATGGTGGTCACTTGCAAGGGAAAATCCAAAGGCAGTAAGTGGAGCTGGTGCTCTAATGCAAAGTCCTTGCTGAAGAAATTACATGAGCTGCCTGAATCCAGCATGCCTTTCACCTTGACTGGGTGCCCGTTCGGGAGTTCTAGCACCACTTCGATGGCTATTGCCGCCTTGGGGGGGTCTGGTTGGGGCACTTTTACTGGTGGCTGGCTTGGCTGTTGTGCCCCTTGATTGGCAGCCAAGCGTTCTCGTTTCCCTGTTCCTGTTCCTTTACCACCTCCTCCTCACCCCCTGCGGTTCCCACCATTCCTTGCCAAGCCTTTCTTTGAGGGCAGGCTCTGGCAAAATGCCCTGGCCGCTGGCAAAGGTAACACCTTTTGGAGGTTTTCCAATCCTTTCCCTCCTTCTTGCGCCCTTCGCTGGTGCTTGAAACTTCCCGCGCGCGCCCCATCTATTTCCATTGGCTCTGCTGGCGGGGAGGGCTGCCTTGGTATTTCAGGAATGCGGTAGTCATGGCAACGTTGCTCTCTCCCTTCCCGCCTCTCCTGGGCCCGCGCTTCCTGGCGCGCGCCAATCGCAAGCACAGCCTTGGTCAGCTGATCCATCCCCTGTGGGTGGGGTGCGCGGGAAAGTTCATCCTTAACCGTTGGGGACAACCCCTCCTCGAATAACATCTGTATGGGTTCGGAGCCCAGTTCCCACCCGAGGCGATGAACTATCATGGCAAAGCGCGACCAGTAGTCCCTGACTGACTGGCCCCCTGTTTACAGTTCATCAATTCCCGCTTAGTCACCCGTTGTGAACATCAGTGGAAAACATCGCGTCCATCGCTTGGAAGAATTTCCTCAGGTCCTGCATGGCGGAATTCTGCGTCGCCATAAGGGGTCTGACCCATTCTCTGGCCCCGTCCTGCAGGTGACCCACAACATATGCCACCCGCGCCGCGTCGTCTTCAAAATCGTTATGCTGCAAGTCCAATGCGTACTCTATTTCCGTTCTAAACGCACTGTATTCTTGCGGCTTCCCCCCAAACTTGTGCACCAGTCCCGGTACCTTCCTTGCTATGGGGGTGGGTCTGACCTGTGCATCTTGAGACCGCCTTTCGTCCAGCCGTGCCGTCAGAATGGCCACATGCTGCTCCAAATCTCGGTTCCTCTCCTCCAGCGTTTGCCCTCCAGCTGCCTGCTTCTCCGGGCTTGCTCATGATGCTGCCTGCCTGCTGCTGCGCACGAGCAACTTTCAGGGACTGACGGATTGCTGTAATGAGTATGAGTTACTCGTGCGTAAACTGGTGCCTCTCTAGGCTGATTTGCCTTGTTAAACCTTTCTGACTGCACAGCCCCTTCTGATCATGACTGTCTCAGTCACTAGCAGAATCCGTCAGTGGGCGTTTCTTGAATCTCTTCCAACATAAGAGTTGTTTGACACCCAATCGCCTCCGCCTCTCACTGCGCGGGAGCCTTCTGCGCAGGGTGGGCGTGGGTAGCGGGGACCTGTCCCCTCCTCACTGAGTTCCAGTGAAGAGTCCGTGAGCCCTCTCTCCGATTTTCCCATCTGCTCACTTTTGTTCCTGGTGTTGCGCTTAAATGCTTCCCCCTCCACTGAGTCGCCTCTCCCCCTGCTGCTGGGTCCTTCTCCAGCATCATCCAGGAGCCTCCCCTTCGCCTCTCGCTCTGATGTCAGTTCCCTGACAGGTGTTTAGCTACCTGTTACAGCACCTGTGATTTCTTTCCCCTTGAAAAATAGTAGTCTTTCAGGAGCAAATACCTTTTGTTTGTCAACATTTTAGCTTGGCTAGCTCCCATTTGGAGCTTGTAGGTCAACATCCTCAAAAGATAAGCTATCTGTTGAGCAAGTATAGAAGGAAGCCCTACATGGGTTATGAATCTGTCTGAGCTGATTTTAAGATACCAGTTGCTAGCATGTTGGGAAAGGTACAGATTCCATTCTTCCAAACTTATGGACCGCCTCTCCAAGACCCTGTGATCATCATCTGAGGTCCTTCTTTGTGTGCCACTCCCACAGGAGATCTGAAGGGTGGCATTACAAGAATGGTGGCCATTTCTATGGTGGCTCCTGCTTGTGGGATGCTCTCCCAAGGGAGGCTGACCTGGCGCCAGGCAAAACCTTTCTCTTATATGAGGCCCTTGGCTAGTTAAACAAGCTATGGCCTTTTAAACAGGGGGGGGGCTGGTAAAGGGTTTTTGTTTGTTAAATATTTTTGTGTATTTATATTGTAAATTCCTAGCAATGTCTTCCAAATAGTAAAGTCAAGCACACAAATTATGGATCCCTCAGTAACAGACTTAGATTCACCGGGGGGGGGGGGGCTATATAGAAATATTTAGCCAGGAAGGCATTCACTAAAGAAAAGCTACAACACTGTTGTGTTATGTATTATAAGTATTTTTATGTTATACTACAATTATATTCCCAATGGAAGCACACATAAACAAACAGAATAACAAAGTAGGTCCTGTTGGAAAACAATTTGCTTGTTTGGGAAGTTAAAATTTTCTGGATTCATAAATGTTCACAGCCTTCAAACAAGACTTTGGGGACGTGGGCAGGAACATGCCGAGAGAAACAGTGGAGTGCCTAGTATTTATGTATAATAACAATATTCACATTGTTTTTCTTGTTTTGTATTGTATAGAGTCTTGATGATGCTGTTCCATTCTGACAACCCCCCTTTGTAATATGGTGTTTTGTTTCTCTTCTCTTTCAGTAACACTCAGGCTGCTGATTCTTGCGGTGTTGTTGGCTTGGCTTTCAGTGGACCGCAGATCCAGAGTGCGACTGTTCTGTTAGATCAGGATGTAATTGATGAGAGGACAGCAGAAGCAGCAGTGCAGCGCCTCAAAGCCACAAACATTCCTGAACACAATAGCCTTGGTTTTATGTTCGCATGTGTTGGCAGGGGATATCAACATTATAAAACCAAACGGAATCTTGAGGCTGATGCTTTTAGGAAGTTCTTTCCTAACATTCCCCTCTTTGGCTTTTTTGGACATGGGGAGATAGGATGTGATCGAATTGTGACCGGGAATTTTATACTCCGAGAGTATAATGACACAAAGGATGACTTGCTCCATGGTTACACCACTGTAATGACCATTATCCATCTGGGTTCAGCCAAAGCAAATCAAGCTTAAACCTTTAGTTGTAAATGTGCACCAGAGAAACGATGCTGTTTTAATTCCAGCAATGTAAAAACAAAACAAAATCTGAAACACTGTACACACTTCCAACAGAAGTGGATCCTGAAACAATTGTAATCACTGTACCATTGACTTAGGGTGTCTAGGTGGCATAATATTAAATTAAACTTGATGAGGAAGAAAGGGTTTTTTAAAATTTCAGATTTGTCAGATCTCTGGTAAAGGGTTCTAGTCAACTAACTTTTTGCTGATAGTAGACCCACTGAAATCTATCTAAATGATGGCTACTAACTTCATTGGATGTAATCTGACTAAATGTTAGTTTAATACAACCCAAATAATTTATTTATTTCTAAATTTGCAAATTATTTAGGTCAGAGTTAAGTGAACTCATATCTTTAGAAGTAACATAATTAGCATTTCTGCATGCAGTTTATGGACCAGATTTTGACACAACGATCAAGTTAAGCATTAAACGAACTTTCAGTTATGTTTTTAAAAAACGCTGTTGCTATGCCTCTGTATTACAGCAACATTACATTACAGTTTTCTACTGTGACAGCAACACTACTTTGCAGAAGGCTGGGCCATCACATATGAATAACAGGACAATTCTCGAGCTAGAAAAAGTGGTTCGGAAGACCCTTCAAACCAATCCACCCAGTCTTAGTGGTGTGTTGGAAATGAAACCTTATGCTGCCCTTGGCTTGTTTGCAACACTACTTCTCAAGCTGCTTTTGGCAGGAGGTTAAGCTGTTGTTGGACACATGATCACATAAATCACTTTGCTGTGTGGCAAATCCTCGTGAGTGGATGTGTTTGAAATGTAAGACAATGCTCTTTATATAAAGATACCCACAAAGAGATGGAAATGAATAAATGGGGTTGATAAGGCACTAACGATAGTTTTCCATATCCTTACTGTTGGATTTACAAAACTAATTCCACTTCTTACAGATGACATCTTCCTTGGAACAGTATGAAAGGAATATCTCGGTGTGGGGGACAAGGTGAAGCAAAAACATGAAAGCAAGAGCCCGCAATCTTTACTGGAAGTGTTCAGCTAGCTCTGATTCACTGAACTACTCAGGAGTGCCAGTGTCACCGTAAGATAAACAGCATATTTGGGGAACCCTCTGCGTGGGCTTCCTATCTCTGGGTCATTTCTGCAGGACCCTTTCCCATCAACTATAGGCTATGAAAACTGTTGCAATCTTTCTCATTTGCACCCAAAATAGCAAATGAGCTTGTGGTCCTCTTAAAGACTAACAGGGTTATTGTGGCAAAACCTCTTGTAGGTCAGAACCTACTACAATATAGGTTCAAAAATCAGGTGTGATCTTGGAGACATTTGGATGCTGCATACAACCTGTTACCTTTTGCATTTCACAATCATCCATATATATATATTTTAAAATGCATATTATGCCAGCCAATAACATGTAGCCCATAAAATTTATGTCACAATGAATCAGTATTCAAGGTGGTATTAGCCACTCCGCTTTTGAAGTCACAAGAAGCTAATTCACTTAACCTCAATAGCTTCCTTTAATTTGTTGCTTTTAATTAGAGAGATAAGGCTCTCTTCAGCTCAACACTGTCCTTTCTGCATTTGAAAGCTCAACTCCCACATTTAAAAACAACAATAATATTTTTAAAAGTTTGCCAAACAATAAGAAATGTGATATAACTGTACTGTCTCTAGCCTTTTTAAAATCTTAATCTTTAAGGCTAGGGGAAAAGTATATAAGAAATATTCTCTAAGCTGTAGAAGAACAAGCACATTTCTTTTACCAGGATGGAAAACATATTATTTAGCTCTCTTTAACGAGCAAATCTGGATCTCTAGATTATTCTTTTTCTTTTTCCTCTGGAAAAGCTGTGTGCATAACATTTTGACAATTACAGCTTTTACTGGCGTGCAGATGGTACCGGTGAGAGAAGTGTTGGTGAATTCCTTCTGGGTTACACAACTAATAAAAGTCTTAAGTAACCTGCTAGAAATAAAAGCAGATGTCAATCTTATTTTGGTCAACCATTGGTAACCTTTTCATCTGCCATCTGTGCAACCCCTCAACTCCCATCAGCCTCAGTCTTAGCAAATGGTTAGGGATGATGGGACTTGTAGTTTATATCTTTGTTTGCAGAGCAAGATGGCAACAACAAAGCAGCAGCAGTGAGGAAACCTCCCTAAAAATGCCATCTATTTAAGTTAACTATCTGAATTGTGGACAACCAGCAGGATAAAATTAGAGGGACAGTTTATATTCATACTTAGATATACCTGTAGTGAAGGCTCCTCTGACCTTAGCTGTTGAAAGGTAATTGCAGACAAAACATACCCCAGCTGCTTATGCTGATAAAAGTTCAGGAGGATTTAATTTAACAGTGATGTCATCAAGCAAGATGGCTGCCTAACTCTCTTACTCTTAACACCCTGTGCACTATCAAACCTCCCATTTAAGCTGAAAACCTTAAAAAGTGACTCTGTGAAACAAGATCTTTACAGATTATGCTCCAGGGATCTCATTTAACACCACAAAAGCCATGTATCAGGAAATCAACCACAAACTTCTGAGCAGCAGGAAGAAGAACTAGGCTCAAGCAGGGCAGCTAAGACTGCAAAACTCTTAAGACGAAGTATTTGCCAGTTTCCTTCTCCCTGAGCTCACTACCCACCTGGGAAAGCTGAGACAGGATCTCAGGGAAGATTTAGCATTAGAACTAAAAGCAGCTTTGACTCCCAAGTGAGAAAAGACTCAACAAAACAGAAGCCCGGATCTCTGAGGCCTCAAAGACTGCAAATGAAGCTCTAAAGTTAGGAATCAGGAGGCAAAAATCAAGAAACTGGTGGCCATAACTAGAGAAACACAGCTTTGTATGAAGCAGACATTCTTGTCGCTTCCATCTGTAAGTGAGAGGCCTACCAGAATTTCTGGAAGGCAAAGACTTACTCTCTTATCTTCCCTAATCTTAAAACTTAAGGCCTCCGATCTAGAGTTTGCATACAGAGCAGGCCAGTGCTTGCAAACTCAACCACAGGCCCAGAGACATTGTTATTGAAAGGTTTTTCCTCCTTTCCACTAAGCAGGCCATTTTAAAGGAACTTCGTATACTTGACAGTCTGGCATGGGAAGGCCAGAATATCTCTCTTATGTAAGATTTGTGTCTGGCAACCTTAAATTGCAGACGTTCCTTTAAACCATATACAGAAATGCTTCAAAATGCTGGAATCCACAAGAGATGGGGCTACCCATTCCATCTGATAGTGCTGCTGGATGGGGTACAGCATGAAGCATCAACACACAAGGAGGCAAGACTACTCCATAGCATGCTAAAGCTGTCTGTACCAAGCGACCCCAAAACCAGCAGCTGTAACTCAGACTCATCAGATGATGGGATAGGACTAGGTTGGCAGCAGCAGTGACATCAAGTAAAAACTTCTTAAAAGTGTCACTTTCAGCATACTGAAACCCACCACGTCCTGGGAACTGGAAGAGGACACCAGAGCAGTGGTCAGCAGAATACCTAGTCTCTTAAACAGGAATAGGGAAATAATAACCACTAATGTGCATTATTAGCTGTCAGCATAACAAGGAAGCATTGAGACACATGGAGGTGCCCAAAGCAAATGAAGCAACCTGGCACTGGGAAATTTAGAGAACTGTTAAATTGATTAAGTTTTTTACTTCAGTGTCCCCTTATATTTGCTATCAGAAAATGAATGGTGTTAAACATTTAGAGGAGAGACTAGCTCTTCTCATGACCATTCTAGCAGAACTTTGCAAGATCTTTGTGTTTTATCATTGGATTACATAGTGAAGCTTGAATTTTATCCTATACATGCTATTACTCTGACCTACATTTTGCCACCTATCAAAACAATCCGTTAAAATGTTTGTACAATTTCCTAGCCAACATACTCTAACCTGGCCCAATGGTTGATCTGGAAACTATAAAAATACTCACCCTAAATGTCAACGGTCTCAACTCACCGGTGAAACGACAAAGAGTCAATCTAATGCTCAAATGGGAAAAACCTAAAATAATATGCCTACAGGACACCCACTAAGAAGCAATGGATAGAATTTTTCGTCTCAAAGGCTTTGATGTCCAAATCTCATCTCCTGGCTCATCAAAAGGAAGAGGGGTAACACTGCTGATTTCTAACAGTCTGAATTTCACCCTCAAGAGAACTTTGACAGCTGAGAGAGGCCACTAAGCATTTGTCAAAGGCCAAAGTAATGGCATCACACTAACTATAGCCTCACTTTACTCTCTGAACAAAGGACAGTTACAATTTCTCGGACTTGCTATGCTAGAACTATCTGGATTCCAGGGAGGCAAGGTGCTATTAGAAGGGGATTTAAATCTTGTACAAGATCCCCAACTGGACAGATTAACCTCTCTATTGAATGACAACCATACCTAAGCCAGGAAAAATCCTGCGTCAGTAGAATCATATAGACCAATAATCCTTTTAAATCAGGATGCTAAAATCTTTACAGCAATCTTTACTGCAAGGCTCAACACGTTTATTTCTTCCTACATCACCATGGACCAAGCTGGGTTCATACCCCAGAGACAGATCTGTGACCCAGTTCACCAGCTACTAAATGTTATCCATCATAGCAAAAGGAAAAATTTACCACTGGCCGTCATATCATTAGATATGGTAGTTCCTAGAAGGGTTGCTGTCAAAAATGAACATGGGACATTTTATGAATTCTATCATGAGACTGTACAAAAACTCATACACTCGGGGTAAATGGCATAGATTCTAAAGCTTTCTCTATTGCAAGAGGGGTGTGACAGGGATGCCCTCTGTCACCCCCTCTTGTTTGCCCTCTCAATTGAACCACTAGCCCTCTCCCTTAGAAACAATTTGGAGATAAAAGGAGTTGAAATTTTAAAAAATGCATAAAATAAGACTTTTTGCAGATGATATAGTAATAATGCTCTCTAACCCAAAAGCTGCAACACCTGTATTAATGAAAGAACTAAGCAATTATGGTAAAGTGGCCAGATTCAAAATCAATGAAATCAGAAATAATGTAGATAGGCATTCCTCCACCTGTCTAATTAAACATTCTAAACCAAACAGGTTTTAAAACCTGCTACAAGGTAGTAAAATATTTGGGAATGCAGATAACTAAAAATCTATCCGCTCGAAAGAAAGCAAACTTCACACCAGTATTCCTACAGGTATGACAAAATCTTGAGTCTTGGAAAGATCTACATTTATCATGGTCAGGACGCATAGCTGCAGTTAAGATGGCTATCCTATCGAAATTTTTGTTTCTCTTTCAAGTGTTGCCAATTATGATTACACCCATACAATTTAAAATTTGGCAGTGCTCAATAAACAAGTTTATTCATGAAGGGAAGAAAGCATGACTAGGCTCTAGAATTATATATGGAAGTGTCCAAAATGGCGGGACTGGAATCCCACATCTCCAAACTTATTACAGCGCCTTCCCAAGTAAAGCATTTGATGTCACTGATCCACAGGCAAAAAGGTAAACCATGGGTAGATATAGAAATTTCAGATCCTGTATATAGAGCATATCCCTATCTACCCTCCTCACTCACTAAAACCCATACTAATGTGAACCCTTTTTTCCGCACCACTCTAAATGTGTGGAAAGCAAAATTTTAAAAACTAGCTCCCCCAAGATCTCCCCTTAGCTTTCACCTATCTTTTAAAGAAGCAGGGCAATGCTTAGATTGGAACGGTTGGGAACAGGTGGGCCTTTATAGATTAAAAGATTTCTCTGCAAACAGTAAAGGTAAAGGTAAAGGTCCAGTCGCGGACTACACTGGGGTTGCAGCGCTCATCTCGCTTTACTGGCCAAGGGAGCTGGCGTACAGCTACTGGGTCATGTGGCCAGCATGACTAAGAACGGTACCCCCCTACAAAAAGAACAATTCATTGCAGCCATACCAAACCTTAAATGGCCATGGTACCACTTCAACCAGCTGTTAAGATTCCTGTTAAACCCAGACATTTCCACTCAAGCAAACAAAAAACTAACAGCAATAGAGCACATCTTTGTTAACTTCTCTCCACTCTCTAGGGGCAGAGCGTCCTCAATTTATGAAGCTCTAATAACACTAGAATATGGCAATCTATTATACACAAAAATGCTGTGGGAAATGGACCTAGATGTGCAAATACCAAATGAGAAATGGATGGCTTTGTGGTCTGGGAGACCATTGAAATCAGTTTCTGCAAAAAGAAAGGAAGCTTTGCTAAAACTTCTGCATAGGTGGCATTATACATCGGTGAGGCTGTCCCAAATATGTAAACAACTGAAGAGAACCTGGCTGATCTGATCCTGTTGACAGCTAAAACAATTGATTCTATTTGTAAAACGCTTAGCTCATTGCTTTCTAAAATGGACATTTTAATCAGTGAGGTCACAGAGACACTCAGAAAAGAAATCAACAAGGTACCAAAGGAACCTTCTCTATCTAACTCACTGTGAGCTAAATATATGATCCAGGACACGTGTTCCAAATCACGAGATAATATAAACCAGAAGCTTGTTAGTGGAATGAAAGAACAACATCACTTAGTGTTACAACTGAATAAGCTTAGTCTTGCAATACGCAGCAACAAAGGCTGGATTCCATCCTTTTATACAATTTGACTGGCCAAGAAGCATTGGAGGATTTTATTAGGGTTACATAGACTTAATCAATGTGTAGCCTCTGAACTACTCCAATTAAGCTCAGAAAGTCTTACTTTAGAAGCCCCAAAATTCCCTCACTGCTACATCGCACCAAGTCTATGTTGACTGCCAAAGGAATTTTCCCAGTACGTTTTTAACAACCTGATTTTATCACCACTAATAACTAACTTTAAAGCAGCCAGCCACCATAATTATAACAGGACCCTAATGAAAAGAACACAAAAGGGCTTAAGCAAATCCATTCAAGAGGATTTGATCAGTTGGCGGAACCAGAGGATCCAACCAAGGACAACTATGTATTGGAGGAGCATTTGGAAGGCTCTTTAAAGATTTGCCAACGCAAGAGCAACAACAGATTATTGAAAAACTAGCCTGCTGAAGATATCTGCAGACATCATAACTCCTACAATATGCCTAACGACTCTCAGCCTAAGGAGCCCTCGAAAGAGTCCATTATCTCTGCTACCACCCTACGTAATGATCCATCAATACAGAACGCCGGACAGGTATGGGCAGGTCCCCTTCCTTTATTGTCAGTGATTACAGAAGGTATCTTTCAGCTCCTATGGCATATCTAAGCAGTCTGGAACTGCCTACACATCGTAGGACCTTGTCCCTGGCTCAGTGCTGAACTCTCCCTTCTGCTGCTCCTGGAGAACGCTACAGAAAGATCTCATACCTGGAGAGATGCTGCCCCTGTGACTCTGGCCAAATTGAAACTGTATAACACAGGCTTCTTCATTGTTCTACAGAGATTTAGGCTCTGACCTTATTCTGCCAATACTCCAGAAATACGCTGGATGCTCTGATCATTTTTTTGCCACTCTGTTGCTCCTTAATAAAAAATCCTGTTATACAAGGTAGCCAAATTTTGTGCAGCAGCAATCAAAATACGACATACAATGACTAGCGCCAAGCATTAGTATTATATATAATATAATATAATGACCTCTCTAGGTCAGGAGGGTTTCCTTTCTGACAGATAAATGACTCCCTATAACTGCTTTTTATGTATATATGATTTTATATCATTTTATTTCTTTATTTTGGTGTTTATCTTGATACTATGACTTGGACTGTAGTCCAGTAACATCTAAAGGGCCACAGGTTTGTCATCCCTGAACTACAGTTCTGTGTTAAAAATATAATCAATTTTAGTCTGGAAAACTGTTTCCCCAAATCAACCATCTCTTTAATGCCTCAAATTGGAAGCATGGTTTTCCAGTTCAACTGGAACTATAAAGCAGCAGTTAACAATACCTCAATATATTTAGTGTTTAAAAATTAGCCAGCTCTAGACTTCATGCAGTGTTGTTGTTTTTTAAGGAAGTGCAAATGATTTTCAGAGGTTACATCATGCTATGTGGTTTTATTTTTGGCCAACAAAAACAGTTTTGTTTCCTAATATGACCTTTGCAGCCAGCTAAGCTGTGAAAGAACTGATTTTAAACTTGTGAATGCTTTTTAATAGAGACCTGGAATAGGCATTTAAAGAGAGAAAGATAAACTTTATTTACAAATGAAATGGTTTTGCGGACTGACCTTGATTTTTAACCACTGTATTTTGTGCAGGTCTAAAGCCCTCTGAGTAGTTCAAACAAAACTTAGGAGTAATTAAGTCATTGAGAAGGTTCTGCATGTCTTCAGCCAGTTACAACTTGTGGTCCATATATAGGGTCCATTATATATATATATTTACTAGCCCTGCCCTCCCATTTAAAGTTCTGTTCAACACAATCAAAGGCCTTACCATTTTCCATGTCTAGGTAAAAGCATATACCTATTTTTGCCTTTGATAAATACAGATGAATGAAACATAGCTTCTCAGTATTATCTAACAGTATTCTGTCATGATTCAACAGTATTTTATCTTTTTTAACTACTATGCATAAAGGTCGTTCTAACTTGTCTCTGAAAAGCTTCACATACCTTGTACATTCTGTGTCTGACAACTGCAAGAACATAAGCAATGCACATTTATGCGTATATATTTGGTCTTGTAAAATATTAGCAATATCTTCTTCTTTCACAGTGTCTGGGAACAGTGTTATGGATTCCTGTAAATTATATAAGAGAATAGCTTTATTAGAAGTGATTATTATTATTTTTTAAAAATAGTCTATTGGCTTTCCACCATTATTCAAGGTGATTTACAAAAATCATTAAAAGAATATAAATAGTTTCCAAAACAAGTATAATCACATAGCCTAGAGCATAGAAGCAGTAAAAATTAGCTGATGAAGATACGCACAATCTAATTAGCAAATCATTTGGCACATCTGCTTTCCTTATGAGCCCAAAGTTAGTTGTGACTATTTTGAATTCATAGAAATAGAAAACAGTGGATTTTTTAGCAGAATCAGTGCTTAATTTATGGTGTGCTTTCATATTTTGCTTTTGGATAGCAATTTGCATTTTTTTATTTTTTCCACCTGATCCTACATGCAATTCTTTGGTTCTTTATTCCACATCTCATTACATTATTGTTTGTTCTGGGGGGAAGTGTGAGCTACTTTTCCTCAAAAGAGAACTATTAGATATCCCTTAAGGGGTTGTATGCTTTTTCATAATTTTCCTTTCAACTGACTCTTCACTGAATTCAGCTGTTGTGCATCCAAGGAAAGAAAATTCTGCTCTGCATTTTATTCTTTGCTGATTCTAGAAGCTGTATCAATGATACTCTTCTTTAGTACTGCTTTAAACGCCTCCTAATTTATTGTTGCAAATAACTTGCTATTTTTGTTATTAATGAAATGAATAGTTTTTCTGCTCAGAACATTTAGCATGACCCCTCTTCAAACAGCAGCATTTTGAGTTCCCATTTTTTAGCCATTTTATTGCTTTTCTTATATCTACATATCATCATTGGCCAACGATGGCCATTCTCTCTTCTTTTTATCCCCCAGAAGCTTCTCAGTGAAAACACAATTAGAATCCACTGGAGCGAGATCTACATTTGGGCATGAATGATATGGGTGATTCCCACTGTTCATGAGTATAAGCAGATGGGAAACATTTTGTTTTAAATATGGGTCAGTGGGACTGGAATTCTCCCAGTTCCCTACTTTTAGGTTTAAACTAGTGGTTAAGTAGTCTACAGTAAGATTCTCTGAAGAAAATTTCAGGACAGGAAGAACAGAATCAAGAAAGTCCCTTTGTCTAATATTAGGGATAATTTTGCCCAAATACTCTCATTGTTCACAAGTTTCTCATTTTCATTTAAATGTTGTTGTTGTTGTTGTTTTAAAAAAAAGGTCCTTCAAGATATGTCTTAAATAGAAATTCAGATTATTGTATATGTACCACTCTGCCCAATTCTATGATGCCATTAAGTCATTCTGGTAACAAGATGTTTGGTGTGGTAGAATCCCATCACCTATCAGTACATATTAGATAATAATTAAATAGAAAATAGCTTGAAATGCATTTTACAAAAACATAGAATTCACGGATAAGACATTTGTACACAATGTCTCTTTCTTTGAAGTAACCAGGATCCCTTTTAAATATAACTTTGTCCTGATAAGTTCCTACAGAAAACTCTCCTCTGATTTACACAGCACCTTGTCTTCTCTGTTCAGTCTTCTTACCATATTCTCCAACATTGTTTTTGCTTGTCTATAGCTGTTTTGCTTGTTGCTGTTCCATAATTTCTTGTTTTGATTGCTTTATTCAGTTATCTCGGGGAAAAACAAGAATTTTATTTTCATCAAGACTCTTTTGGCAGAAAGTCTTTACCATTTACTGTATCCCTTTACCATTACTGTATTTGAAAATTACTTACTGTTGCAACCATCCCTGCTGCTCCCTTCAATCAGGTTGTTGCCATGCTCTATGGAACTGGTCCGTGGAATCTGGCCCTTCCTGACAGTGATTAGGAAAATTAAAAAGAATAAATGTGGATGTGAGTTCACATTGCATTTAGCGGTTGCGGCTTTTGCTATTACAGCCTAATGGGCTTTTACATCGAACTTTCAGACTGACTGCTCCACAGTTAGGTAGCATTTAATCAGCCGTTAGTTTGAAATAGAGACATGGATTGGGCTGTCAAGGCTCAGTCATGCATCCTCTGTGCACATGACCAAATGCTGTGTACACTGAATGGGCCATCTGAATAGTTTTTTAATTAATTTTCATTTTTCACATCACACAGTCATCTGAATTATTAAGTTACAAGTCCACATCATTATTTGCTGTGTCATTGCAAGTCTTTCTTTAGTGGAGACAGGACATTTGAAATAAAGTTTATGCTAATCATTTCTGCCCTATACACAGTATGTTGGGTTGGGTTTTACAGAAGCTGCTTTCATATGTATATTAAATTGCTTTGATATTTTTAAAAGGGAAGGTGTTCCAGAAATTACATAAATAAATGTACATTGCAGAAATGTTTTTTCCCATTAAGCTATTCTTCTGTACTTTTAATATTTTCTAAAGGTGACAATGGGCAGTTTAAATAATGCATTCAGTTCTCTATTGCTGAAAGGGACTCGGTTCTAATGTGAGATGGGAGTGTGTCACAAAATATTTCCTTTTAAGAACTGCTGTTACAAGGTGCCTCAGCAGTGCTTTTTAAAGTTTTAAAAAGTGAAAAACCATAAGCATAGTGAAATGTTTTTATTAACCTCAAAGACTAATATTGCATGCATTATAAATGGAGAATATATCATGTAGAATATTTAAATTCTGTCAGGCCAGAATCAGAGACGTTATGTGAATCGCTAAGCCAGCCTTTGCCCAGGGCCTTCTAGGTCTTCTGCCCTACAACCCCTACCATCTCCAAGACATCTAGAAGACGCTGGGTTGGCAGAGTCTGACGTAAGCACCACCATTTTACCTGCAAAGAAAGAAGAATGCACCAGCAACCAGGACACTTAGGACGACCACTGAAGCTAAAACAGCTGCAAACAGTTCACCTCTTGGATGGCTCTTGATGCTCGGTAGTAAAATTTCCTCACAACGATTTCCTGTATAATTTTCAACACACCTGCGAAACAGAGGTTTACATTAACTGAGTATCTTGTGGCACAGCTTATATATACTTAATCTACTGGTACTTCCCAACACTTGCTTGTCTTGACACACAAGCATGGCCAGGAAGCAGCAAAATCTTGGCTGTGCCGGTAGAATCAAAGATTTGTAGAGTTGGAAGGGAACATGAGGGTCATCTAGTCCAACCCCCTGCAATGCAGGACTGGGGGCTCGAACCTATGACCCTGAGATGAGTCTCGCATTCTAACAGTTCAAATGAGTGTCATTCTCCATGGCTCCCCTTAAGACAATTTACATTTGACATTTCAGTTAGTGGGTTATGTCCTGGTTCTGAGTAGACTACACACTGAACCTGAGTCAACAGTGTGATGCAGCAGCAAAAAAATATACTTTTCTAGGCTGCATCAACAGAAGTCTAGTGTCTAGATCAAGAGAAGTAATAGTCCTGCTCTACTCTGCCTTGGTCAAACCACACCCGGAATACTGTGTCCAGTTCTGGGCACCACAGTTTAAGAAGTATATTCACAAGATGGAGTATGTGCAGAGAAGGGTAACCAAGATAATCTGGAAACCAAACCTTATGAGGAATGGCTGAGGGAATTGGGTTTATTTATCCCAGTAAAGAGGAGACTGAAAGTAGATATGACAGTCATCTTCAAATATCTGCAGGGCTGTCACATGCAAGACAGCAAAGTTTTGTTCTCCTGCTCCAGAGGGTAGGACCCAAACCACTGGATTCAAATTAGACAGATGGAGCTTCCAACTAAATATCAGGAAGAACTTTCTGACAGTAAGAGCTATTCACAGTGGAACAGACTCTCATGAAAGATTGTGCACTCTCCTTCCTTAGAGGATTTAAAGCAGAAGTTGGGTGGCCATCTGTCATGTATGAGGTTCCTGCATTGCAGTGGGTGGGACACATGACCCTCTGGGTACCTTCCAGCTCTGTGCTGTGTGCTATATACCTTTCATGATGATGGAAAAAGGCATTCAGAGGCATTTCAGGTTGTAGGAAATTCATAAAGGTGCAGTGTTGGCAACCCCATCCCTAATGGCTAGTCAACTCTTGTGCAACTGTTTGAAGCAGAGTAAAGTAAAAGGTAAAGGACCCCTGTATGGTTAAGTCCAGTCAAAGGCAACTATGGGGTTGTGGCACTCATCTCGCTTCAGGCTGAGGGAGCCGGCATTTGTCCACAGACAGCTTTCCAGGTCAGGCGGGCAACAGGAGTAAACTGCTTCTGGCGCAATGGAACACCATGATGGAAACCAGAGCACACAGAAATGGTGTTTACCTTCCTGCCACAGCAGTACCTATTTATCTACTTGCACTGGCGTGCTTTCAAACTGCTAGGTTGGCAGGAGCTGGGACAGAGCAACAGGAGCTCACCCTGCCGTGTAGATTCAAACCGCCAACCTTCGATCAGCAAGCCCAAGAGGCTCAGTGGTTTAGACCACAGCAGCACCTGTGTCCCTGAAGCACTTTATTAATATCCTAGTGCCACTGTCCTTCCAATAGCAACTTGTGCCCTTGTATTTGTGCCAGACCAAAATGCAGGTAAAGTTACTGCTACTAAACATAACTATGTCATGAATAATTAGTACTACTAGTAATATATTTATTTGTACCCCACTTTTTCCCCTGATGGGACTAAAGGAAGCTTACAATACATGCCACTGGAGGGGTAGAATGATTGTAGATGTGTTTCCTCAAATTACTCTTACCGTTAGCCCGCAACTTAAATGCATTTAACTTTTATGCATTCAGCTTTATACACGTGGCAAAAAAACAAAAAAGACAGGGCAGAAAGGGGAACAAGGTTCCGGAGGAAATAACTTTGGCAATTCCACCTGCCATTGAACCCATTGAGTTTTGACTGCACAGGATTTTGGCTTTAGGCTAATATTACCATTAAAAGTAGAAACCCTTTCTTGATTTATATACAATGAACTGAACTGAAATACGACTGGAATTTACTTAACACTTGGGTTATTTCTTACATGTATGGCCTCTATTGAGACACAGGGTTGACCAGAGTAGCTGCTTTATTTTCTGAGCGGGCTACTTACACACTTGCCTCATTTCCTGCTTGCATTCTAGTGTTTGCCAACTCTGCTGTTGATGTTTGCGCTGCTCATTCAGCAGTGGGAGGAAACCTGGTGTAGTTGCCTGCTGATGTATCACTGCTCTTCTGTATTTTTGATATTTCACATGCGCACATTAACAGTAGGAGAGAAGTTGGGGAAGGGGTGCTCAGTGGAAGAGCATCTGCAGAAGGTCCCATGGTTAATCAATGGCATCTCCAGGTAAGTCTGGGAATGTTCCTTACCTGAAACCTGAAGAGCCAATACCAATCATTGTAGACTACTGAGCAGGATGGACCAGTGGTCTGACAGTATAGGGCAGCTTCCTATGTTTAAAAGTGCTTTGAGTGGCACATGTGAAATCTGTCCTGGTCTGCAGCATAAAGTAGTTTTCCTTTTCTTTCTTCCAGTTGCATTGCAGGTTTAGTAGGCGTTGCACTCATATACTACCCCCCACTGCTTTCTTTCTGATTAGCAATATTAATCAGAACATATAGTGTTATTTTTAGAACTCTAGTCTAATCAGGAAAATCAAGGGGGTTTCTTTATTAACGTGCCTTGTATATAAATATCTGTTGCAGGCAAAAAATACCATGTTCCCACTAAAGTCTGCTCAAGCCAAGGAGCCAAGATCCTTATTACTTATGCAAAGTTTTAGTGCCTCATAATTCTGCAGTCAAAACAAAGCAATGCAAATTATAAATGTGTATGCCAATAACTTGACCTGCATGTTTATACTGGTAACAGAATTGCACTTTCTCTTTGCAGGATTTGGTAGATATTAGTGTTGCTTTACACACAAACACATCACATTCTTCTCTCCCAAACACCATGTGCTATTTCCTGTACTGCACCTAGTTGGGTCTGCCATACTATATTATGGTATGTTACCAGAAACATTATATTGTTACCAGAAAAATGCCCATTGCCTCCTCCCTTTGCCCCTCTGTGCCCCCCACATGTCCTTGGGTCCTAGATGTCCACAGTGACCTTTCCAAGAAGGCCATCTCATCCTGCCCTCCAGTCATTTCCATCACATTCTGTTTTATTTTTCCAATTTACTGTAATCATTACATAGTTAGCAGTCTTAGTCCTCATTTGTCTGTTTTGCCCACCAGGTTTTTTTTAAAAAAAAACTTTTGTATTTCTGCAAATCCCTCAAGCATGCTGATTCCCCCTCTAGTGGCCTTGTTTTGGCTACTGTTTCCAATCTGCACCAGAGTTCGCTATTAGGAGAGATGCTGAAGTGAAGATCACAGCTAAGTACTTTACAGTCCAATCACAAAACATACTTGCCTCAATCTAGAAAAAGTTAGTTGCACCTAATACAACAGTCACATGTGCAATAAGTAGTTTTATGAGGAACAGCTAAGGGAGCTGGGCATGTTTAGCCTGGAGAAGAGGAGGTTAAGGGGTGATATGATAGCCATGTTCAAATATATAAAAGGATGTCACATAGAGGAGGGAGAAAGGTTGTTTTCTGCTGCTCCAGAGAAGCGGACACGGAGCAATGGATCCAAACTACAAGAAAGAAGATTCCACCTCAACATTAGGAAGAACTTCCTGACAGTAAGAGCTGTTCAACAGTGGAATTTGCTGCCAAGGAGTGTGGTGGAGTCTCCTTCTTTGGAGGTCTTTAAGCAGAGGCTTGACAACTATATGTCAGGAGTGCTCTGATGGTGTTTCTTGCTTGGCAGGGGGTTGGACTCGATGGCCCTTGTGGTCTCTTCCAACTCTATGATTCTATGATTCTAGTCTTCAGAGTAAACATGCTAAAGATGGCAAGCACTAAATCCTTTCAAAATTGACGGGACAATGTGGTTCAACAGCTGTGGACATTCTTGGAAGACACAGATTATCTAGACCCATTTCAATCTGGGTATAACTCAGGCTATGTGATGGACCCTTGCTCAGAGGTCTGCACTGACTGCCAATTTGTTATCAGGCCAAATTAAAAGTGTTCCTATTGGTATATAAAAGTTTCTCCCGTTGACTGCTACTGATTTTGGGGGACCTAACATTTTAAATGGAGCCACGGGATTCAATGTGGGTCCTGTTAAATTCACTCAGCCTTATTTCCAAAAAATATGTTACCATCGGTGTGGGATTTTGTATCTGAATGGGTAGTAGTAGCCTAATAGCTTTTGAAAGGCCATGTGTCAGCTATGAGACCTCTCCCGCTTCACCCAAATCCCCATTTCTGCCAAAAAGAGCAGTAACTGTGAAAAATCCAAAAGCAAACAGGAATCATTTCCTTCATGTACTCATTAAAGGGCATGTTTATCTATTCAAAAGAAAGGTGTAATTCTGCTGTGTACACAGTCCACAGTCCACAGAGTTACACAAGGTTCTCTTGCATCATGTGTCCTGGTTTAGCATTCCACTTTTCTCAATACAGCATTTTTTTATTGCCAAGAAGCCTCAGACCACATTTAGACCTGCACTGCAGTGATCCCTCATCATTCACTCTTTAGGACTTTTCCAGAGAACTTTCTGCCTTGATAAACAGTCAACTGCCGCAGAGGAGCTAGAAGTCTTCCCCAAGCAAGCACTTTTGTTGCAGGGATATCACATTTTCCTTGTGTTCAAAACACAATACGGGACTAAATCAGCAATATGATGGAAAAGTGGAGGTTTTCTATCCTCTGCAATACCCCAAATATGGCAACCAGGCTAAACTACAGATTAAATGCAGATCTGGCCCAGTCACATGAAACGTGGAGCAGTGTGGGAGCAGGTGCCAAATCAAAGTGCAAAGCAGTTGGTTGTGGGGAGGCTGGACCCTCCCACCACCAAATTCTCCTACCATTTCCTCCCCAACTGAACTCTGATACCAGAAGTGGGCTTTCTGGGGACAAACACAGATGAGGGAAATGAGGGAGTAGAAAGCTAAAAATTCTACTTGCACATTTCCTTTGCATTTAAATTACACCCCCCCCATTGCCAGTCCACACATGATCACAACAGATATACATTAAAGTTATAGGTCCATTGGTGTCCTGGACAGTACAGCTCAAATAGTAGTGGTGGTAGGGCATCCAAGTATGACTATTACAGTTTTAAATGGCAATGCAGTTTCTTTTCTTTACCATGAGAACTTTAAATGTCTGGAAAAAATCTTTAGGGGTGGGTGGGCAAGTGAGGAAGATGTACTCTCACAAGATCTTCCTTAGGCAGAAAGATCACTGTGAATTCTTACCTTACATTTTATAGCACATAGAAACAAGCCAAGATGATTCAAATGTCATTTCAATCAGATAAATATTAACAAGATTTCTATGGACTTTGGGGTCCCAAGCCAACTCTCTTCTTCAAGTCTTCTAGTGATTGACTCTACTACTGGCTATGGAAACCAGCTACCTTAGCACCCAGTCTTTTCTGCACAGAGCTACAATTTTGCCAATCATTTGAGAAGGAATCAAGGCAGAGGATTAGCAACTTGGAGAAGTTGGGGTGAGATCTAGGGATAGATCCTTTACATGCCAGTATTTGTCTAAGCAAGCATTTGGTCCTTCTGTAATACCACTGAGCTGTGGAATACATATTCTTCCATTACTACTATTCCTAGCTCTACTGATTACCAAGTGATAGCACAGTGTAAACACAACCTTTCTTATTTATAATTAGCATTCTTGCCTGACTGATAAGGAGCATGCCATGCTTTGAATAAGAACATGCTGGAACAGAATACTCTAATTCACAGAGCGATCCCATCCATTAGTTAGGTACATACTTGGCAGGATAGAATTGCTACTAAATAAGTTGATAAGAAGTTGTAACAACTTCCATTTTCACTAGCCTCTTCTGGTGCAATGGGGAAAAATGAGTCGCTAGTCCTGACTTTGCCCAAAGTTATGCTTGCTGAAGTGGTACAAGTGAAAATTCAGCATGTGGCTACTTCATTTAACACTAAAGCCAGGTAGATGAGGAAGATCCTAGCAGCTCAATATCCTGACTCCCAGCCCCAGTGATCGCTAACACAATGAAATGCAGCCCGTTTCCTGAAGGGTGGAGGAAGGGGAATGGATAAGCAAGGTGTGTTTTATACTCTATAGCAGAAAGGGAGCAGGTAACATCATAGTCCACACAACAGGTGGTGTAGGTTATCCAGCCAGCAAGTGGCCTCTTTGTTCAGATACTGGTTTCTGAACACAGAGATGCATGAAACACATCTTTGTGCATGAAACCCGCATATTGGTATATGTGATTGTTGTTAGCTGATTTGACTAGAGCAATAAAATGCAATATAAAGACTAGTAAGTAACGAACTAAATAAACAAAGCAAAATTGATGTTTATACTAAAACCAGATGTCATAATACCTGACAGTTGTCTGTCCAACTTTAAAAGAAATAGAAAAATCAAAGGAAGGGCATTTCACAACTTCTCTAGCCAAGCTGTGCCATTGCTGTGCTTTAAGTAGGCGGTTAATGTTTACTCGTTCTGTTGAACCCTTCGCTTCTTGTCTTGTCCTGTGAACTGAGGAAATAACAATTCCATTCCCTGTGCTGTGCTTTGCCAGTATAAAGTGCTCTGTCTCATCCCATATATACTTACCACAGGCAGTTACTGTGTGCCAATAACCATTTTTATAGAGGACAATTATGATTACAGTCTTGGTTTATATGTACCACTTAGCATCAGGTACTGGCATTACAACTGTGCAAAGAAGAATATAACAGATGTGTTACTAAATGGAAGTGTGCTAATAAACTACCGCTCCTGCTCCTTGACACACCAGATTGGGGCTAAAGACAAAATAAGCCTGGCAGCGATGGCAACTGCAAAGGCAATGAGGTGGCAAAGTTACTAGCACCAGAGGAAAGAGGCGTAAACCCTCAGGCAGCCTTGGCAGCCTTGTGTGTGACTAGGTGGTTAGGGCGCGTATTAGGAGAGCACTATCTGTCTCAAGCCCTACAAAAGTCTGGAGAAGCCCCTTTGTATATTACCTAAAAACAATGCAGCTTAAATGTTTCCAATGTGATTTTGTGATTTACCTTGAGTGGGATATTCCCTGAAGGGTGGCACACAAATGATTATATAATCAATACATAAGAAACATGCTCTAGATAAGCTGATGAAATAATGTGTTTCCTCCATTGCTAATTTAGCCCAGGAGATGACTCTTATGTAGCAATGAAAATACAAACATTTACCTGCAAAAGGGACTGGAAATGGCAGGTATCGTGTAACAAATCCCACCATTCAGACAAAAAGATCCATAACTGCTGCCACAAAGTTCTTCATGATCTAAAACAAAAAGAAATATAAGGTAGGTTAATTTTAGCCTGCTCTTCTTGCATGAAACAAATGTGATGATGTGGGGAAATAGAATAACTTACTGAAGTGTTTTAACACCTTGTTTGCCTTCATATTGTATGAAAAAGTGTTTCTATTATTATTACTTTTAATCATGACAAATAAAAGAAGGATTAACCTTACTCTCACAGCCTGCAAATGCATAGGCATCATCGCCATCTCCTCTTATGCAAACACAGCTTTTGGGATTCTTTTGCATGAACAGGTGGACACAAGATCCAAGCACAAAACCCTAAAAAAGAGGAGTGGGAAAGGCAGCGTTGTCATTTGTTTGCTTTACGGTCTGTGCAAAAGGGCTCCAGCAAAGGAAAGCAGAGACTTATTGAATCCTCTCCTTCTGCCAAAGGACCAAGAACAGGAACCCTGATGCAGGGCTGGCTCTTCAGTCCTTTGTGGGAAACTGATAATGCAGGAGTCAGGACCGGTTTCAGTCCAACATCTGCACAGATCTGAGGTCTCTGCTAGTGCATTAGAGTAGGGGTATTCTGCTCTGGTCAGACCTCACCTGGAGTACTGTGTCCAGTTCTGGGCACCACAGTTCAAGAAGGACACTGACAAACTGGAACGTGTCCAGAGGAGGGCAACCAAAATGGTCAAAGGCCTGGAAACGATGCCTTATGAGGAACGGCTAAGGGAGCTGGGCATGTTTAGCCTGGAGAAGAGGAGGTTAAGGGGTGATATGATAGCCATGTTCAAATATATAAAAGGATGTCACATAGAGGAGGGAGAAAGGTTGTTTTCTGCTGCTCCAGAGAAGCGGACACGGAGCAATGGATCCAAACTACAAGAAAGAAGATTCCACCTAAACATTAGGAAGAACTTCCTGACAGTAAGAGCTGTTCGACAGTGGAATTTGCTGCCAAGGAGTGTGGTGGAGTCTCCTTCTTTGGAGGTCTTTAAGCAGAGGCTTGACAACCATATGTCAGGAGTGCTCTGATGGTGTTTCCTGCTTGGCAGGGGGTTGGACTCGATGGCCCTTGTGGTCTCTTCCAACTCTATGATTCTATGATTCTATTCTATGATTCTAGGGGTATCCTTTTGCAACTGAGTTCAGTGGGATTTTAATTGCATAAAACTCAGCACTAGATGACAGCCTTCAGATTTTACTTGATAGGCTCTGCCTGCAGCATTATTATTATTATTAGTAGTAGTATAAATATTATTAGTATTATTTTCGGAGATCTCAGGGAGGTTCACAGAATAAAAATCAAGATATAAAACCACAAAATACCTAATAAAAATAAAAAAACAACAACCCAATACTGCCCCCCCAAAAAAAAACACATTTTAAAAGGGCATAGGATATAAATCAGATCAACCAAAGGCCTGGTTAAAAAGGAATGTTTTTGCCTGGCGCCCAAAGGTGTATAATGAAGGCTCCAGGTGAACTTCCCTGGGGAGAGCATTCCATAGATGGGGAGCCACTGCAGGGAAGGTCCGTTCTTGTGTTGCCACCCTCCTGGCCTCTCAAGGAGGAGGCACACGAAGAAGAGCCTCAGAAGATGATCCCAGGGTCTGGGTAGGTTCATATGGAAAGAGGCGATTCTTGAGGTATTGCGGTCCTGAGCCGTTTAAGGCTTTATAGGTCAAAACCACTACTTTGAATTGGTCCCATAAACTAATTGGCAGCCAGTGCAGCCAGGGCAGGATCGGTGCAATATGCTCAAACCATCTTGCTCCAGTGAGCAACCTGGCCGCTGAATTCTGCACCAGCTGAAGTTTCCGAACCTTTTTCAGAGGCAGCCCTACATATGCAGTAATCTAACCTTGAGGTTATCAGAGCATTGACAACAGTAGTTAGGCTATCCCTGTCCAGATAGGGGCATAGCTGGGCCACCAGCTGAAGGTGATGGAAGGCACTCTGGGCCACTGAGGCCACCTGAGCCTCAAGCGACAGCAAAGGATCCAGGAGGACCCCCAAACTACGAACCTCTCCTTCAGAGGAAACATAATCCCATCAAGAGCAGATTACCTCCCACCCATCCGGTCTGAGGAACCACCCACTAACAGTGCCTCAGTCTTATCTGGACTGAGCTTCAGTCTGTTGGCTCTCATCCAGTCCATTACTGAGGCAAGACTTCCAGCACTTCCACTGCCTCACCTGCAGCTGTAAAGGAGAAATAGAGCTGAGTGTCATCAGCATACTGCTGACAACATACTCCAAACCTCCAGATAACCCCACCCAGCAGTTTCATGTAGATGCTAAACAACATGGGGGATAGGATTGAGCCCTGCAAAACCCCACATTGAAGGTTCCACAGGGCTGAAAAGCATTCCCCAAGTATTAAAAGACAAATCTTGAAATCTTCCTTACACCTTCAGATTGAAAAGTCTACTTGTTTCCACTAAAAACAGATAAGATTAACCACAGTTTTTCTGAGTTCAGACAAAAACAAGAGGCAAAGCTTCTGATTTCCTCCTCAAAGTTGCACCAGAGGAGGCGAGGAGCACATTAGCCTAGGGGAAGGCTAGGCTTGTTCTCAGCCAGTAAAGTAACTGGCCAAATTCACAAATAGAACTTCTCCAGTGAGTAAGGATTGAAAATCTAGTTCTCCCAGTCCTAATCAAATAGTGTAATGATTACGCTGCACTGTTTCTCCAATAGCTACTTCAGAGCTGCTGATGCACACATAAACATTTATATCCCACCCTTCTGGTGGAAAAGAACATAAATGTTGTGTGCAAAAGCACACAAATATTTGCTACATTTAAAATTGCTATTTCATAAAAACAACAATATAAAACAACTAAGCAAGGATAGAGGAAACCAGAAGTGGCTTGTCAGGTGGGGCAGAGGGAGAGGCATCCTCACAGTGGTGGTGGTACCACTGTCTTCAAAAGGATATGATGTTAGCTCTGACATACAGGTGTGTGCAAACCCACCAACCCAGAGCTCTCCCAACTACTTGACTTGCCCGGTGGTCCCTGCCTCCACTGCTGCTCCTGAGGAACAGCAACAAACAAAACAGATGGAGGAAATATGCCACTTACAAGAAAAGTATGCCACACACTATCTTCAACTAAGAACTCCAAGTGAGAGTGCTAACGCACTTCATAGCGCAAGGTATTCCATAGTTGATGTGCAGCCACTAGGAAAGCTTCCACAAAAACACCCTAAGGTTACACAATCTTTAAATAGAAATATCTTTCTTGCTGAAAACTCAAGGACAGGAAGGGGACAGATGGCAGAATATCCTGGTTAAAAGTGAATTCAAAGAACAACGTAGAAAATGCTAAAACTCCATCCGTCCGCCAATTTAGTTCTGCCTCTGACATCTTTCCCTGATAAGGATCTCTTACAACATTTCTGAATTTTCCTGAAGCTTTGCCAAATCATCAAGAGAGGCAGGCAGACAACACCTTTCTTCATTTCCTGCATTTTGAGTTGCATGAACAATGCTGTAAGGAGGCTGTAAGGTACAGCACAATATATTACAATACCTAGATTAAAAGTTGCCTTTAAACTAGCACTGAGAGTGAACTTTAGTAACCACTACGACAACCCTATTCAGAAATAAATGGGTCCAACAGATCAAAAACTAGCCATCTGCACTGCCATAAACCCTGTGGAGATCCCTAGGCAATTGAAATCTTGCCCCGCCCCTCTGTATGCACACTCTAGTGGGATAACATGGAACTAAGAAAGCTTGACTGTAATTTTCTTTCAAGATCAAATTAGTATTATTTTGATCCATTGTCATGGGGCCCCTAAAAGGCCCATAGGCCACTGCCTACTCTGCTTATCTGGTAATCTGGCACTGGCCAGCTGGTAACCTGAAAACTGTGATATTATTTTGCTGAGTTTCACCTAGTATCGGAGTTTAAAGTGGAAGAGAAGTAATGCTAAAGATCTTCCAGGAGAACAAAGGAAATAAAGAGCTGCTGCTTTTACTCTTCTTCTTTGGCGATCATATGCAGCCGAGTAAGATTGTCTTCCATAAACACGGTTTTAACAATGAGTCTGTAAGTGACTGTGGAGGCCAGTTATGGATCCACATGTCCTTCCACAGTGGGGACATAGGTTTCCAGGTGGGAGTTGATCACGGTGAGGGTTTGCCAAATGAACCTTCCTCTTAGCACATTTTTCCCTTTCATCCTGAGTTTGAGCGTCTTCAGAGTCCATGACACCTTTGGTAAAGGCTGTTCTCCAACTGGGGCACTTGCAGGCCAGTGTTACTGAATTGTCAGTGTTTAAGCTATACTTTTTAGATTTGCCTTGAGAGAGTCTTTAAACCTCTTTTGTTGACCACCAGGATTACAATTTCCATTTTAAGTTTGGAATAGAGTAGTTGCTTTGGAAGACGGTAATCAGATATCTGAACAACATGACCAGTCCAATGTAGTTGATGTTGAAGAATCATTGCTTTGACACTGGTCTGGTGAAATTCCATCAATGGTGTCTCCGAGAAAAATTACATATGACTTGGGAAGACAAGCAAACTAATGTCAGCGTACTGGAAGAGGCAAAGATCAGCAGCTGCTTTTGCTAACACTCCTGTCCAGATCCACTATAATCATCTGAAAGTGGCTGGTGGGACGGGACAGCAAGAGCAGGGAAGAGGAGCAAAGCATCTCTTCGTGGCCTTATAGTTCTCTCAAGAGATCAGCTTGCAGGGAATATCATTCCACAAAGAAAAGATATTATTTGCCTTTAAGGCCTCCCCCCCACCAAATAATTTTTGAAATAAATAAATTATACCCCCCTCTCTACGTGAATGCAATGGGTGGGACAAGTTAGCAGCTCCTCCTGCTATACATTATATCAATATTTATCAGAAAGAATATTTTAGCAAGAGCTATTTTTAAAAATATTTTTAAAAATATTGCTACATGTTAAGACCAAGCATCTCCATTGAGAAAGAATCCGCTTGTGGCATAACACCCTTGAGAACTATGTGCTACCTTGCACTCTAGGTGTCATAGTCACTGTTATTTCTAGCAGCACCTGAAAATGGGACAGCAAATATGGAAACATGGTGCCACAGTAAGACCACTTTTTAAATGGTCGGAAAGTTGTACCAATTTTTCCATTCTCAAACACTAAGAAAGAGATCTAGCTTAAGCTGATATTTCCCATATATAAATGTGAGTCTCTAAAGGCCTCTCTGCATGATCTGTCAAAGTGGAGAAATATCCCGCAGCCCAGCCAGTAACAGAAATGCTGCTTCCTGACTAGCACAGCCCAGGTAGGAAGCCAGGAGGGCAGAGAGGAGCTCAGGGATGTTGTTTTTACAGAACCATAACCAGATTTGCTTGTTCATCCGGTACTGTTCTTTGTTGACAAAATAAACTCATCTAACCTGAGTTTCTCTATTTTTATTCAGATTCTGTGAAGTTTGTTAGAGAAGTCTGATTTCGAGGCAGGTCCACAGTCTGTATTATGGCATGTCCACAATGTGACTAGAATACAAATGTTGTGTTACTGTATTTAGAGGGCTGTAATCACTACAAGTAACTTCATGGTTTACAAAACACTCTAAAAGCTCATATAAAAAGCTACAGTAAATATCATCAGTCTCTGTACTCATTTGTAGGCTCTTCTGAATTTTGTAACTTGTGCTGTGAATGCTGAACTCCATGCAGCTACAGTGAAGGAAGTGGAATGCCAACTTGGCTGGGGGAAATTTTCATACAGGCTTTGTGACAGGAGTGCACTGAAGGGGCTTGAAGCCCGGGGAACTTTGGGAGTTAGTCACTTGCTGAATGCAGTGTGGCCATGGAAGTAAAGGCCCCCCTTCCTGGGTGAGAGAGAGATTCTGACTAGGTATATTAAAGACTGTGTGCTACGGGAAGGCATGGGATCTAAAAGGCTGCACAGAAGCAAAAGGGGAAGTCGAAATCACAGGGCCTAAGGATAAAGAATGCCAAAAATATTCAAATTCAGAATAATTAGACAGGTATTTGCCTATATGACTCCAAAATATTGCAATCCAGTTATCATGTAGAAATGATTTGAATATTAATTACATGGAGAACAACAAATGAATTTCTTATATAGTAGTTGTTTGTACATTGTACCATAAACAAACAGGATGAAATTGTATTCAAGACATCGGTCAGTTGTGTGGGTGGAGGAGCATTCATTATTTGCATCCTATCTCAAAGGTTCAGGACACTTTGCAATTTGAAATGTTTATGATCTGTGGTTCAGTACAACTTGCCTACTGGATTCCTTCTTACTAGTACATGTAGGGGGGTGGGTGGGTGTGCATGCTTTCTGGAGATGGGAGAAACAAGTTAAGGAACTAAAAAAATTAACTAGTCTGGAAATCTGGGGTGGGGGGTGGAGGGAATCTAGTCAGGAGAAGCAGAGAATAGCCTATTAAGGAATTCATATTTTTGATGAATTATTGTATTGATTTTCATGGTAAAAAAAAGCTTGTATCAAAAGTGCTAGAACTCAGTTCCTGCGGCCTCCTCCCTTCCCAGCATCCTTGGAATGGCCATATTTATTATTTATTGATTGAATTGATATACCGCCCTATACCTGGAGGTCTCAGGGTGGTTCACAGAACAAAATCAAAATACAAAATAAAAATAAAAACAACAACCCAATAACACCCCTAAAAAAAGAACCACAACATTTTAAAAGGGCATAGTATATGGGAAGCCACCTTACACTGCCAGAGGCATCAAGCAGTATCTGCTCTGAATGATCGTGGCACTCTGTCTCTTTCCCATCCCTGAGCTCCTTTTAAATGGGAAATGCTGGGACTTTCTGCATGCTAATCATATGCGTGCCAAGCTACAATCTCACTCCATTGGAGGACAGGAAACTCAAGATGCTATACGCTGGGCCTGTTCCCTTGCTCAGGTCCAGAAAGAGGTGATGGGAAGGTAATTGCAATGAACCACCTAGTTCATTTTCCCCAAGCTATACACTGAAACTAGTGGGAAAAATCACCTCTCTTAGTAGCCATCCTATTTCTGCAGTACACTGATTTTGTGGCAAAACCATAAGTTGATAGTAAAGAGAAGGGCTGTTATGTGCTAAGGGGAGCCCCATCAACTAATTGTACCGATTGCCAATGAATACCAGCCAGGATGGCTCCGCTCTGCCTCCACAGTCAGAGGCAGCAGTTGCCGGAAACCACAGGAGGGGGCCTTGTGCTCAGGGCCTGCTTGCAGGAACTAGATGAGCCATTGTTTTTATGATGTTATGGCTGTGTTCTTGTGCAGTCTAATAGAGAGTGGAAAGCGATGCCATTGCAAACAACTCATGATCTAGTAAACTTCAGGGAAACCGTTAACAAAACATTCTTGAACATTAAAAAACATATTGCATTCAAGGACATGCTGAGGGTGGGCATATACTAAATCAAATAAAAATTAGATACTAAAATAGGAAAATAGTATTTAAATGGTGGAACATTTCTGTGAGAGCAGGTAGTATTTCATTTCTCCATAAGCTTTCTTGCTTAGAAAAGTTAATTAATATATAGGTATGATCATCTCCACTGTGATTTCTATCACTGTGCATAGGAACAATATGCTGCCCACAAGCAAAGCAAATATGGAGCTTCTTTAATCATGCTAATTCTTTTATGCATAGATAATTCCACATTTCCACACTAATATGTTATGCTGTTCAATGTGCACATCAACATCAGCTGAATATTTGTGCCCACTAATCTGGCAATGTAAACAGAAGCCTAAAATTTGTATGCACCTGCAAATGAGGGACACGCCACTGCATGCACATCTTTTAATACATCAGGCAATTCAGTCCAAAATAGCAAATGTCTGAAAATAGTCTGCAAAATCCACAATCTTGTCAACACACATTACCTACGAATGTTTTGCCCAAGAAACAAGTTAATTTGCCAGAGGAAGTACAGAATGACCTTCTTTTCTCCAACCTTCTCTATTCTTTTGTATAACTGTATCTCACCTCTTGCCATGACTAAGTGGCGTTCTTACTTTCTAAACTTCATCCACCCATCTGAAATATGGGGATAACACGAATCCATATGACAGGGCTAAATGTAAGGAGGATTACAAGATACTGGTTGATATCAATCAAACAATCCAAACCAGGTTAAAAAGTAATAAAATAAACCCTTTCCACAAGGGCAGGAGATAGAACAGGTGAGCACAAGTATATGAAACCAGTATGTGAAGTGGTTTGATGAGTCACAAAAACAAACCATTGAGCAGCCAGAAATATAACAGAGTTGTGAATATCAGTACAGCCAAAAACCTTAAGGAAGTTACCTGTTCGCATATTATTCTGACCGCTCGTAGTTCTTGATCACCGCCTATTCTTCGAATGCCCTGAAGACAAAAACACCTTGTTTTATTCCAAATGTTTTCTGTCTGATGAAACAGCTAGGATTATTTTCATCAAAACTAAATAAATACTCAGTTGGCAGTCAGCAGATATCTGTTACCCTTTATGTAAACACAATTAATTTTAAATCTAACAGCAAACACTGCTGCATTCAATAGCTCAGTGGTCCTGATTTTTTGTTAACTGCTTCCTTTGTTCCTGCAGTTACTGTACTTTTCCGTGTATAAGGCTAGATTTTTTTACTTTAAAATAAGGTTAAAAATCTGGGGGCATCTTATAAACAGATATTGCATGTGCCCATTTTCTAAATTTGGGATCCCCAAAAGTATGGGGGTGTCTTATACACGGAAAAATACGGTAATTTATTTGGGCAATTCTCCTTTATTTTTTGTTAACTCCACCTCCACGCCCCTGCAAATTGCAGCACCAGTCTGTCTAGCATAGTCAAACAGCACTATAAAATCTTTAAATATTATTGTAACTTTAATTAAATCCAGTTTGGAGGTTATGTCCATTGTACTACATCCCAATGAGTTTAAATAGGTTATGACTGATCTATAGCCTATTAACTGCTGTTTATTATTGTGAATATGCATTGTGATATAAACAGAATGAGGTTATTATACTGAAGTATGGTTTAGCATTACATCTGAAAGTGCCATCCTTAACCTATGGATTGCTGTGTGTCTAAGACTGAGTCCAGTCTGCCTTTTAATTCGACCTTTGATCTAGCAATCTAGTGGCAACCAGAATGAGAGGAGAGGAGAAGAAAGTAATTTATGGAGCAGTTACCAAAGAGAACGGAGCTTTTCTTCATCAGTCTTCGGCTCATCTGCTAGACCAGGCTTCCTCAAACTCGGCCCTCCAGATGTTTGGAGACTACAATTCCCATCATCCCTGACCACTGGTCCTGCTAGCTAGGGATCATGGGAGTTGTAGGCCAAAAACATGTGGAGGGCTGAGGTTGAGGAAGCCTGTGCTAGCCCCTGGTCTGTTAAATGAATCGATGGGTGCTGCTCCTGTGTGGCTTGCAGATGATGTTCCCAAACCCCTTCCTCTCCAAGAACTCAACACAGATAGAGTTCTACCTCTTAGTATAAATCAAGAGTGAGGTTGGTAAGGAAAACGTTTTGTCGAAATCTCTGTCATCAGTGGTAGCTTTATTTATGAATTATGATGCCAGCTCTTCAGTCCACTACACCAGTGCATACGATCGACATTATTAAAGTGTAAACTTAAATGGCCTGTTGAGCTGACCTCCAATCAAGGTGAAGAAACGGGGAGGGGGGAATCCCACTAAGGCAAAATTAGTTACCATAGAATCATAGTTAAAAGGGCCACATGGATCATTCTAATCCAACCCCATTTCATCCAATGTGGGGTTCATTAGAATAGTTTCATATGAGTTCTGAATAGGGATGCAGCCCAATAATAAAAATGTTAATTCATTAATCATGTAAGTCTCAGACAATTAATTTATAGATTAAATTTGTCTAAATTTCATATTAGTAAAAACAACATCCCCAAAGCCAAAAGCATATTTCCTTTAAGTTTATGCACACATGTATGCTGGCCAGGGATTTGTGGCAAAACCCAGAATCCACTCAGCTAAATGAGCACCAGGAGGACCCCCAGATGCAGCACATTTAACAAGAGCAGGCACAGGACTGTAAATGCCAGAGTGTAAGTTATACCTAGCTGCCCATTGTTTGGTGCAGCAAGCATCATCTTAGAGGAGCATTCTTTTTGTGTGTGAAGACAGTACTTGCATCTACAGTCTTTATGAGTAATTCGTGTTAAAAATAATAAACAATATGTAGTGGAGGATTAATTGTGAAGTCTTTTAGTCAACTAAATATGTTTAATTGATTAATCTGATTAAGCAATTAAGCATTGCAGCCAAGGTGTTTGGTTTGCCAGGTTCGTTGCTTGCTAAAGATACATTTACATAACTTATTTACATTGGCCATTATTGATTTCACATACATTTGGGAACAAACTATTTTTTAATCTTTATTATTTATTTATTATATTTGTATACTAGCAGTGTGGTTGGATTAATTCAATTCCTGTTAATTATTTCCTTTTCCATTGAAATATGCAGGGGATACTCATCACTTATCCAGGAGAACAAAAAATATTCCTTCCTAGTTCAAGGATTATTAATGAGCAGATTTGATATAGATATGAGGACAAACAGTGGAGGAGAAAAATCTTACTTCCTTTTCCAAGAAACATTAGTGAGTATCTTCCACCCAAACGCATCTTCTGCTACTTTTCAAAGAAGTGCAATTTGACCCTTGCAACATACAATTTCTAGTGGTGTTTCTATCATTTCCCAGTTATTTTTAGTACATACTTCAGGTCAGCTGCTAGTTAAATCAGTCTAAACAATGGCCCTCAGTCAACTGATCATGCAGTTTCCCCTACCCCTAGAAGACCTTCACAGACACACTTGCAATAGTAATAATCAGTGTCAAGGTCTCACATGTACCAGGCAAGTTTCCTCCTACCAATTACCCAGGCAGTGCGTGAACAATAGGAAATGGCACTTTGTGTAATCTGACCTTAGTGCTTGACAACTAACTGCATTCCCACTGTGTTTACAAGGAAAGGAGCAATACAAAGTACTGTATTGCATAATGTAATGTACAGATTACTATATCCCAGGAGAAAGCTGAATGAGTGACAATGCTTTAGGAGTTATATTTTTGTTGCTGTGAATTCACCATTCCCATACTATGGGTGCACAGGGCTATTAACCAACAGAGTCTCCAAAGGAGATCAAAAATTGAAATGGATACCCACTGTGCTTCAAGTAAATATACAGAAGATCCTGTTTTACTCAAGGTTGGAGGAAAGAAAGGATTAAACAACCCCTTATCCAGAGCAAACAAAATTGAAAAGAAATAACCATCTAAAGGAGCTCAACTCTGTTTCGAGTTGCAGCCTTGCAAGAGAGAGTGAGAGAGATTCAGAGATTTCTTGCTGAAATAGCCATCCTTGTCCTAAACTAAACATGTTTAATTTGGGGAAAATATAATAAATTGCACTTACTAATTTCCATAGTTACTAACAATGGTTATTTTCAAATTTACATTTCATACTTGTGCAATAACATCTACAAAAAAGGTAAAATTGTGCTATATTGCTTTTGTTGCAGGTAATCTAAATCCTGATACTAAATCAACCAGTAGAGCATGGACCTTTTGTGGATGAAAGAGGTTGCACTTGGAATATTACACATTCACCTATGTCACTTGAAATGCTTTTTTCCATTTGCCCTGGATAATGCAGGATCATCCAATATTTGTCAAGAGGAAACATCTGAATAAATTTTGTTCATTCTAAATGGCATACTGTTTCATAAAAAGGTTAAAGAGATCTATACTTACGGTATAAATAAAATCAATGATGATTCTTGAAAGAATAATCAATTTCTTTATGTATCCTGATTCTGCAGCAGAAACATTAAATGACAGCTCCCTGAATTACACTGGTTCATTAACAGTTCTTCTCTGTGGCTCATTTCTACAGCTGTATGTTCTATCAACTTTGTATATAAGGAAATAAAACTGAAAACAGGCATCAGTAAAAAAAAAGCAGACCTGAGTGCTTACCTGAGTGTTAAAATTCCAAACTGCGTGCACAAAATGATGCATTTAAGTTAAAGAAAATGCAGTGTATTCAGCAGCAAGTTCTGGCATTATGTACTTGATGCTCAAAGCTGACAATTTATATGACTGCATAGTGCAACGTGGGTGAGGTTGAGGCACAGACAAAGGTGTACACAGAGGCCAAGTATGGGTCAGGAGAACCGCCCCTTTGTTCTCACAGCATTGCATACATGTCACTGTAACAGGGCTTTGATCGTAAAGCAAAAATGCACTGTCAGTGACATTTGACTGAACTTCAAAGCAGCTTCCAAATAGCAACATAAACAGAAGAAGCTAACTCTCTGGTTACAAACGTAAATTTAATACATGCTTACTTTGTTTAACACTTGAAATGTACCGTATTCTGTATTCTTAACAGATAGTTCCAAGCTACTCTAAAATGCCAGTGGCTAACCTTGCAGCGCTTAGAGGCAGTTCCATGACCTACATTTCAAATCAACTAGGTTGCATCCAGGTTGATTAGATCTATGCACCTGAACCTATACTTCAAACCAATTCCCGAAAGTACTTTGATTAGATCCATATAATCACCTTTAGGGCAACCTGTTGCCTGTGAATTACTTATGTGACAGTGATGCTATCTTTACTATCTCTTTGTCACATTTTTCAGAGAAAGCATATCCAAATTCTGAGGCATGCATATATGTATGTTTGTGGGAAGTTGGGTAATAAAATTATTTACATATATTTACTTAGGGCACAATCCAGAATCATTACAAACTATTGGAGGTTTTGCATTTTAACTCAATGGGCCATAAACTGCAGCATTTAAATGCATACTGGCATATAATTTAAACTTTTTAGGAATGCAGAATTTTTGAGAATACCAATTCCAGCAAATATCTTATGATAAAATAGTAACATACATTTAAAAAAATTCTTTGTGCACTAGATCCGGAACTCATGTCGATGGTGATTTCAACTTTGTTCAGCTAGAAGAAAAACACAAAGTAATTTCATATTTGCATTCTGCTTCTAAGCTTAATTTTTATGGCAAATGTAACTACTCTTACTGTGCAAATAAATTCCTAGAAACAATATCATTTCTAAGAGTTTGCTTACATAAAAAGGGAGGATAGTTCTCGTGTCTCTGGTTGTCATGAGCACTGACTATATTGACTTTATTATCACCCCCCCCAAATAATCCTGAAAATTGTAATTTGCTAAGGGCGTTGGATTTGTAGCTCTGTGGTTAACCAAAATTCTGAGGACTTTGGGGAGGGGGGTGCTTTAAATGTGCGGTCTGTGTGTTCAGTTAGACCAGACATGGCCAAACTTGGCCCTCCAGATGTTTTGGGACTACAGTTCCCATCATCCCTGACCACTGGTCCTGTTAGCTAGGGATGATGGGGGTTGTAATCCCAAAACATCTGGAGGGCCAAGTTTGGCCATGCCTGAGTTAGACCAACCCAGAGTATTCTGAGGTAACAAACTACCCTGCTCTTTATTAGGTAGCAGAACTTACTTATAAACATTTCTAGGTCTGAAAAAGACTAGTTGTGCCATGGAGCCAGGTTCTGTAAACTTCCATGTTCTTCCAAACAGCATTCACACACACACACACACACGGACACACGGGTTGCCACATGTCCGGGAAATCCCGGACATAATCTCTTTTCAGAGGCCAACATGTCCATCAAGGGGAATTTTACATTTTAAATTAAATGTCTGGGGTTCGGGGGATTTATTTATTTATGGCTGGCTGGGACTCTGGTGTGAAGGTTTAAATATGACCTGACACTCCATTGGGATAAAATACTATAAATCCTAGAGAGTCACTGTTTTTAATGATCTTGCAAATAGTTACAAATTATATTTCCTGTCTGGCTAAGATTTATTCTCCAATACTATGTTGAATCAGATTTCTTAAAGCAATTTCTAGAATTCTAGATACAATCAGCTAGATATGAGGGGGAGGTCTCTTACCTGTCCTTCAAGCCACATGCAGTTTGGATGGGAAGCCATGGTAACTACAGTACTCATACAAACTAGATCACTGTTTTGTTTTACAAATAGGCTGAACTGATGTGAAAAAAATGTATACGTCACTGAATCTCTAGCAGCAACTGATTGTCTAAAAAACATTTTGTTACATGTTGTAGGAAATTATCTTTCTATCTAGAAATGGCAGGATTACTCACTTTGTTTGCAAAATGATATCACTTTACTTGGAACCTAGTCATAAAAATGCTGTGACACACTGATTGACATAGTCAAGGAAGTAGTTTTCAGAATGGCATTCTGTGGCAGACTGTTGCTCCGTGGCACAAACACACACACCCTGCACATCCCCCAAGAAAAGCCCCTGGGAGCCAACAACTTCAAATAAAGTTCTGTACAAAAGTGCGCACCACTTGCTGTCGGCCCTGCTAGGATTGCCTTCTCCTGTCAGCAGTCAGGTGAAGGTGGTACAGGTATGACAAAACTGATACATTGCCCCCACTTCTCTCTTTCACACACACACACACACTGGCAAAAGACGAGGAGTGCGGGGGGAGCACAGCGCCCCCGGCAGCGCGATCCCGGTGGGGTGCCATCATGGCTGCCCCCTGCCTGCGCTGGGCACCACGCCCCCGGCAGGCGGCACGCCATGCCCCCAGGACACGCAACAGCCCCACCCCCGCCTGCTCTCCGCCCCCGGGTGCCAGAGCATGAAACTCCGCCACTGCACACACACACACTTGGAAAACAATTTCTTAGGTGACATAGGACTACTACTCTCCAGTTGAACCTACCCAAATCCTGAGATCAACTTCTGAGGCCCTTCTTCATGTGCCTCTTCCATTAGAAGTCCAGAGGGTGGCAACACAAGAATGGGCCTTTTCTGTGATGGCTCCCTGTTCCTGGAATGATCTGCCCAGGGAGGTTCAGCTAGTGCCTTCATTAACAGGCACCAGACAAAAACGTTCCTCTTAACATTTGATTCCCTTTTCAATATGTTGTGGAATGGGGCATTATTGGGTTGTCTTTGTTTTTGCTTTTATTACGTATTCCATGTTTTTTATATTGTAGTTTTATGTTGTGAATGGCTCTGAGATTTACAGGTGTAGGGCAGTATACAAATTTAATACATAATAATGATAACAACAATTTGGTGCTTGCCCTGAAGGTAGAGATTGCTAGCTATGTATCTTTGCATTAGGACAAGAACTCTAGATACAGCGAGTTGCTACAATTCTCTGCTGATGGACTACTCTTATTTCTAGACTAGTGCAGATATTTAGGCAGGGCAACAGAAACATGAAAGGAAGAAGCCAGAATTACATTTTTGCAGATCAAGCAAAGCAACAACAACTTAACAACTTAACTCCTAACTTAACAATAATGTATTTATTGGCATGTCTTTAATTTACACCTCTGTATATATTTGTCTCCTCAAACAGTTCATGGAGCTTGGAAATCAGAATTACGGTAATTTTCTACCTCTCATTTTATTTAAATATTTTCAAACTACTCAGTATTTCACCAAATAATAGTTTTCTGAAACCAAAGGCACATTTTTCTTGCATTTCTAGTAAACTGGACTAATTAGAGATAGATACCTATATTGATATGGGCTCTTATGCCCTCTTAGATATACCCCATGCATTTATATTATCATAGTAATGCAATACCTTCATGTAAATTAAAATGCCATTTATTATTATTATTAAATCTACATCAAGGAGGATGTTAAACAAAAGCTACTAGAAGTAGCTCTACACATTTTTCTGTTATCTAAATGTTCCTAGAACATAAATACTTCCAACTTCCATTTTGAGACTACAATGCAACAAGCATCTCAATTTTTATCTTTAACAAAAGCAAGGAAATGGGGGATGTTGTAGCAGCTAAACCAGTGCCTCAGTTCTTCATTTGTACTGCCAGAGGAATGTTGGCCTGCCAAATAAATGGCATGATGAGAAGTAGCTGTGTCGTTCATAAATTGGGGTGGAGGTGGTTAAAAGATGAGAGGATCCCTCACATCAACTGAGTAACAGGTGCATTATTCTTCTGTGCTAATAATCCCTGAGAAGAACCTGTGCAATATGTTACTGGGGGGATGAGGGTAGAGACACTAAAAAGGTAAACATTTCTATCCCCTTAGGAAGAGCTCTCATCTTACGGAGTGCATCTTTTGTTTCTTCACTCCAACCTTGAAATAGAAAGAATTCTCGCCTTCAAGGTGTTTGCAGCCCAGTTTAACGGAATTCTTCATATGGCTCTGACAGAAGTGCTAAAGGCAAAGCTGAAGGCAAAGCGGGATAGACAGACTCCTTTGTCAGGATTTTGTCTGATCTGCCCTTAGAGCAAACCATATTTGGCCACTAATGAGGTCCAGTGCCGAGGGCCTTCTGGCAGTTCCCTCGCTGCGAGAAACCAAGTTACAGGGAACCAGGCAGAGGGCCTTTTTGGTAGTGGCACCCGCCCTGTGGAACACCCTCCCAACAGATGTCAAAGAGAAAAACAACTACCAGACTTTTAGAAGACATCTGAAGGCAACCCTGTTTAGGGAAGCTTTTAATGTTTAATAGATTATTGTATTTTAATATTCTGTTGGAAGCCACCCAGAGTGGCTGGGGAAACCCAGCCAGATGGGCGGGGTATAAATAATAAATAATAATTAATAATAATAATTAATAATAATAAGAATAATAAGAATAATAATAATAATAGCTGGAGGTCAGGTGGTTTCCAACTATTGAGTCTTTAAAAAATGGTGCAGTCTTCTTAGATTAATTGTGGGAACAAAGGATGCAAGAATATATATTTATTCTAGTGCTGAAGTTGTGGTTCTTTGGAGATTTGGAATGGCTCCCCAAGTAGTTAGCAGCTAGTAACTTTTAACTGTTCATCCCATTTAGTTGCTGGAAGTTATCTGCTGTGCAGAACACACTGACTCTACCTTGTCTGTTATGGGCAATACACCTGTGCAAGGATCACTCTGTGTGAGGATCATTTTGCTTTGTTGATCATTGCCAATGATCTTTTCAGCCCACCAAATGTGTAATGCTGCTGATGCAAAGCTCTCTCTAGGACAATTATCAATGCAACCTGTTTCTGTTAACATTCACTTTCAGCTACGATCCACTGGATGCCATAGTCACCACTGATGTGTTATGAATTACAGTGATAAAAACTTTAGATTGTATAAGTTAGTTGCTTCATGTTTTTATTGTATCCATTTTATTTATTTATTTATTTTTGCAGTTTTGTTTTCCATGGATGCTAGTCTAGTAACCATACCTACACAGAAAACCATCCCTGAGGCCTCTCTGGTGCATGCAGGGAAGTGTATTGTTACAAGAAGATTACATTAACTGATTACAGTCAGGTTTTACTAGAGTGAGAGAAGAGGCCTTCCTCCTGTAGATAGTTCTCTACCACACGTAAGCCATTTTTCTTTGTCAACGGATTGTTATCACTTCTCAAAACGAGTATTCAAAGAGTAGAAATGACGGCTGTAAAACTTGGAGATAATAGACCAGAGTAAAAACTACACAATTTAATAACCAGCTCTGTTCCTTTTTAACCCTTGAGGCACTGGCTTCTGTAGAAAGAACACTTGTAGCTCTAACACTTGGAAGTCCCATTGGTAAGAGAATGGTAGTGCTGGTTTTGCCCTTTACAACACTGTAAAACAGTAATTGAACTCAAGCATTGTAATAGTTGCATTAATATAGCGTTCTAGTACTGGCTGTCAACACTCCTTGCAGGTGTTACTACCAGAGGTGGTAGTAATTTCTGTACATGGTACTATTCTCTTACCAACTTTAATATATCAGTCCCTCACAAACTATAAAGTATAATAAATAAGCATTCCAAATCTCTGCAAGTCAATAGATTGTATTCAGCTAAGTTTTACTCAGAGCAGACCCACTGAAATTAATGGACCCATGTCATGTCCATTAATTTCAGTGGGCCTGCTCTGAGTATGGCTAATATTGTATATATCCCTATATGCTCCTCCCCCTGAACCACATTGCTTCAGAAATGCTCTTAAGAGTGGTTAACCAATTATTTATGGCCTCTGATAAGTGAACAGACTCCAGACAACCCCAATGCTGCGTGTCTACTGTCAAACAGCTTTTACTGTCAGAAAGTTCTTTCTGCTGTTTAGTCGGAATCTCCTTTCTTATAAACTTGAAGCCATGGGTTCAAGTCCTACCCTCCAGAGCAGTGGGGGGAAAGTTTGCTCTATCCTACATGTGACAGCCCTTAATATATTTGAAGATAGCTATTATATCTCCTCTCAATCTCCTCTTTTCCATGCTACATACCCAGATCCTCATATTGCTTGGTTTCCAGTCCCTTGATCATCTTGGTTGCCTTACTCTGCACATATTCCAGTTTGTCAACATCCTTCTTTAATTGTGCTTCCCAGAATTGGACACGGTATTCCAGGTGTGGTCAGGCTAAGACAGAATAGAGTGCACTATTACTTCCCTTGATTTGGACACTGTTCATGCAGCCTACAATAGCATTAGTTTGTTTTGCTGCCAAAAAGAACATCTGATACCCACACATGTACACCAGTAGTCTAGGAAGTTCTGTTAGTTACTGCACCAAAAACAAACAAATGTATTATGACATAAGGCTGAATAAGAGCTAAATTGTCTCTTTGAGATAGACATTTAAAACATATTCTTTTATTGAAATAATTTCAACTATAAAGAAATAAAGTGATACAAAGAAAAAGGGGGAAGTGAGGGAGAAAAACTAAAACAAACATGTGCATAAGAAAGGGGGAAAATATACAAAATTGAAATGTAATCTACTCCCATAAATTCTTATATAAATTGATATAGTGTTATTATCCTAATAGATTGGCTAATAGTGTATTACATTCTGTTTAAACTCATTCCGAATGTTGTCATATTTATCCAAACAAAGTCTACATCTGTTAAGTAGTCTGTTCATAAATTGCATGTGTTGTCATACTGTTGGTCCATGAATTAATATTGATCATAGCTATTCAGCAGTATCAGACTCTTGGTCACTATTAGGGCATGTAGAATCCATTTTCATGTCCCATTGTTAGGTATATAGCTCAAAAGAGGTATATAGTTCAATAGGTATATAGTTCAATAGGTATATAGTTCAAAAGAATATTCTCCGCTGAAAGATTGAACTTTTTTCTGTACAGTCCAGCACTTTCTCCCAAAACTTAGTGCGCATAGAACACTGTACAAACATATGTTTCAGGGGGGCATTGTCCTTGCCACATCTCCAATACAGAGCTATCTTAGCTAGTCCTTCAATCCTTAGCTTGTCTTCAATGAGTTATTCCATTGTTCTAATATCTCAGGTGTCCCAGAAGCTGAGAGGGCTGCCAGCCCAAACACACTTCTTAGGCGTGTTGTAATTGAAGATATTCCCATTGGGCCGCATCTGATATTTTCTTTCTTATCTATCAGTCAATACACCTGCTTCCATCTGATTTTTCCATACCATCTTTTTTGCAATTTTTAGAGTAGGGTTTCCTTAGAAAGTAAGTTTAGGATGTGAAAATGGATCAAATTTGTTTTTATTATTCCATATCCTTCTAATGTAGTTGTTTCCAGTCACCTGGGATTTCAAATATTTTTTCTGAGTATTGTCCAAGCAACCAAAGGTACTTATGCATATATTCCAGGGTTGCTCACACTGGAAAATTGAGGCCAGCAGTAGCTTTCCAATATTTAATTTACTACATTAACAGTATATAAGCATAATTATCTAATTCTAAATTCAGAATTCTGAAACCACCTTCTTTAATTTCTAGCTGCATTCGCTGCAAGAATATCCTTGGTGTTGTTCAGCCCCAAAGGCATTTCCTAATGAGGGTCTTTATCTTTGGAAATATGATCCAGATATAAAAACTGAAATTCCTTTCAGGATATAAATGAATCTTGGAATAATATTCATTTTGAGAGCCTTCACCCTTCCCCAAAGGGTAAGGTTCAATGACTCCCAACTATCAATATCTGAAGAAAACTCTTATTAATTACTTTATATTAACTGTGACTGTGTTATATCTTTTCTGTGACTGTGTTATATCTTTTGGTATTAATATACCTAGATATTTAATAGATTCAGAACAAATCTGGAATTTTCATGGCCCTCTAGCAGCTATTGTGGCTCATTGACCAGAATTAAATTCTTGCTGTGCCTTGTCTGCCAGGAAGCATGGAATTAAACAGAATTATGCTCAAACAGTTTGTTGGGCTGCAGCGTAAGAAAAATAGTAGAACTTAGCTGTACTTTAGATAAGAAAAATACTAAAATATACAAAATAAGCACAAGTTCCTTTTCATCAGAATATAACACAAATTAACGTTGAACAAAACACAAATTAATGTTGAACTGTGTATATTGGTCATTACTAAGGTTGACAGCAGATGATGAGCATCCTGGATACTCCTGTACCCTAAACACATTAACAGGCTAATTTCCCTCCTGAAAACCAGCTGCATTCAGTAGGGATGCATGAGTGCAACTGAGAACAGCTGTCCCATTATTTCTGAATGCCTGATTTCATACTGTAATCTGTAAATTAGTTGACAGATGTATAAAATCACATGTTCAGTACCTAGGGAACTCCCTAAAGATGTTCTAGAAGCATTATATATATATATATATATACTATTTTTTAAATGCCCCATGTACATTAAATATAGCAAGGATAGTCATTGCTCCTAAATCTATGATGAAGATAGTGATATTTGTTCATATTAAAGAGCCATAGACCAGAGTTCTTGCAGTTTCACCTCACCAACAAAACTCTCCAATCTCCATCATTATCATTATTAAGGTCTCAACGCAATTTATAAGTTTAAAATACAGAGATACCAAAAACAACAACAGTAAAACAGTAAAATCAAACACAGTATCAACCAGTGTTGATACACAGTATCAACCAACATTCAATAACAAGGAAAATATCATTTTCCACCCAATTAAAAGATGGACACAAAAAACAGGACAAAAATGAAACCACACTGAGATTCAAATGTCTAGGAGAACAATAACACCTTTGCATGGTGCTTAAAAATGGACAAAGCTCATGCCAGGCAAACATCATTGGAAAAGGCATTCCACAGCTGAGGGACAGCAACTGAAAAAGCCTGTTCTCTCACTGCAACCCATGACACCTTTTTCAGAGGCGGCACGTGGAGAAAAGCCAGATGATGATTAAAAGGTCCAGGAAGGTTTGGACTGGGAAAGCCTATAATTGGGGTCCTGAGCTGTATAAAAAATTGTGTTTTATAGGTCAAAACCTGCACTGTGAACTGTACTTGGAAAATAACTGGCAACCAATACAGTGAGACCAGAATTAGTATTATAGGCTAATACATCCTGGTTCCAATCAGTGATCAGGCTGCTTCTTCAGAGGCAGCTCCATGTATCGCATTGCAGTTATCTAACTACGGGTTACCAGAACATAGACAACTAAAATTGCTTATCCTCACCCAGATAAGAGTTGCAGTGGTGCCATTAGCTGAAGCTGATGGAAGGCACCCTGTGCCCGAGAGCTAACTTGTGCCTCCATTGACTGGCAGTAACGTACCCAGAGGTAGCACACCTGATCCTTCAGGAAAAGTATGACCATATAAAGTTGCATCCCCCCTAATCCAGACTGAGTAACCACCATTTTAAAATGCCTAGTCACATCTGGACTGAGCGTTAGGGTTTTTTGTTTGTTTTTTTGCTTTCATCCAGTTCATAACTACAGCCAAGCACCAGTTTAGCACATTCCTTCATCACATTACAGTGGTACCTCGGGTTAAGTACTTAATTCGTTCTGGAGGTCTGTTCTTAATCTGAAACTGTTCTTAACCTAAAGCACCACTTTAGCTAATGGGGGCTTCCGCTGCCGCTGCCCCGCTGCCGCACGATTTCTGTTCTCACCCTGAAGCAAAGTTCTTAACCCGAGGTAATATTCTGGGTTAGCGGAGTCTGTAACCTGAAGCGTATGTAACCTGAAGCGTATGTAACCTAAGGTACCACTGTATTCAGTCAACCCAGTGCTCCTTCCATTCCCTACTATATACTTGTAAAGCTTTGATTATGGAACAACATATAACTGAATTAACTTATTCAAAAACTACTTCTAATCATAGGCAATACACACAAAGCAAAAACAGTTTAGAAATCTGAGATTGATGTGGTACTCAGAAATATATATATATCAAATTTTATGAGATTGTGACAATTTATCCCCACCCCTCTTTTTAATGTAATTTTGTGTTGAGTTAGTTTTTTCTACTTGGTTTGGAGCTCAACCTGTTTAAATGGGTATTCTTTACTCCAATGGTGTAATCTTTCTCAGACAGCCACAAGGCAATCTGCTGAATCAACGTAATCTCTAAGCTGTACCATCTAATCTTGCAGCTGTTCTCTCTGCATGGTTATGCAATCTGCCCAGTGTGCATATATGAACAAACAGGCAACATTTTAGCCTTTTAAAATGCAGCTCTTTTAAAGCTTCTGTCATTCCCCATGGTGTGCCAATATGCCCTATGTCAATTAATAATATGCTAGCCAGACTCTAAAACATGCATTTAAGTTGCACAAAACAACAGACATTGAATCATGGAATTCTAGACATTAGAATCATGGAATTCTAGAGTTGGAAAGGACCGCGAGGGTAATGTAGTCCAACCCCCTGCAATGCAGGAATCTCAGCGAAAGTCTCCATGACAGATAACCTAACATCTGCTGAAAAATCTCCAAGAAAGGAGAGTCCACCACCTCCTGAATGTCGAACAGTCCTTACTGTCAGAAAGTTCTTCCTGAAGTTTAGTTGGAATCTCCTTTCTTGTAACTTGAATCCATTGGTTGAAGTCCTAGCTTCCAGAGCAGGAGAAAAAATCTTGCTCAATCCTCCATGTGACAGCCATTTAGGTATTTTAAGATGTATCTCCTCTTTTCCAGGCAAAACATACCCAGCTCCTCAA